TACACCCAGTATTGCTATATTTAGTTTAGGGGTGGGGATCTAAACTGTTTTCAAACCTATTTCCCCTACTGAGCCCCTCCCCTCCTGGCCTAAGGGACATAGATCAACTTTTTTTAAATAAAAAATTAATTCCCTCGTCACCAAAACATGATCCACACCAAATTTGGACACAATCCAACCATTCCTATGGGAGGAGTAGGATTTTAAAGAATTTGCTTAATTTTCGCTATTGGGCCCAGCTGCTCCATCTCCAGAGGCCAAGATCCACCGTTTGTAAAAAATTAACTTCTTCTCACTGAAAGATGCTTCTGACCAAATTTGGGGAAAATCCAAGTATTCATGTAGGTGGAGGATTTCAAAGAATTTGCTCTGCCCCATGGAGACATGACCCATCCATAACACAAAATTGATTCCTCTTCACCTAAACATGACTCACACCAAATAAGGAAAAAATCTAATCATTCCTACAATAGGTGTAGGACTTTAAAGAATAATGATTTCTCCTTATGGGCACCGTCCCTCAGGTCCTGGGGGCTGATACACACCATTTAAAGGTTTTTTTTCCTCTTCCCTTATGGATGCTTCAAACAAAATTTGGTCAAAATCCAACTGATCCCTTTCACCAAAGCATGTCTCTGACATCAAGGCATTCCTATAGAAGAAGAATTATTTTAAAGAATTTGCCCTATTTCCCCTAATAGGCCCCCATCTCTCCCATCCTACAGAGTTGAGATTCAATGTTTATACAAAATAGATTCTTTTCCACCTAAGCATACTTCAAGCCCAATTTAAACAATGTGTAGGAATTCCTAAAGAAGGCTTTTAAGCATTTAAGGTAATCTACTTCCCCTATTGGGCCCTACCTGTCCTGCCCCAAAAGGGCTGCAACCAAAAACTGATAAAAAAAATAATTTCACTTCATCAAAAGTTATTTTAGATAAAATAGAGCAAAATCCAATCATTCTTACTGCAGGAGCAGAATTTTAAGAAGTTTGCTCTATTTCCCACCATTTATAAAAATCTGATTCCTTCACCCAAGCATGCTTCAGGCAAAATTTGGACTAGACAGACTTAAAAGAAACTGATAGATTTTACCCTATTGGGCACTACCGCACAGGCTTCAAGGGGCCCAGACCTACCATTAATACAGAATTTATTCCCCTTCCCCAAGGATGTTTCAGACCAAATTTGATATCAAGAGGGCCATGGCCTTAATGGTCATCTGACAAATCTGGTGAATTAAATTTTGAACATTCATTAAAAGTATCAGAAACTCATAAATAGTAAGTTCTGTTCATAAAAAAAGTTGTACAATCATGTTACAAAATGGCTGCTGTGGTTGAAGTTTTGATCGGGCTGAATATCAACCTATCTTTTTCTTTTCGTCAACAGATCATACTCCAAATATTTTTGTCAGATGACCTAAAAATCCACTCCTCGTAATGACTAGTTTCAATTTATAGGAAAAGTTGACAGATGACAGATTTGCAACACAGTATCCCTATAGCTCACTTGCCCCTCAGGTGGGCTAGAAATGAAAGTCAAGAATTTACGAACGTCAAGCTAAGTCATCAAGTCTCTAGGTGCAATATACATACAAAACAATTTGTAAGGTTGTAATAGAGACACCAGATATCAGTTTAAAAGATTACAGAAAGTTTCTTTTTATTCTTTGGTTCCTAAAAGAAAAGAAAATGCATTTTCTCCACAAATTATGAAAGATTACAGTTTACAGTACAAACTTTATTTTCAAGATGCATGCATCTGTTTTTCCAACAATTTGATTCCCTCTTCGTCAATGAAAAAAATAAACCCCTAAAAATACAGATCTCAATGGTTAGTTGTAAAGCCTATTCATCATGTTATATTATACCAACAATAGATCAATCAGCAATTAAACCAATTCATTAAGACATCAACAATAAAACAATGTAGTATATAAAGTTCTCCATTGTATGTAGTTTGAATCTTGTGCAATATATATATGCAAGTCCACCATTAATTTCTTATAATGGATATCAATACAGCTCCTCTTATTTAATGAAAGCACTATGGAAATAATCACACCCTGATTATGTACATATGTACAAGCCCTATTTAGGTTTCTATTATTTCATTTTGTAAAACAAATACTAAATTCTCATGAAGTAAATATACTTTCTACATATGCTGGTTACTAAGATATATATCTGGGTAGATGACAAAGAAATAGAATTATGAGTAAGGCTTATGGCTTCTGTATAAGGTTACAATCCACAAAACTCAAAAGTGACCAATACTCAAACTAATTAGTTGAAAATCTTCATCATACTGATATATTGGAAGATAAAACAATTTGATTTCAAAAATTCAACTGGTAATAATCAATATCTGATTTAGTTGACAGTTAAAATCTACGTATTGAAAGGAACAATTCTTAACCGACAACAGCTGGAACACAGATCAAATGCCTGACACAAATTGTATGTCATTATATTGATCTTACCTTGACTTATACAAACCACTGATAAAATATGACTCTTGGTCTCATGATTTGTTAAAGGAAGTTGTTTAAATACTTGAAAGTTGTCTTACACTGTTCATTAGATAAACTTGGTGACCATTCATCCAAGATACAAATAGATTAAGGATCCGAAAACAGAAACAAGAGGCCCAAGGGGCCTGCATTACTCATCTGGCTTATTCAGTCTTTTAACAAAGAATTTCAAATATGAGAAATAATTTCTGAAATAAATTTCCTACTGGATCCCATCTTTGTGGTCTAACAGAAGTCAGATTCACTGTTCATACTAATTGCAAGATTTACAAAAGATTTTTAAAAAATTTCATATCCTCAAATGGACCACTTCCCTCTCACCCCAGGGGGCCATTCAAGAATAGTTCAACCCAAATTTGGACATATCCATTCATTCCAGCAGGAGTAGGATTTCAAATAATTCTCTATGATTTTCAAAGACCTAACATTTATTCCCCTTAACCCAAGAATTCACCGAATTTGGGACACATTTGGGGTTATGCCCACCAATCCTTCATACCAGGTGAATGTACGTCTAATATCATTGCCACTCCCTTAGGATGTCTCTGACCAAATTTTAGTGAAATCTGTGCAGACAGTAAGCATGGGCAGCATTTTAAAGGAAAAGCTTACGGATGGCACAAGATAGCAATAGGTCATCTGACCTAAACTAATGAACAAAAGGGCTATGGCCCTTAACGTTCATCTGACAATCAACTGATGACAGAATAACAAGTCTGATGAATTCAAATTTTGAACACAAACTCATAAATGGTAGGTTCTGTTTAACAAAACAGTTCCACAATCATGTTTCAAAATGGCTACTGTGGTTATCATGATGAAGTGTTAGACCAAGCTGAAAAATATTCCATTTCTTTCCCTCAACAAATTAAATTCCAAATATTTTCCCCCAAGGTGTGGATGAAACCTGAAAAGTAGTTCAGACTATTTGTTCAAGACCAGTTATGTTGGGTTTTGGGCCAAACTGAAATAATAAAGATTTGGTTAGGACAATCTAGGAATTACTTCATGCATGTTTGATATCAGTGTCACTCCCTAATTATGTCTCAGTCCGAATTTTAGTGTAATTTAAATCCCTCCAAGAATTACAAAAGAGGAGACTTTTGAAGCAAAATATTGTCAACCCCTGATCTCTCTTGACCCCAGGTCTCTAGCAGTTGAATCAACTTTCTGATTTAAGAACTAATTGCCTACCCCGCATGATATTTCAGACAAAATTTGAAAAAAAAAAAAAATTCAAATTCAAACATAAAGGAAGAGTAAAATTTTGAAGGAAAATATTGACTAAGTTCCCCTTTTGGGGCTTGTCCCCAGGTCCCTAGTGGTCAAAACAACTTTCTGAATTAAAGAAATGATATGCCACATCCAATGATGTTTCAGACCGAATAATTTAGTGAAAATCTATCTAGGGATTCAGCAGATTAGTGTTTGAATGGAAAAGCTTACGAATGGCAGACGACGACAAACGATAGCAATAGATCATCATGATCCTTCAAATCAGATGACCTAAAAATATATTATATGATCCAGAATGCATGAAGTATGATACAACTATGTAGTTACATCTGAAGACTTCTATACTAATCAGATACAACAGATGTTCATGTAGATCTTTCTTAATGTCGTCAGGAAGTGTAAATTTAACAATAAACATGGTAAAGAGATTTCATATCTCTCTTAATACGGATATAGTCTTGTTCCTTTGTGTTATAACAGGACCAACCTCTCCATACCACCACAATATCAATGTACAATTACATCAAACAAACAAACATAAATGGATTTCACACTTTGAGCAAACTTAACTGTTACATAATAATTAATTTATTAAAAGCCAGTATGACATGCTTCATGTAAATTGCTGAATGTGAAATGTTTAATGTGGAATGTTTTGATCAGGAAGAAGTTTTATTGAGGATAATTATTAGGTTTTTATAACAAGAGGTTTGCCCCGCCATCCAAAGATGCACAGATAGTAAAATACTAAGTTCTCTTCATCAAGGACGTCTTCAGTTCCAGCAGAAGAAGGATCTTAAAGAACCTGCTTTATTTTTACTACATGGCCCCACCGCTCCAGCCCTAGAGGGCAGGAACCAAATCTTCATACAAAATTGACCCCTTTTCACCCAAGCTTGTCTCAGACAAAATTGGGACAGAATTAATACAGTCCTACATAAAAAGAATGATAAACGATTTATCCTGTTTCCCCTTTCTGACCCACTGTTAATACAAAACTGATTTTCCTTCACCCAAGCATGCTTCAGATCAAACATGGACAATATCCTGCAATTTCTGAAAAACAAGATAGGTTTTAAAGAATTTAATATATTTAGCATAACACATTTCATATAAAGCATTAAAAGAAGTATTGAAATATATAGAATGTCCCCAACATAATAAACAAATAAACTACTCCTTAACATTTATATTTAACAACATTTATATTTAACAACAGAAGCCAACCAACATTTATTGTCCTCAAAAAAGACATTAAATCTGAAAATGCAAGTTAAAAATTCATTTTGAGATTAGAAAGTTTTCGTTTCCTTTTTCTGAGATGCCCCCATGATAACAATGTCTTCCAGTTAGCATATCTAAGGCAGTAGCAGACATTGTTTAAAGACAAGGTATGGGATCCCAGGGTATAAAAGGCTTGCAATCTGTCAAACCGGTTATCATTTCAATATTGAATGCTCCAAGTAATACTCACCTCTATATTATGATAACATGTGACCCTAAAAGAGTGCATTCACCTAAGGTACTTGAAGTTGCATGTAGCAATTGGTGCTTCTCAGCTATTTAAAATTATATTACAAAAATAGAATAAACAAGAGGCACAATGAGCCTGCATAGCTCAACTGGTATTCAATGTTCATCAAGATAGAATTGGTGTTAATATCAAAAATGTATTGACAAATACACCGTTGGCATTTGAAGTGGGCACATGCAATCAATTTTAACCCATATCCATGACATTAGGCTTCTAATACTCAACTCTCTGAACAGTAACAGTTACAACCTGGATCATATATTTCTTTGTTTCTGGAAACACCTTTCCACAAAATATCATGGTTCTCGGTCTTTTGGTTTACCAGAAGAAATCTTTTACAGGTTTAAAAAAATTTGATCCCTTTGACCTTCAAAATGGGTCAGGGTCATTGCTTTTCACTGACCTTGTCAGTCATCATCCTATGAACCTATCAACCAAATCCCATGCTTATGCACTTTTTTGTCAGTTAGATGAAGTCATTCAAAAAGTTGACCCCTTTGACCTTGAAGATGTGTCAAGGTAATTTTGTCAGGTAACAATGTATGAGCTCCATTTGGCGCTTCAGGCTAGGTGAGCAAAATAATAAAATTGTTAACAAAGCAATCTCCCTATATTCCATCACATATATCTCAAAACATGTGCAAGGAAACTGACCTCTACACAACCAATTTTACTCCGTCACTGAAGCGTTTGAAAATGCTGTAAAACATGCAAGTATTTGTTTACGTTTTCTCAATTATAGTAGTGTAAATGCTTGACTAGAAAAACACATGCAAAGTGATGACCTATTGTAGATTGTGTAAAAATTTGACCAGTGAACTTTCTGCTGGAAAAACAAAAAATTGAGCTTATAACACAAATTTATATCTGTACAAGCACAAGGAAGGGTTAGCTGTTATTATTCATTTGTTGATATGTTGTGTGTTTTTTCCTCCAAAACAGATTCTTCAGTCACTTAGGAAAAAAAAAAAAAATGATGCGAGGTAATGTATATTCTTATGCAATGTATCCATCTATATATATCTGTAGATTAGTTGTGCTGCACCATCATTGAAATAATGATAACCGGTTTGACAAGTTGCATGCCTTTTATACTGCGGGATGCCCTTACACCTTTCTAAGCAAGACTTGGACTTAAATGTCTGCCACTTCCTTAGATACAATGACCCGAAAATACTGTTAGCTAGGGGGAGGTCTTGGAAGCATTCTAAAAGGTATCTCTTTTTTTTTAAAACTCCACATGGAAGTTTTATAATTTGCAAAGTCAGCTTTAAGAGATATTTTCTACTGAGTTTAGGTTACGTGGAAGTCTTTAAATGATACAAATCAAAGAAAAAGCATATCACGTTTAGCATAAAGCATCTGGCATAAAGCAATTTGCATAAAGCATTTAGCATGTCGAACTGGCTTTCCATATAGATCTAAATATTAAAATAAAATCACATACAAATACAATTATGATAGTCAACAAGAGGCCCAAGGGCCTTAACAGTCACCAGAGTTACAATGGTTCTTGTAACATGTCATAAAGAAATGATTTTGTTATAAATGTAAGATGATTTTAACTACATTGTTCACATAATGCAAATGTAAACTGTGAATATCATTAACTGTTTTCCCATGCTTAGGCTTTTCACCAAGTTTGAATTAAAAGAAATTACACTTAAAATATAATTTTCCTATATAAACTCTTCCATCCATGAGCAATATTTAATAGTTTCCATCATATATGGGTAGTGAGAAGAAGATTTTTGTAATTATAGTCAATTTGACCCAATTTTTGGCCCTGCCTATCAGCCCCTGGAGGTCAGCCAAAGTCAATGTGTGCTTTTCATCAAATTGTCATCCTAAACTAATTAGTAATTAATAACAAGTTAAAAATTATAACTGAGTATGAACTATTTCCAAAAAACAGGCCAAAATGTAATTTTCCTATACAAACTTTAAATTCTACCCTCTCCCCAAGAGGGAATGTGTGACCTGGAGGTTCATGAAATTTACAATGGTGGTTAAGCACTTTAAGACCCTTCCATCCATACAGTTTACAATTTTGGTATGCCTTTAGCAATGGAAGATTTTTGTAAAATCTCATTAAATTCGGTTCAGGAGTTTTCCAGATGAAGTAAAAAAAAAATTATGATGTATGACGCTGGATAAAAGGCGATCGCAATAGGTCATCTTTTTATCATGTGACCTAAAAACCATGGCACAATCAGCTCCAAACCTTCTATCTTAACATTTTGTAAATAAAACATGTTGAAGCATTTTTAAGTTGTCCATCACAGTCCAATGTCACTGAACAAGCTAGCTCTCCATTCCTTTAACATCAGTTCTGATGTGAGAAGCTAGCTCTCTGTTCCTTCTATATCAGTTCTGATGTGAGAAGCTAGCTCTCTGTTCCTTCTATATCAGTTCTGATGTGAGAGACTAGCTCTCTGTTCCTTCTACATCAGTTCTGATGTGAGAAGCTAGCTCTCTGTTCATTCTATGTCAGTTCTGATGTGAGAAACTAGTCCTCCATTCCTTCTATATCAGTTCTAATGTGAGAAACTACCTCTGTGTTCCTTCTATATCAGTTCTGATGTGAGAAACTAATCCTCCGTACCTTCTACATCAGTTCTGATGTGAGAGACTAGCTGTGCTCCTGCTATGTTAGTTCTGATGTGAGTAACTAACTCTCTGTTCCTTCTACATCAGTTCTGATGTGAGAGGCTAGCTCTCTGTTCCTTCTACATCAGTTCTGATGTGAGAAGCTAGCCTCCAGATACCAGTTCTTTAAGCCTGCTCCTGTCAACTGGTTATGTTGCACAATGTACACTGTTCTCTCACTTCACAGACAGCTATTAATCACTAAACATTCAGTGAGGTTTTGAAAGCTAAACATCCAGTTATTTTTTAACACTAAACATCCAGAGAGTTTTTGAACATGAGAACACTGTTGAAGATTTTCAGAGCTGGCCCCAATTTCACATTCATGATTTTAACAATGTCTGTCTGAGTTATCAACATGAATGCTTCACCATCAATTTGCTGCAAAGTAAACAAAAATAAACATATTAATATCAGATATAAACTGTGAAGGTCTTCAAACTTCTACAGTTAGTGTTATAATGCCAATGTTGTTATAACTGACAGTTTGAAAGTATTTCCTTACATGGACCTGCAGCTTTAACACTGCCATCCACAAGTCCCTCAAAACTTGTTTTAGTAAGATATATAAAAAATCAGTAATCTATTTCAAAGCTGAATGTTGAATTCTTTGTCAACTTGGTATAATGCGATTCTCAGTGAAAAATGAATTATGAAAAGGTCCACAAACCTCATCCTTGAAAGCCTTGGCATGCTCCTCACAACCAGGAAGAGAACGGACAAATTGGGACACTTGATCTACATTCCAGCTTGACACATCGGAACCCTTCATTTTGTCCACTCCTGGGAGAAGCTTTGAGTGTTGTTCCCAACACAGGGGCAGGTCCTTATTGGGGTTGGGAACCATAGAGGACATGAAAACTGACTGGTGGATTCCACTATGTAGGTTGTTGGTGTTTTTAGAGTCGGTGGACACTACATAAACAGTCATTAAGAATTTATATATAGAAATACTTCTATCCATTAACAAACACTTCTAACCATTAACAAACACTTCTACCCATTAACAAACACTTCTACCCATTAACAACAAGAGTATAAGTGAAACTAATGAATGTTCCTTAAAAAACAACTTAATTGGACACAAATTTTAATAAAGAGTAATAATTCTGTAATCAGATGTTCGAACCCTGAATCTGGTATGTTTTACATCCATGTTAGTATGACCAATGTATTCATCAAATTTCATTGTCCTTGTTTAAATGAAAGCAAAGTTGGACATAAAACTTTTAAAAATGGCAATAGGCCTGTAACTAAGGGGTTGCAGACCCAGAATTTAATGCACATCCTTTTAGAATGATCAATGTATACATCAAGTTTCAGTATCCTAGTTTACAATGAAGTAAAGTTATGCTCATGAAATGAAAGTTTAATAAAGGTCAATCACTCTGTAATTTTCAATAAAAGGCAATTACACTGTATCAAGGGGTTGTGTATCCTTACATTGGTACTATACACATCGTTTTTATATGATCGATATATACAAACAGGTTCCTTTTCCTAGATTAAATGGAAGTAGAGTTATGCTCTGGACACAGAAGAATTGACAAAGGGCAATAACTCTGTAATTACGGGGTTGCCGGCACTTAATTTGGTAACTGCACATTCACTTAGTATAACCGATGTATACACCAAGTTGTATTATCCAAGTTTAAATGCCAGTAAAGTTATGTTCATGACATGTTTCAATAACAGGCAATAACTTTGCAATTAAGGGGTTGTGAGACCTTGCATGGCTGTGCAATTAAGGGGTTATGATCATGACATGGAAGCCATTTTGTTTTTCTGATCCCTCCCAAAATAAACGAGCACAAGGAGAGTAAAGATGGCCACCTGTGGAGCATTTTGTTTTTCTGATCAGACCCAAGGGAAACCTACATAGGTATTTTGCAAGAGAACTATCCTGCACTTCTCATGAAATAGCGAAAACAAACTTGCAAAGTCAAAATCAAGATGGCCACCTGTTGTCCATTTTGCTTTTCTGATCAGTTTTTGACAAAAGACATCATGACAGCCATATTGTAGTTTTGACCAACTTGAAGAAGTTGCTTGGACACTTATTATATTGATTATTTTAAAAGATATTTCCTGAAGAGTCTATATGACTCTGGCGTGGTTGTCTCTTGAAGACAACTTTCAGACAGATCGCTAAGAATAGATGTCAATGATCCCATACCCCTGTGCAATCTACCATATTGTCCCAAACCTGAGCAAGGCTAGTTCATGATTGATACAAATCTCTGAATAGTGTCAGTTTTCATAAGATTCCATTGCAACATTTACTTGTCTCATTGTGATTGATTCGTGCATAACATTGTCTGGAATTTACTTATCTATCTTACAGGTTTAACATCCACTATAGCATATCACTGTCACCAGGTGGTGTTGGAAACTCAATGGAAATTTGTTAACCAATCAGAGAGCTAGAATTGGTAATAACATCTCTTTCCAGGGGCTGCGACAGTAGGCTTAAATGTGACTGAGTTTAGTTCAGTCAAAAATTAGTGATATATTGATATACTGATATGTAATGAATCTGCAAATAAATCACTTTAATAATTAACAACATTATATCATGAGAGGAGGTGATATACATTGATTTATTAGCCTGAAGAAAAACAATTAAGTACACACCACTACCATAAAATTTACCTTTACTTTCCTTTTCTCTCTCCCGAGACAGTTTGTTTGGTCCTCGGTCACCCAGGTTTAAGTAGTAGCTCCTGTGGAGATAAGGTAAAGTTTTTACATGTCTCAAGGAGCTGCAAAGCCAGATTTTATTCCCCACATGCAGCTGTTGGTGTGAATATCTGAACACACCTGAATACTATGATGTAGATTTTCTGTGTCTTTCAATGTTTTTCAGGTGTTCCTTGTGAACAGAAAACTATTTTTGACAATGTTTCTATAACAAGAGATCCCAGAAGGATCATGGTGCCCACCATTGTTTGATCTTTATTTGCTCTTTGAAAGTTGGATCTTTTTGAACTTAAACAATTTTTTTTAATGCAGATTTAGAACTTAAAATATTTGACCATACCAGACTGACACCTATACATGAAAAAGAAAACAAATATTTTTCATCATCTGGACCCATTTTATTTATCACAGTCACATATATCTAGGATTGAGAATTCATTTTCTGCACTAGTGAAAACAAACCTTGGTTTCCGACCTCGCCCTGATTTGACCTTGACCTTGGAAGTGTCACCATTTGTTAAATGCTGAGGTTTATTCTGCATCTGCATCATCATGATGTTTTTCTCGGAAAGAGGACAGCCAGATACTTTATGATGCATGGTGAACTTTCCGGTAATATGACCAGATCCATCACAGCCTGGTGTGGGACATTTTCTACAGATAAGACAAGTAATTTAACATCAATGATATTTTTTATGTGTCACTTTGTTCATGTGTTCACTGGTAGACCTTAACTGTTCAAAAAGTCCTCAAAACATTCCGTTATCTCAGTTTGTATTTGACGAACTAGCGTAAATCTTCAAATTAAGTGTTGATATGAAAATTCACCGACCATTCGTCACAGTCCGGTACTTTCTTTTGTAACTCCCCGTTTACTCTTCCAAGTCGACCATTGAATTTTCAGACCAATTGTTTAGCTGAAAAGACTGACATTCATCTCAAGAAACTCAAGAAAGTTTTGAGCTGTAGAGGACTTTTAGAATGGTTCAGGGTCTATTAGTGGGTTTAAGTGGCTGGATAACAGCCTCTCACATGATATAGATCTCCACAACTTATTCCATCTGTATATGGGATATTTAAATAAGCCATGTTCACATGCTGGTCCTTACAACTAGAGGAAATACAATAAGTTGAATCTATTTCTCCATTTGTTCTAGAGCAATTAATTAATTAATTATTAAATGCTTTGACAATTTAAAATGTAAATCATTCAACACAATATGGAAAGGATCTCTTTCCCCCCTTTCCATAGAAATGTTTATACAAGAATTACTTGAGCTCTGGAGAAGATGGATATTCCATACTCCTTTGGGACTTTAGGGTGGGCGTGCCAGGAGGTGATGGGGCAGGGGTTTGGTTCACCTCCTCTGCCCTTGTTGACCCCAGTCTATCTTGAAGAGTCGTCTCCTTGTTGATATTGGAACTAGAGTATGGACAACCAAATGCACTGCAATAAAAAATGAGGTCCATTAGACTTAATGGTCATCTGACTATAAAGCCATATATATGATAGAGGCTATGGCCTGAATTACTCTTCAACATCTTACACAGAAAGAATTTGTCAGTTCACTCTGTCAATATCTGTTAATATGAAATCCTATTCATCAAGCATGCTACATAATGAATACCATGACCCAGGACCTATTGTTTGTTGAAAGAAGATATTATAGGTTTTCAACACATTTGACACTAGTGACCTTAAATGTAGGTCAATCATCTGAACAAATCCAGAAGCCCTTAATCAAATTATCTTACAGAACCTATATCATTAGCCTTGATCTTTTGGTTATTAAAAGAAAACCATTTAAAGATTTTAACATATTAGACCCCTATAACCTTGATTAGGTTCAAGGTCATCCATTTAAACAAACTTGGTAGCCCTTCATCTAAGCATGCTTCTGACTCAATATCAGCACCCTTGAGCTTTTGGTTATTGACAAGAAGTTGTTGGAAGATTTTGACACATTTGACCCCTGCTTGACCTGTTGTCCCCCCTGTAACAACTTCCTACTTGACCTGTTGTACCTACCCATGACCTTTCTGTGGTTGTTTATAGATGCCACCTACCTGTGGTGCCCTGTGTACTTGGCTCCCTTTATGTGACCAATCCCCTTACAGCCAGGAGTTGGACAACCTCCTTTCTCAGCTGTGTCCACCAAATCTACTGGACCTGTTGACATGTTGTTTATATAAGTTATTAATGGTGTAAAGCTCAGTTGTACTCACTAAAGTGGCCATTAGTATGGTAATCAGACTTTAAAAGAATGGGGATTGAAGTTCTAAATTGAAAGCACCTCAGTGTGTGTATACAACATGAATGAGCAATGATAAGGATATGGCTGACAGAAGGGGTAGATGGGGAAAATTTATGTAGTAAGGGTACTTATTTATGTCTTATTTATGATAGGGGTTAGAGGGTCACATTTTCTTATTGAAGGTAGAAGGGGACTCATCTATGACTTACTTAATGGAGGGATCAGAGGGTGGCATGTACTTACTTATTGGAGGGGTTAAAGGGTGGTTTGTACTTACTTAATGGAGGGATCAGAGGGTGGCGTGTACTTACTTATTGGAGGGGTTAAAGGGTGGTTTGTACTTACTTAATGGAGGGATCAGAGGGTGGCGTGTACTTACTTATTTGAGGGGTCAGAGGGTGGCATGTACTTACTTATTTGAGGCGTCAGAGGGTGGCGTGTACTTACTTATTGGAGGGGTCAGAGGGTGGCGTGTACTTAATTATTTGAGGGGTCAGAAGGTTGCTTCTACTTACTTATTGGAGGGGTCAGAGGGTGGCTTGCACTTACTTATTGGGAGGGGTCAGAGGGTGGTGTGTACTTACTTATTGGAGGGGTCAGAGGGTGGCTTGTACTTACTTATTGGAGGGGTCAGAGGGTGGCTTGTACTTACTTATTGGAGGGGTCAGAGGGTGGCTTGTACTTACTTATTGGAGGGGTCAGAGGGTGGCTTGTCTTATTGCACCAGCCTGGCGGGTGGATGTCTGGACAGTCATCATCCAGCCAGTAGTCAAATGTATCTGCCCAACCGTCAAAGTGGATCCTGATGAGATGACAATCCACTGCTGCCACAGTCGCCACACGAATAAGGAGTGAATTCCGTTTATCTACAACTTCTAGTTTCATTCCAACCTTAAAACCCAATGCTGCTCTCTGAAATGTTACAGAAAATAAATATGATAAAGGCTTAACCATGCTGCTGGCTTCCAAAATGGTCACAAATCTTACTTCATAGAACTGATGTAATATCAAAATCCTTTCATATTTACATTCAGAGAGTCAAGCAAAAAATTAATTGTTTATGACCACAAGGTATTGTCACGATACAAAATCCTTCTGAAGTACTGCTACCTTCCTTCTTTTATAAAAACTAGAAAATGTCTGTAAGACATGAATGCCCCCCCCCCCCCCCCCCATGTGAAATAATAGTGAAAGGTCCGAAAGAGATGATTTTGTTAATTTGTATGCAACTATGTACAACTTAAGTTTCATACTTAAATTGACAAGTTGATTTAACATACATGAATTTGGAATTTTGTTCTCTGGAAAAAATGAGGGAGTATATTAGTTCCTTATGCCTTAAAACCCACAAGTACCAAATTATGTAGAAATAAGATGATGTTCCTCTTTTTTGAGTTATCTCCCCCTGGTGGCCATCTTTTTTTAGAATGCCAAGAAATTCAACACTGCATGAGGTCTTTCCATACTTGATATTTGTATGAAGGTTCATGAAAATTGCCTTCCGAATGAAGTTGTTAGGTGGTATATACTGATTTGGGACGTGACACGATGCGACGGACGGACATGGGCAACGCTATATGCCCCCGGCCATAAATGGTGGGGGCATAAAAATAATGTAACCATGGAAACAACAGTGAACTTACAGGTTTAAAAGCTCTGGCAGGGACAGCCACTGACTTAGTTTTAGCTAGATAACTCTCCCAAGTAAAATCTGTCTCCTTCCAATCTGAAACAAATATGGTATCATTATCCTTGATTCAATTTCATGCAAAATGGTCAGCATAATATCGAAAACCTGCACCAATTACATTTCCACATTATATGCATCCTTGATACTCCAGGAGTTACATTAAGTATTGCTTTCTGAACCCCAGGAAATTTGAAGGGAAAACTGAAGGTAGCATGTGCAATGTTGATAAAATAAAAGGACTATTTGATCCTTTGATGTTCATCAATCTAATCTTAAGGTCACATAATGTTTTGTTGTATTGGCTTTAATGTTTGGTGTCGCTTCTTAGTAATCTTCAAAGGGGCATATCAGTCTGTGATTGGTCACCCCTTCTAGACCAACCAAATTACTCTGCTTGTGCTTTCATTTTGCCATGAGATGTTCCAGGGGTGCAGAGAGTGAAAGCGATTTGTAACTCTTGGGGTATCAAGAATACACAATATGAAGGGTGAGTGTTGTAATGATAAAGCTGTGAGAACTGACCACAAGGAAGGGAGAGTTGTGTGTTGTTTTCATGACACCAGCCAACAGGGTGAATGTCTGGAGATGCAACATCACACCAGTAGTCGTAAGTATCCTCCCACCCATCAAAGTGCACCAGTATTTTGTCACCAAGTGTGTCGGCCACAGTGGAAACACAGATTAGGTTGTTATTTTTCTTGTCAACAGCCTCCAGCTTAGAGCCCACTCGAAATGCATTGGGGGTTACATTCTACAACAAAAACACAAAAGGCTTTGAAAGTTACATTCTATAATGGACAAAATTTTCATCTGTTTATTTAATACTTTGGAAGTATCCATTACATTCCAGGGTTCCAAAATATAAACAGATAACAGAAAATAATCACTGAAACTGTATGCATCAGACATTGGTGTTTTCCGAGGTTCCTACAGCTTTTATCAATCAATTACATTTAATGGTATTCTAATTTATTCCATAAAACATTAAAACTTAATTCTCAACACAGCAATTTTTTCAACACAGCAATTTTTTCTATAGATTGTATTCTACCTAAAAAGCATTGGGCTTACACAATCACAAAAAGGGGTGTCCTTAGTAAAACCATGTACACGAAAGTTTCTATGTGAATTCTGGATGGAAAAATAACAAGAATTTTTTTTTTTTTCATTTACAAATCTACATTTATGTAGTAAATACAATTAATGTTAGTTTAATCCCCTAGCACTTGCTATTGTAGAAAACTCTGTAAAAATATTATTGACAGGGCAACCTATCCGGTATAAATATGAAGTGTTTTCACAAATCTGGAATGTGCAACCATGATCTTAAGTTTTGTCAAATTAGAGTAACCTCCCCTCAATCAGTGTGATGAAGTGTTTGATATTTGAACTAATATTACGTGAACAAAACCAAATGTAGTAAAGATTCAGTCAATTCTATTGTGGGATTACAGGAATTCCTGTGTTCGGGGCTTCAAGAAGCAACACTAAATAATTTTGAAAAGATGTTATCAATACCAAATTATAGAAAGCTATCGATAGTTGATGGAACAATCGACAATAGATATTAAACTTAAAATTTCCTATGATTTACTATTGACACAATGATATTAGAACATATTGCAATCTAGCTATAATCTGATATATTCTTTTACCTATAGTTATAACTACCTATCACTAACAGCCATATCTTTTCCTCCATTGCTTAGAAATAGTGTTTTTTTCATTTCTCTGCAACAGAGTCCTTGGTTGAAAGACTGAGGTTTTGACTAGTGCACACATCCTCTTTCCCTGAAAAAACGGGGGTGCTGAAAGGTGTAGGTGCACTTATTATGTCAAAGATGGTAATATGATACCGAATGACAACTGTATATAATATGGTGGTGTTCCCTCACACATAGAGAAAGTTCAGTGATGGACTTACCTGAGTTGGCTGATTCTGGAATAGATGCTTAGGAGCAGGTATGGCTTTAGCCATTTTTAAGTAGCCTGACCAACTGAAGTTTTCTGCAGTAAAACCTGAATCAGACAATATAACACATCATTTCACATTCAAGAATGCTATTCTTTCATACAATGGAAACAAAATTTCAAAATCCAATGTTTACTCCGTTCAATTGAATGTTTTCCAAAAACATCTGAAAACAAATTTTAAAATGGAAAATGAAATGTAAGATAAATTTCTTGGTTAAAGTGAAGTTTCACCAGGACAGGAAATATTCATATGTTTCTTCATTTTAACAAATTCGGAATATAAACACATGTAAGTGATTGTAACCCAAAAAACATCCCTCTGACCTGTGACATTATTTTATTCAAATTAGCTATAAATGTTATCTTATGGTAAGAAACATCAAACCCTTTTCTTTCACCTTTTGGGGGTTGTAGAACTCTCTCATGTTTATCACAAAATCCAACAGGGAAAATCCAGGCAGAATCTGCATTGGCCCAGAAGTCATAGCACTCCGAGTAGCCATCAAAATGAAGTCGCAGTCGGTAACCACGGATCTCAGCCACACTTAAGACACAAAACAGGGACTGATGTTTCGGGTCGATTCCTTCCAGCTTCATACCCACTTTAAATCCTATGCGAGACTGAGGGAAAGGCTGAAACAAAGACAAGACTATCAGTAATAAATGCTTCAGGGCAATGCTACAACATGTTTAAAATATAAAAAGTTTATGTATGGCAGACGATAAATGATGATGGATAGAGCGATGCCTACAGATCATAAGGACCTTTGGGTAAATGAATGACACATTCAGCTGTAATTGGGCCATTATGTTAAGGTAGACATTAACAGATAACTTATCCTGGTCAAAAAATAATTGAGATAACTTTCCTGGGTTACAAAAACAATCTAAAAACAACTACAGAAATATTGTCTTCATCAGAGCATAACAAATTGCAATATGCAATTTCCTCCATCCTTGTTTTTCAAATGTTTGTTTCCAGAAAAACTGGCTGCCTACCTCCTTGAAGAGCTTGTCTGGAGCTGCCTCTCCACCTTCTTGTTCCAGATAGTTCAGCCAAACAAATGCTTTAGATTTTCTCCCTTTGACAGAAAACACAAAACAAGGAAAATAAGACTTTATATCTTAAAGTCAAATCTACTGCATCATTGTCACCAATATTAAAGTTGTAAAATACAAACATTTTAAAATTTGAAGAACAAATTCAAAATTATTTAATAATATAATGAGATCTAATCCTCTAAACATATAGTTTTTCTATTTTTTTCCTCAATAAACTGAAATCTTCATTTCATCTCAAGTCAGAATGTTACTCTATATTGTGAAATATGAAATGCTACACATTTTTCTATCTCACCAGTTGCCAATCCTTTAGGATAAACTTCCTCTTCCCCTTGTCCTCCTTTCATTAACAAGAGCTTTCTCTTCTTCTTTTTCATCCCCAGCACCATTTTAGACATCACATTCTTTTTGACACCTTTGCCATTTTTTCTACAAGAGTTTTACAACAATGAAAAACTACAAGGAAATTTCCAAGTTACATCTTTTTAAAGATGATAGGAATAAACACTTTTTATGTGTAAAACAGTTGACAAAGACCAATGTTATGTAATGGGACTACATATAGCTTACTTTGAATTTATGACAATGTAGACAGAACATTCATCCATATTTCTCAACATCCTTCAAACAAACTAATGCTTTGGAAATTAAATTTACAGAATATTTCAGAATAAATTATTTCAAAGCGTACTTGGATTCATATGCCTCCATACATGCTTCAGAGCAAATATCTCCAGAGTTTCCAAGAAATTCACTTCGGAATCCATACTCGCCACAGTTAGTACAACAGCATACATCATCTTTATCTCCATCGTTGGCAGATTTGTCTGTTAAAATGTAAAACCTTATTCAGTACACAAAGTATATATCAAAATACATGTGAATTTTAAGGAAAAAATTCCATTACTGCCTCAATTTCAACATAAGTTGGTATTTCGATGTTCAGTTATACTAACCTTCTGTTTTGATTTCAAATGAATTTAATAATTTCTTGTTGCCTGATTGCTCGTTTGTGTTTTCAGACTCGCTACTTGTGTTAAGGGTTTCTGGACATTCAAGGTCCTCAGTAACCACTTCAAGAACTCCGAACTCGTTCATCTTAAACTGTATAAGAAAACAATGGTTATCCACATTCAATGAATGAAGAAGTGACAATCAGAAACATTTGTAGATCTATTATTGTGTAGATCTTACTTTGATACCATTATCTTGCATTTGTTTTCTGAGTTGAAGGAACTACCTGCTTGAAACTATGACAAAAGCTTTACTTTCACCTTTTACGTAAGTAAGAAAATTAGAAGTTACAGGGTAGGTTTTTGACGACCCTTAGAGCATTGGTAAATTTTCATTTTTTCCCTTGTTCTTAACCTGATGAATTTAAATTTTGAAAAGTCTTGCTGTATAGAATATATATGTACACATACCTTCAGATTGCTGCCTTCTAAAGATGCCACACCATTTTCCCACTGCATTGAATCCATGACATCAAAATCTGCCACTGGGGCTGGTGTAGTGGCATGGTCTGTGCCTGACTCCTCTGATTTGACTGTGTCAGACAGAGATGTTACCTCAGTTTTGGAATTGACAACATCCTTTTCCCCTTTGTCACCTCTAGAATCGGGCACCTGTTCTACCTCCATTGGCGAAAGTCTTGTTTCCGAGGAGTCTGCCTCCTCCACTTCAACCTCTACTTTTGGTTGTTTGCTTTCATCAGACTGATTTGGTGTCATTTCTGACGTTGTATCTTTTGCATCAACTTCAGAAACAGCCGTTTCATTCAACTTAGTTTCTTGGGACAATTTCACAGATACTGTGTCATTTGAACTAGAAATACTTTCCTCAGAGTTACATATCACAGTTCTGGGCTCATTACTGCGGGATTTTTCCTGATCTTGTTCTGATGTACATTTAATAGCACTGTCCTCTGCCTCAGTCTTTTGAGTAGCGTTGACTATGACATTTTCTGAGTAGGTGGGAGATTTATCCCCATCTCCAGAACCTGTGTCGGCATCAGTGGCAGGCAACTGTGTTGGCACACTTTCATCTGGTTTAACTAATGTATCTGTATCAGTGTTGGAATGTTTAACACTAGAAATGTTTTTGGAATCATCATCCTCTTTTTCTTTTTTGATATTTTCTATGATAACACTGGTCTGAGTTTCATTACTTGATGACTGGTCGTTGGGCACTTCGTTTGACACTGGAGCCTGTTTAACAGCTGTGCTCTGGTCTGATGGGACACTGCTAACTGGTGTTGAGACTGTGGTAGGAACAGCATTTATTGCTGCTACCAAAGGAATAGTTGCAGATGTTCCTACAGGGATTGTTACTAAGGGTGATGCTGAGGTTGCTATGGGGACTGTTGTTGGCACAGCAGTCCTCATAGCAGCTGCTGCTGTATTTATGGGAATAGTTGTTGTTGCAGTTACCAGTGGACCAGTCCTCAATGGGGATGCAGCAGTAACCATGACAACTGCACTTGTATGTGGCCTTGTCATTGATGTGACAGGGATTTTGTTAGAAGTAGAAGTAAATTGTAAGGCAGGACTTGCTGAGGTCATTTGTACAGACTGACCACTAGCACCCATCTGAATAGCCTGACTGTTAGCAGTCATTTGTATTGCTTGACTGTAGGTTGGAAGCCTTGGAGGTGCCTGAGACACCAGAGCTATAGGCTTACTCCCTGGAATCATTTTCCCTTGCTGTGTTGGATTATGAATTGCAAAAACATTTGGCGATCCGACTTTGAGCTCCTGACCTTTGGCCCCTATGATAGGTTTGACAGTCCAGGCTTGTTGTAAAGGAACTCCACCTGCTTTTGTTCCTGGCTGTATCTGATTCACAAAAATCTGTCCCTTGTTGTTTTGCAATATCTGCTGAACTGGTGCTCCTTTACCTGGCCGAACCTGTAGATTTTGAGGATTTATTTTTGTTACCATCTGGGGGGCGAATTTCTGTTGCACGGTGATGGCCCCAGGGGGCAGGGCTTGAGCCATGATTCCTGGTGGAAACTGAGACAAAGTCACTTGGGTCATGGCAACTTGTCCAGGTACCTGTACAATTATTGATTTAAAGGAACAAAAATATTAAAATTAAGTGTTTTTATCCTTCTGTGGAAGAAGGGGAAATTTCAGAAATAAGGGTAAATCTTTATGACATACAAGAAGATAACATGAATGAAATATGACAATGCTGAGGTTACGTTGATATTTCTTTTTCTTGATAGCATGATTTGGAAACATGTTATATAAAATATACTAATTAGCTCTGTTTTGGGGAAAGTTTTCTCTGCTTTGGGGAAATTTCCCAATGTTTTAAGTACATTTTCTTCATGAGGACTTGGTTTATGTTCAGAAGGGAAAACATACCTCCTGAGGAATACTATTTCGGTAGTACAATTTGTCTAAATTAATCCCTGCCATTATCTAATTCCTCTGAGAACCTATTGATATAAGGCTTCAAACCATGCTTTATCTAAGATGAAGTTTACAGATTATAACAAATTTGACACCTATGACCTTGAAAGTCATAGCCTGAAAAGGCCAAGATCCATCATTTATACAAAACTTCCAAAGCATGCCTCAGACCAAAACTGGACAATATCCTGCTATTCCTAATGACAAGATAGATTTTAATGAAATTCATTGTTTTCTCTATTGGGCCCTGCCCCTCTGACCCTAGAGGGCTGAGATCTACCATTTATTCAAAACTGTTTTCCTTTACCCAAGCATGCAATATTATCTTACTGTCTTGTATTTGCAGCTTTATGCTGCCATGTGATACTATTGTCATCAGACAGTACATTATTGCCCTGTATAGTGATATTATTTCACTGTGACAATATTGTCTAGTTCTATGACAGCGCTGTCCTAACTCACCAGTTTGCCCCCTTGAGCTTGAGGCTGTAGCTGTATGTGCTGGGGCTGCATTGCTGGGCGCATGATAGTCATGCGTGGTTTCATGGTGATGGTACCCCCCGACTGCTGCACCTGGTTCTGTGCAATGAAAGTCGCTGGAGTCTGGGTCCTCATCTGTGGTATTGATGTTGGGTTAGGTATCTTCAGTTGGGCCTGTTTACCTGCTAAACACAAATCACCAACAAATGATATTAGAAAACATGATCTCCTTCGATATTGTTTAGTGATGGGAAACCATTAATAAAATCCATAAAAAATTATTTGTTGAAATCAAAAAAGCTTTCAGATGCAGTCAGCTGGTTAAATAATTTTTTGTGTACTTCATATTCAGTGAAAATAGAGTGCTTTCTCTCTGGCAGTAATACTCAATTTGTTGCCACTTTAACCTCAAAGACAACACTAAACTAAATTTTGCATACAGAATAAAAGACCATTGTCATCTTCATGAATCGTTATATGACCATTACTTTTGCTACACCATAAAAGAATATTATGTATTAATGATCAATGATGATAATTGAGTTGAGTTGAGAATATATTTGATCACTGTCCTATCACTAATTATCAACATAACTAAATATACAAATAGAATCTTGGTTCCTTTAAGCATTTAAACAAGAGGCACAAAGGGCCTGCATCGTTCACCTAGTATCTAATGTTCATCAAAAATACCATCAATTTTTTTTTTTTACAAATACATTAACATGTGCACTATTGACATTCAAAGAGGGCACATCCAATCAATATTAACCAATTTCCACATTTCACAAATGTTGTCAGTCTTCATACAAGAGACTTACTAGCCAAATATCATGCTCTTAGATTTTGGTTCCAAAGAATGAGTCATATCAAGGTTTAAACAAGTTTGACCCCACAGACCTTGAATATGGGTCAAGGTAATTTTTTTCGGAAGATTTGTCAGGTTTCATCCTCTGAACCTATCAGTCAAATATGCTTCTAGGCTTCTGATTAATCAGATGACAATTAAAGATTTAAACAAAATTTATCCTTGTGACCTTGAATGTATGTCAAGGTCATTTTTTCCCTTTGGACAAGGTGAGCTAACAAAAATGTGTATTGGATATGTTTCACTTATATTCTTTTTAAAGATTTGCAGTAATTTAAAAACGAAATGTCATTTTATATAGCTTTTCATTTCAGGTAATCACATCTTGTTTTCTTCACAAACATGTATAAAAATGAATCAATTTCCAAATCTATACCATGAAATTTTTGATGCAATGACACACCCACATGAGGACACTATTACATTTTTTGTAACTCTGGCAAGCCTTATCAATTTTATCCACCTTTCATAGAAATCACTGAAATGTTTAAATATGTACGCAAGAACATGACATAAGAAAATATGCTGACAAGCACAATAACACATTTGAGGATGTGAGTTAAAAACTTCAGTTGGCGTAGTATGATCCATTGATTTTCACAGTAAATGGCAGTGCAACCCAGAACTAATGACTTGTTTGGGGAACATAAAACAGGACCCTAGAGTATTCAAATCTAAAACAGGCTTTTAGATACATCAAATGAGCCATGAACTACAGAATCCCTTTCTAGATCAAAACCAAGTATAGATTCTTCTCTAAATATCCTTTACCATGTTATATTGTAAGGTCCATTCATGTTCATAAGACATCGTATGTAAAGCATGTTGATTTCCTACTGTAGCAGAAGTGATGCTCGTTAATACTAATAATACCAAGCAATGCATGTCACATACAGCAATGTAGAGAGATATGGGGAAGAGTGGATTCTCTTGCACGCTTCAAAGACTCAGAAACACAAATACTGGATAGAACTTTCATATTTTCCCACGAAACATTAAATCAAACTGAAGCATGTTTCTACTTCTGTGTAAAATATATGAAACTTCAAAGGACTTAACATTATATTAAGTGTAATTCTGCCAGTCTTTATGGTTAAAGTCGTTACTTTCAAATAGTTTAATGAGACAGAATTTGGTATCATCAAATATTTCTGTCTGAGACAACCTTTTTTGATTATTTAAAACAAGGTAAAGCACCGTGATGTGGTAGATTTCACACCACAAAATGCATCCTGACCAAATAAGGAGAAGAGAGTTCTGCTTTGAATGATGGAGAAAATGTAGTTGTTTCCTTCTCAAGTAAGTTTTGTTGTCAAATTCATGAAAAATCAATAAATATCAATCTAAATGAGGTATTGCCATGAATATTTATAACTTCGATTATAGGCCATCAAATAAGTTTAATTCACAAAAATAATAAGCAGATGTAAAGCTAGGACGCCAATTTTGCAATCAACAAGGTTTTTGGGTAAAGATGCATTTTTTTCCATAGTATTATCAGTAGAGATTTTCAAAATATTGTTTCCAAGAATCTCTTGGCTATGATTTTATTCACCAGGTGTAATTATGATGTCCTGCATTACATTCGGTTTAGGATCCGAGTCTATATTACATCCCAGACATATTCTGTTACACGGATATACCTCTCATACACTAGGAGATTTTATGTTAAATGCAATAGCATGCAAAATTGTTTAACAGAGAGTCTGTGCTCATTTCATCATCAAAATATTAAATCTATTACAGAATATAAAGACATAATGAAGACATGAAATGTTCTGTGCATCCAAGGAACAACTAGCAAATATAATATGTAACATGCCTCTTATCCACTATTTGTTAAATGTACACCAGTCTTTCATGTATATCCTGAAATTTCTTATCTTATATGAAGCTAGGAATCTTACATTTTGGTCATATTTGAAAGTATTTCATCGCGACGAAACGATGGACACTAAACGGCATCAATCAATCCAGCAAACCTTGGTTAAAATTGTAAAATTACTGCACTATATTTTGTCGGTGGTCAATCTTCAAAGCCATTTTGTTGTAAGATATTCAAAGACTTGTAATTTCCGATTTGTTCCCAATAAATTCTGTCATTTCAAACATTTTCAATTGGCTTATGTAGTTGTCTAATATCTGGGACATAACACTGGGCTTATATCATCGCCACTCCACCAGTATATAGGTCATCTTTGGCATTGTAGTCCGATAGTGCAGATGTGTGTTAAACAGCCGTAAATGACCTGTGATATGCACGTCAAACATGTCTTAAAACATATACCAATCTACTCGTAAAAGAAATAAATCCCTTGTAGTTTCAATGTCTGGGATGTAACATTAAAACACAATTTACACAAGCACCAAATGATTTAATTTCTTTAAAACATGTTCAGAAGTTTTTCGTTACATTCACAGTGCTGGGGACATAAACCACTTTTGTGAGGATATACACAATCACATAGTGGAAATAATACACAATTTAATGTCATTCCTAGTATATCTGTGGATGAAAAACATTTATGACACAAAAAGTAAGGTCAAGGTGCAAATTTTTCAAAATGTTTTAAACATAAATTAATGTACATTTCTGAAAAGTAAATGCATTTCCTTGATCTCTTCCATTCTTATTCCAATCTTAATCCATTCACCTTGTCTTAATAACACTGAACAAAACAGATATGTGAAAACACCTCTCGACTAACAAAAAATGGCATGGTGTCCATTCCAAATGAAACGTAAAATAGAAACTGTGATGTAAATATTTCATAATGTTACAAAATGTTTTGGTAGTTATAGCCTTGTTTGAAGAACTTTCAATTGATTTTATAAATATTTCATTCAACAAACAAGATTTGGTGATATATTGAAAAGGACCCACGTAACATAAATTTCATGACGCCAAATTTTGCCTCCAATATAAATACCTTAATTCGGCCAGTCTTTATGGTTTAAGTTGTCAAAAGTTGACAAAATTTTGAACTTTCCTTTGCAGAATCCAAAATGGTCAAATCGAAGCCATTTTGTTTCTTCTAATCAGTCCCAAAATTAAACCAGCTGAAGGAGAGACCAAAGGGAACATATGTATCAATTTAAGGACATCCATTCAGTAGTTCTTAAGAATAAGCAATAACAAACTTTACTAGGCAAAATCCAAGATGACTACCTGTCAGCCATTTTGGTTTTCTGATCAGTCCCAAACTCACACAGGTACAAGGAGAGACCTAAAGGAACATATACAAGAAATTTGAGAAAGATCTATAGAGTAGTTCTCAAGAAACAGTGATTATAAACTTTAGACATCAAAATCCAAGATGGCCACTTGTGGGCCATTTTGGTTTTTTTTCTGCTAAGTAGCAAAATCAAACAGGCATGGCATAGAAATTTGAGAAAGATCCATCCAGTACTTCTCAAGAATAGCGATAAAACAAACTTTTGAAAGCAAAACCGAAGATAGCCACCTGTTGGCCATTTTGTATTTCTCATCAGTCCCATAATTAGATGGGCACAACTAGGGACCAAAAGGAACCGATATATGAAATTTGAGAAAGATCTATAAAGTAGTTTTCAAGAAATAAGAATAACAAACTTGCAAAGTCAAAATCCAAGATGGCCACCTGTCAGCCATATCATGTTTATGATCAGACCCAAAATCAAATGGGCACAACTAAGGACCAATGGGAACCTACATATGAAATTTAAAAGAGTTTGATAGCTTAGTTTACAGAAATAGCAATAACAAACTTAATTGAAAAAATCCAAAATGGCTGCCTGTCTTCCAATTTGGTTATTTTATCTGTCCCAAAATCAAACAGGCACAACTAAGGACCAAGGGGAACCTACATATGCAATCCAGTACTTCTCAAGAAATAGTGATAACAAAAATTGTGAGCAGACGGATGACAGATCATGGACGCAGAGCGATTTGCTAGACTAAAAATTTGCTTTATTTCCCCTATTAGGCCTTGCCCCTCCTGCCCTATGAGGCGAAGACCCAATGTTTACATATAATTGATTCCCTATCACCCAAAAATGCTAAAGACAAAATTTGGGCAAAATCCAGGTATTCCTACAGGAGTAGTAGGATTTCGAAGAATTTGTTCTATTTTCCTTAATTGGGTCTGCCCCTCCCTATGCAGCAGGTAGAGACTAACCATTTATACAGACAGATGCTGCAGTATGCCATAAGCTCACTTGTCTTTTAACAAGCTATATTATGTCCAGCACTTGTTTACACTTAATGGAAAACTACAATGTAAATGAGTAAGAAGGTTGTCAATATTCACATTATTATTACAAGGTGATATATTCAAGCTGTATTAGAGGTAATATAACATATAAAATGAGGTCTGAGCAAAATGACATTTCCCTAAATTATCATTTAAAGAATCAACAATATGCATGCTCTAGGATTCATTTCAACGAAACATTTCTGTACAATACTGCCATCAAAACATACCAGGGTTTTTTTCTCCATAAAACTACTGCAGCTCTAGCCTTCAAACAGATTTCAGAGAGGAAAATAACAAAATATTCCAAGTTTGTTTTGATGCTTTTAGGAGCAGATTTTCACAACAATAAGGCTGAGTTACTGATCACAACATCTTCATGTAAATTTAGTGCTATGGCAGATGGAAAGCAGAGCTGCCATGTAATCACCATGAGAATAAATCAATACAGGTCTCCAGTCTAGGTTGCTGGACTAACATTTTTAGTCTCTGCCTTGTGTGTACATCTACATGTACACATGAATGAAATAATTATACACTGTATACACATCAATAGTTAGACTGAAAATTCTAATTTTGCATATAGCTGAATTATTAATACATCTAATCAAGAAATGAAAAATAAACCTACCGTTTGATATTGTGAGACTTAATGCACTGGGAAAATTAGCTGAAGACGATGGGATTACGGTCACAGGAGTAGCTGTCATTAATGGAATGGAAGGGGTCGTCATGGTAACTACAGGAAGCTGAGCAAGCGGTTTAGTTGTCTCCAAACCATCAGTCTTTGCCTTTTTGGCTGGTGGTGGGCTTTGCTCATTTGGAGGCTGTGGTGTAGACATTGCTTTTCATCTGATGACTGAACAAGAGAAAAAAAAATAATCTGGTTTTGTGAAATATAATTGTTAGTAGAAATTTAAATCTGCACTAACACATCAAATAGTAATTGTACTAGATCTAATATACTACTTTATGATTTTATATAACAAGAGAAATTTTTATATATCATTTTGAAAAAAAAAAAAACATCACAATATATATATGTGTATAAACCTGGCATGAAACACTTGAAAATTTTAGATGCATGCATTGGTCAACTTTTGTGAAATTAATCATGATCTTAAGTATGTTGAAGAAGAGGCCCTTCGGCTATAAGAGTCATCCTTCATCAAGGATGTATAAGAAAAAGCAATAATAGTACAAGTAAACAGTCCAGATTCAGAATTTTTTAGTCTACGGTTGGAATCATTCACCTATTCTACAGCTTACACAGAAGACTTCTAAGGTTCATAAAGTCATCAATCTCTGCAAGTCTGAAATCTTATTCCTCAAGCATGCTACTAAAAAAACTTCCTAAATCCAGCTCCATAATCAAGAGAAGAGTGGTTCAAAGTCACTGATTTGAACAATTTTGGTAGCTTTTCATTCTAGCAAGCTAGAGACCATATATCATGACCCACTAGGAACTAATGCTTGTTGAAATAAATTAGAAGTGTTTAACATATATTATCCCAATGACTTTGCAATCCTAAACCCCTATGACTGGGTAGATAACAATCCTAAACCCCTATATCTGTTCAAGTGAATGAACTCAACCAATTTACAATTTCAGAGGGCAATAAATGTGTTAAAATCTTTAAATGACTTCTTTGTATTAATCAAGGCCAAGGGTGCTGAGATGGTACTGAAGCATAGTGGGAGGAAGGACTACCAAGTGTGTCAAAACGAATTACTTTGATCCTCTTTCAAAGAGGTTATACATGTTACAATCTCCAAATAACTTAATGTTAATAACTGAGCACACAAAGCAAATGAAATTTGTTCTATAGTATAATTGGGTGAAGGGCTACCATATTCATTCATATAATTGACCTTGACCCTTTTTCAAGGTCACAGAGGTCAAATGTATTAAAAATCTTCAAACAACTTCTCAATAAGTGAAAGGCCTATTGTGTTTATGTTAGTCCTCTAGCAAGATGGGAAATATGAAGGACTACCAAGTTTGTTGAAGTAAATGATCAAGACCCATTTTCAAGGTTTGGAGAGTTCAGATGTGTTAATATCTTTTAAACAACTTCTTCTTGATAACCAAAAGGCCAAGGGTGCTGATGTTGGTCCTGTGACATACTGGGATGAAGGGCTTCAAAGTTTCAAAGTCCAAATTAATAATCTTGGCCCACTTTCAAGATCATGGGTCAAGCATGTTAAATTATTCAAATAACTTCTGTAATGATGAAAAACGTCCAGGCTATTGATAGCAGTTGTTTAAGGTTATTGGATGAAGAGCTACCATATTTATTGAAATGATTGATCATGATCAACTTGCAAAGGATGCTGCAGGACCAATATCAGCACCCTTGGCCTTTTGGTTATCAAGAAGAAGTTGTTTAAAAGATATTAACAAATCTGAACTCTCCAAACTTTATTTTGACTTTTGAAAAGAACTTGTTTAAAGTTTTTTTTTACAAACTTGACCCCTATCACCTTGAAAGTGGATCAGGGTCATTGAGATGAACAAACTTGGTAGCCCTTCTAATAATAAGGCAACATGGACAATATAATTATTTATGCTATTATAATTAATAATATCTAGCATGTGAGGATGCATGTGCATGGTGTAATGTCCATTGTTTTTAAATAAACACAAAGAGGATAGATTTCCAACAGTATAATCTAATAAGGCATAATGTAAAGTTTTGCTCCATCTTTTGATAGAACATTTATTACTATGTGGAAGCATCCTTCCTGTTTCTTTTTTCATATGTTTTGATTAAGGTTGGATAAAAAAAAATCAGCAAAGATCTTCACTATCTCTCTGGAAAAATCCATCCTAATTGACATGTTGTTTCCCTGAATTATCATTTACTGGTTTTTGAAATTTAAATACTTTTTTGCATTTAATTCAATTCATTTTCTCTCTTCTTCTTTTTTTAAAATGAAACCTTAGCCTTTATATGCTATCTATGCAAAATTAAAATGCAGAAAATGCATGACATCCAATTTTTCAAAAATATATTCTTGTTTTAAGATTATTATTATTATAATTTTTATCATTACTATTTTGTTATTTTTAAACATTTGCCAAGATCATTTCACACTGGAAATTAATCATTTATAATCTTGTCATGGAAATCAATATTACCATAGTACCACTGGAATGACTTTCATATAAACAGCAAATATTAAATCAATTTACTATTTGCTTTCGCAAAAGAACGGATACGACATTTACATCCTATATAAAATACTTATGACCTGTCCGACAGTTTTTTACGGTATGTCACATGATGCGTATCCTGTTTAGGAGACACGATAAGCTTGACAGCCATTAAAACAAATAAAAAAATTAATTTATTAAATACGTTAAAAATAAAGTAGCACGTCAGAATGCTAAAATACATGTTTTAATATCGAAAGACTCTTGTTTCGGAAACTGACAGAAGCAAATATAATTTTAAACCGTATGTAAACATTGAACAAGGAACCCGAAAAAAAGCCGATGACCTTTTACATTACAGAAATGGCGGCCCGAAGAGAAAGGCTGTTAACAAACCAATTTCAACCACCGCCACAAATATCATAACTCCAACTTGTTGCATAATATCAGAATGAATAATGTCTCTTATTATCCACTAATTTATTCTTTTAATTACATACACTTTTCCTGTTTTCTTATATTTTTATTTCCCGAAACCGAGAACGCGTGAGTGCGGCCTCGTTTTGGCGAGTAAATTATGAAGGTTCAAGAAATAGAAATAAACCAAAAAGTACTTAAAAAGTTCATTTAGAAAAACAAGATAAAATTATTGTGATCACTAAATCATGCAAATTTACTCGGTTTCCACAGATCAATATACAGACAATTTGTTTTCGGATTGGTGAAATTATTAACTGCGTTTTGAGCAACACAATGTTACTATTTTCGCCGAAGGAAACGCAAGCAAAAACGAAAACTTGGTCAATATACATATTTGACATAGAAAAACAGATTAAAATGAATGATGCACGTAATAAACGATGGTCAAGAAGTGTAAAACAATTTGATTTCGTGTGGTTGCTATTTATATTTTATCCGTATATGTCACAGTTACAATGAAAATCGCAAAAAATGTTCAACTTACCTATCTTTTCAATAGCTCATCGCCATTACACGTATTTTGTGGTGGGAGGTTAATGGCACAGCATTCGAAAATGGTTGGCTGTTCCGTCACCATTCGGAAGTACTTTCGATTTATCTTGATATCAACGCAAATTATATCACTGCTGTCACTGAGCAACGTTTCTTGAATTTTATTACAAAATAAACATATCAAATTTACCTTAATCTCTAAGACACTTTTTAAGAAATAGCAGTATCATTATGACAATAGCTAAATTTTCTTGTGTAATGTTTTTGTACAACGTTCATGATGCGTGTGCGTGAAGACTGACGTCATTCACTGTTGTTGTTTTGGTTTTTCACTACGTATCTCCGAACTTTTGCACGGATTCTTTGCTTTTGGATATATCTGGTAAGATTCGCAACTTAGTACATATTGCTAGATATGTCTACTTAACTACAAACCGAGAAAAGTTATGTGAACAATGCAGTGTCATGCGAGCTGATGTAAATCGAACGGTGCAGATTCAAGTAGAAATGAGACCGTGCAATCTGTCAGTAACAGCTGATGGTCGTCTTTTGTTCACGGCTAAGAAACGAAGCTAACTCGAACATTGAAGCATTGAATTGTGCTATTTTAAATAATATGGATGCGGATATGGATGGGTGTTTTAATCAATGATAAATCATTTATCAAACTTGCAAAAGAAAGAACTGAGTAATAATGGCTATACATTGATCACGTGACCGTTTGTTTATATTATTCATTACGTTTGGCCATGAAGGATATGAAAGGTTTTCTAAATCAGTTTCATGGGAACGGGGCTTTTCCCCAACATGTCGTTCGCGGTTTTTTATTGCCACTTATGTCATAATATTAGAAAGAAACTGAATAGCAGTCTGTATGACAAATTAGAACAACTTGCAAACCGTACATTTTGAACCGTATTTATAGGATTTTTTGAGTTCCCAGTAGAAGTATATTGGTCTTAGTCTAGCACTGCGAAGATCATTGGGTTAGCAGGCAAATTTGTTGATGCAGTATTTTCACTAGCTAGGCAGATAGATGTCAGGTCTATAAGTCTGTCAATATAGTAGCATCCATGACAAAATAATTTGCTTATATTAGAGTTCTTTGCACCATTAATACTGTAATAGGAATCATAATATGTGTCAAAATATACCCAGGAATTTCCCTTGGATTATATATACATAGGCCCATGCTCAACCAACTGAGCTATCCTGATCCTCTGTCATTGAACTTGTATGATATATGTTAACATACCTCTTCACTGCATGGCAGATCCAGAGGGGGATGCACCCAGCGTTCACCTCCCCCTAAAATTAGCCAAGTGATCAAGTTTTGTGAGAATGAAAATTGAATTTTCGTCAGACCATATGCTTAAAGGTCCACTGCTATTCAATCAAATACAAACTGGGGACATTATATGTTAGTATTCTTAAAGAATCAAGGCTTCTATGCCCCGAAGCAGACTCTGACAATTTGTTACTTTTTTAACTACCCAAAGATGGTCATTAGTTCTCATTCTTTCAGGTGAATAAGAATGGACCTGAAGGGAGGGTTATCATATCATTCCTATGCAACACTGTCCCTTTAGCTATTTTTTTAATTAATTTTAAATTTTAAAATAGCAACCGCATGTTACCTTTACAATTAGTTTCAAAATTATAAACATGGATAAGGAAGCATCAGATATGCAGTTTGATAGATAATTTTTCCACATCCAAAATGCAAATATTCTTTTGTACACTTTTTAGCCCACCATCTGATGATGGTCTGTGGTCCGTCATCAGTTAGTAAACAATTTTTGTTATTGCTATTTCTTGAGAAGTTCTTGATGGATCATTCTCAAATTGCATATGAAGATTTCTCTAGGTCTCCAGTTGTGTCCATGTAATTTTGACAATGATCAGAAAAACAAAATGGCCGAAAGGTGGCCATCTTGAATTTTGATTTTGAAAGTTTGTTATCACTATTTCTTGAGAAGTACTTGATGGATCTTTCTTAAATTTCATATGATGGTTCCACTTTGTCCCTAGTTGTGCCCATTTGATTTTCAGTATGATAAAAAAACACAAAATGGCTATCAGGCAACCATCTCGTATTTTAATTATGAAAGTTTGTTATTGCTATTTCTTGAGAACTGCAGCATATAAAAAGCTGTAAGAGCTTTGGAAGGATATCATAGGCGAACAATGGGACTCCAGTCACATATATGTAGCTACCTTTAAGCAAAGTATGCTGCTGGATTTATTTTCATAAAACAAGTCATTTGCAAAACCAGCCTGATATCTTTTTCAGCTTTTTGGGGATTTCCCCCTTGCTGAGGGTTCCCCTTGCACCCTGAACCCCCAATTTGCTTCATGCATTGCCTCAGTCAAATATCTCTGTCATTCTCCCCCATATATGGGACTTCACTTCTTTGCATGTAGAAAAACATAAAAGACAAACTCCGATAAAAAGGATGGGGGAGCAGGGGGATTTTTCAGTTAAAAAGAAAATTGTGCTCCCTTGAACCTGAAATCCTGGATCTATGTCTGATCTATCACTTTCAATTTCACTGCATCAGTTAGTAACTCAACAGGCACATGATATAACCTACAACGAAGTATCGGGCAGTTGATTTGGAAACTTGCTTCACAGTAGTGATGCTGCTATTTCTTTCTTTAAGTCAACGAAATCATAGGCATACCTAATTTGCCCCCGTATTGCATTATTTTCATCTGCGAACATTTGACCGAAAATTGAAATCTGTACATATATACCTTTGAAACCCATGGCACACATTCGTAATTTGTGAACCATTGACCCCATTCATTATGCTCTGTTAACACATGGATCAAACATTGTGATCTTTGATCCCTTTACCACCTAGTGTGGTCTTTGAATGTTTGACTGTCATATTGTGATTTGTGAACCTTTGAATCCTTGTATAGTAATCATTGAACCTGTTAGATCCATGTACATCGTAATCTGTGAACATTTGATCACATAAGACATATCTTTGTTACCATCTCTTTTTGTTTTAGGTCACCTTACTCAAAGGGTGAGGATAACCAATAGCCATTGTGTTTTGACCATCATCAACAACCTTTGTTGTAATATTTATTTTTTTAGGTCACCTGACTCGAAGGGTGAGGATAACCTATAGCCATTGTGTTTTGACCATCATCAACAACCTTTGTTGTAATATTTATTTTTTTAGGTCACCTGACTCAAAGGGTGAGGATAACCTATAGCCATTGTGTTTTGACCATCATCAACAACCTTTGTTGTAATTTTTTTTTTAGGTCTGGAAATGTCAGGATGACCAGATGGAGCATCAGACTATATATCCTAAACTGTTATAATCTGTGAAACTTTGACTACAAACTTTTGTGATCTATTAAAACTTACACTGTTGTAATACATGCACCTTTGACCTTTACTATTGTAATATAAGAACCCTTGGTCTTTACTGTTGTAACATATGCACCTTTGACCTTTACTGTTGCTATCTGTGAACTGTTGACCTACAAATTTTTGGGATCTATGAAAACTGATGCTGTTGTAATCTATGAAACCTTGACCATCATTGTTGTAATCTATGAACCATGAACCCTTGACCTTCGTTGTTGTAATTTATGAACTGTTAACATTTACTGTTGTAATCTATGAACCCTTGACCTTCTTTGTTGTAATCATGAACTGTTGACCTTTACTGTTGTAATATACATCATTGGCCTTGAATTGCATATTGTGATCTTTGTTGCTGTGGAACAAAAGTAGTCTTTGCTAAAGACTAACCACAATATACTACTGGATTTCTTTAGTTTGATCAGTTGAAGCTCAAACTATATATCTAGTAAGCCAGGGTCCAAGGTTTGAATCCTTATGTAGGTAGTGCAATAAATCAAGACCTCTGTTACACGAATGACGTCACTCTTTATTCTACTGTAGCATTGATTCCTTGACATCACACAGGTGTGATCATATATCTTTGACTTCATCATGAATTGTTGAACTAGTCTGGTAAAATTATGCTGTTTCAGAACTGCAACTTTGTGAAATTGACATCCAACAACAGTGATGGGTGGAGCGGTGAGTACAGGGGAAGACAATGATGAGCTAGTGGATAACTTGGTGGGTGCTGAATACATAAAAACTTCCATGGTAGAGAAAGTATTCCGGGCTGTGGACCGGGCCAACTATTATCTGCCTGACCAGCGAGGAAATGCCTACAAGGATCTGGCATGGAAACATGGACACCTCCACCTGTCTGCTCCATGTATTTACTCCGAGGTGATGGAGTCCCTTCTTCTAGAACCTGGGAAATCTTTCCTCAATTTGGGAAGTGGTACAGGTTATCTAAGCACAATGGTGGGACTTATACTTGGTAAGTACCTTTATATCTTAACACCATGGTGGGACTTAATACTTGGTAAGTACCTTTATATCTTCACACCATGGTGAGGCTTATACTTGGTAAGTACCTTTATATCTTAACACCATGGTGAGGCTTATACTTGATAAGTACCTTTATATCTTAACACCATGGTGAGGCTTATACTTGATAAGTACCTTTATATCTTAACACCATGGTGAGGCTTATACTTGGTAAGTACCTTTATATCTTAACACCATGGTGAGGCTTATACTTGATAAGTACCTTTATATCTTAACACCATGGTGAGGCTTATACTTGGTAAGTACCTTTATATCTTAACACCATGGTGAGGCTTATACTTGGTAAGTACCTTTATATCTTAACACCATGGTGAGGCATATACTTGGTAAGTACATGTACCTTTATATCTTAACACCATGGTGGGACTTACTTCACCATAGCCATGGTAAAGTGGAGCATTACACTATTTTCTTACTTATTATTTTCTTTTCACCATTTTTTTTTTTAATTTTAATGCCCAGATGCATTCATATAAACACATAATTCAAATGGTGAAGTGAACCATCTCTGCCCCACCCTAAATTTCCTCAACCAAGACATATTTTTTGTTATTTGTGTGTTTATTTGAGTTAATAAGGGTGATCAGAAAAAAATGGTTGAAAAAGTTAATTAGTAAGTAAACAGTGTAATGCTTCATTTTACCATGGCCCAGCCCAACCCTAAGTTTCCCCAACCATTGTTATATAAAAAAATAACAAAATATAAAGTGGCGTCACTTTACCATTATGGTATTTTGACCCTGGTTCATTTCCCCATGCTTCACAATACCATGCTACACTGGGTATATATTTATACAACATGGACTTTAAGTCAATGTCTGCCAATAACTATGTGGTGTTATGATGATAGTTTATATAATATATTCTAATAATAGCTGTATGTGAAAATGTTGGTGTGAAAGTGTGTGTATTTTTGTATGAGTTATCTCCCTTTATATATGATCTACTTCACTTTAGTCACCCCAGAGAGAAATTATATAGGGTTTGCCTTTTGTTCAATCCCACTGACTGAATTTGTGTTACATTTTTCGTTGATAAAATTTGTTGAAATGATATAAGTTTGCCAACATCTATTGAAGTTATTGAAGTATTTATCAACAAGTGTCATATCATTGTCCTGTAAAATAAAGGCCACCTGTTACTGTAATGTGTTTAATGCAAAAAAGATGTGGCTGGTCAAGAAAGATTAGTGAATGAAATTCATATCAATTTATTTTAAAATACCTGTTGTTGATATTTGTCTTTGTGGTTGTTTGAAGGTCCCTATGGAATTAACCATGGCGTGGAATACCACACAGATGTGATCGAATATGCACAGAAGAGACTGGAAGAGTTCAAACTAAAGTGCAAGACTTTTGATGATTTTGAGTTTTGTGAGCCCAGGTTTGTCCAAGGGAACTGCCTCCAGATTCCTTCCAGTTGTCGTCTGTATGACCGGGTATATTGTGGTGCCTCTTGTCCTCCTGAACACGAGAACTACATGAAGAATCTGTTGGCTGTAGGGGGAATACTTGTAATGCCAATTAATGATCAGGTACATCTTAAAATCTATCTTCTGTAGGAATGCAAGGATTCTGAAGCACGCTTGGGTGAAGGCAAATTTGTATAAATGTTTTGGCTGATCCCCTTGGGTTAAAAGGGTTGGGCCCAATGGGAAATGATTATAAATCATTTTCCTTTAATTTGGTTGAAGGGATTTCAGGGAAACAAAGCCAGATGCGTGATACATGCCCTATGAGCCTCTTATTTGGTTTTTAAAGTGGTTCCTATTATCTTAGTAGCTAAGAGGTACAGGATGATGCTGTTTGGTTATTTGTATATTGCTTTCAATCGCTATTGATATTAGTAAAAAAATATTGTCAAATTTTAACTTTCAGTTTTAATAAGGGGTCACATGTGGAAAAGTCTTTTTCGGGTAACACAAATAAATAATCTGAAGCTGTACAGTGTTGAGTCTAGATATGTAATATAAGGTTGAAACTAATTATCTCAAAATTCAAGGGATTGTGGAAAACATTTCGACTTCTCCGAATTTGGACTCAAAGTGTCCAAATAAGGTTGACAATGTTATTTTCCTGGCGTTGATTATGGTTGTACAAAGTAGGGGCTACGATAGCATGGTACGTTGTATTACAAACAACATAATTTATTCTGTTATTTGAAATGGCAGTTAATAAACAAAAACATTTGCTAATTTCTCCTTTAATTGCGTATTCATTCAAACAACAAAACAATTCAATCAAAGACGTTTTTACTCGCGTTATTTCATTCTGCTCATGTGTACACTACCCTTACTGACCAAGCACATATAGATCATATATTTTACCGAATGACGGACAGAGACCAAGTGTTGTGTGTATGATAGACTGATATGCTGTAATTAGCCATGTGTTATGTACAGGTGACTTTCTATTCTGTGTATGTATTGACCAATTTTGTCAGAAGATGTGCCAATGTTTTGACAAAAATTGATTTACAATTGAAGGGACTGGAAAATCGCTTGACTCAACCAAAATTTCGACTCAATGAAATTTGAGTCATCCGAACTAAAATCACAGAGATACAGATGGAAAAATATTCGGACTTGAAAATTCTTTTGACTCAAACAGAATTTCGACTCAAGCGATTTCAAGACAATGAGTTTCAACTGTATAAATTGCTTGAACGGTTAGCTACCATGATTACGGAAATGATTGGCCCATAAGTAAGATATTGTATGGGTGAAAAGCCTGTCATATTGTTTGCCAATCATTTCTAATTATATGGTGTTTTTATTGGTAATTTCAAATGAAAGTTAATTTTTTCTGCTGCTATTTGTAACAATTTTAAAGATCAGTTTTAGTTGATGGTTGAAAGAATATTTGGGTTGTAGCTTTTGCAGATTCGTCGTACCGGGGAGACAGCGTGGGAGAACAAGGGTGTTATGACTGTATCATTTGCAGCACTGATTTTTCCTCTGAAGGAGGAGTTGGAGGATACTGTAGAGCTGCGTAAGTACATCATCCTCATCTTAAAGCTTCCCAGTTCTTTGTAGGCGTTATGTACCCTTCACATCATTATTTCTTACATGATGACAAAAATAGCAGGAAAATTTCAGAATGTGGGATTGACAGGTGAAAAAGTATCATGCATGAAGGTCTAACTTGGTTGATTTGAGGCAGAAAGTTTAGACCACATTCCTGGAAGATATGTAAAATTGGGGCTTATATGTAGTGAAAATTTCAGTATATTTGTTCAAAGAAAGTACCTGATCTGCAAAACTGATGCAAGCTGTAATCTACAAGACTTACAGGGAACAAACGTGTCTTATCTTTTTAGTTTATAAATGATTGACTGTCCCTCCTGCATCTGTCAACTTTTCCTGTAAATCACTTCTAGTTATGAATGACCAACTAAGCAGATATTTGCGAAATTTGGTTTGAAGCACCCTTAGGGATAGAGGGAATAGTTTTGTATAAATGATGGGCCTGGGCCTCCCTAGGTCCTGAAGGGTGGGACTCAATAGGGAAAATGTATCAATTTCTTTAAAATCTCTTTTTCTGTAGGAATTACATGATTATGTCCAAATTTGGTCTGAAGCATGTTTAGGTGAAGGGAAATCAGTTCTATATAAATGATGAGTATCTGCCCCATGGAGCGGGAGGGGCGGGACCTAATAGGCAAAATCTATCAAGTTGTTTAAAATTTATCTTGTTCTTGAGGAATTTCATGATATTGTCTGAGTTTGATGTGATCCATACTTAGATGAAGGGAAATTAATTTTGCATAAGTGGTGGGTTGCAGCATTTCCTAGGGGGAAAGGACAGGACCCAATATAGGAAATACAGCAAATTCTTTAAAAAACAACTCCTCCTGTAGGGATGTTTGGATTTTGTCCACAATTTATCTGAAGCATTCTTTGGTAAAGAAGAATCAGTTTTGTTTAAATGTTGGCCGCAATAATGAAAATAGGGCATTTTTAAAAAATCATTCCTATGTACAAGTGCCTGGACTCTGTCCCATTTTGTTTGGATGAATGGGATCAATATTTTAAGAACGATAGGTTAAGGCCTCCTTTAGGGGGAGGGGTGGCACACTTTAGGAAGAAATGGAGCAAATTTAGTCTTTCTTCTGTTAGAATGATTCAGATTTGATCTGAAGCATCCTTGTTGAAGAAAACTTAGTTTTGTACAAATAGTACACCTAGCCCCTCCCTCTCCCCCACTCCTTAATGAGGACAGACAGAGCCTAATAAGTGAAATAGGAATTGTTTTAAGAACTTTTATTTCCTTTAGATTAATCAATATAGGCATACTAAACCAGGTGAGCAGTACAGGTGCTACGGCCCTCTTGATTGTCAAATTTTCAAAATGTAAATGTGGGTTAATAAGTTAATATAATTAGATTCACAGACATATGACCAATGATAAAATGGAGACATTGCATAATGGTAGGTTGAAAAGCAGTAGAGATAATTGTTTGGATTTCATTGTATGTTTCAGCGGAGGCAAACATTCCAATCCTACAGGGTATTTGCCGGGATGGCATCCGGAGAGTACTTCGTACCAATATATACAAAGAACATCCATCTTTAAATGCAATCCGAAAGCGACCTGCCAAAAAAGAGAAGGTGAAACGCCAGAGAAGGAAGCACATTAACATGGTGCCGATGAGTATGGGAATGATGATTCTGGGCCAGTTTGATGGGAGCGATGAGAGTGATGATGACAGTATTGGTAATCATCAGAGTCGACCATGTAGGGACGAGGAGAATATCTCTGGGTCAGACAAAGAACAAGAGGGGTCAGATGAGGAGGGAAGGCATCGCCAAAGGTGTGCTCATCAAGGAATGGAGGAGGATATAGAGGAAAGCATAGAAGAGGAGGAAGAGGAGGAAGAGGAGGATGAGGATGAGGAAGAAGAGGAATTTGAAACCACCGGTAGGAGGAGAGCTACAGCACGACAGACATTACATGAACTCGCTACAAGGCTAAATGAAGTCAGGACGCGTTTAAATGTCCAGAGACAACTGGACCAAATGTCGAGGCGACAACCCAATGAGGAAGAGGAGGAAGATACAAGACATGAAGAAAAGGGTGAAGTGAAAGGGGAGAAAGAGACTGAGTGTGAAAATGATAATGATGAAGGACATTTGGAGGATAGTGAGGAAAATGAGGAGGAAGCATTACAAGATAAGATTGATGAACAGGGTTCTCTTGAGGACTTGGAGAAAGAAGATATGGAGCTAGATTTTACAGACATGCTTCCTCTTCCTCCTTTTCCATGTTCTAGTGGCAGTCCCCCGCACAAGCAACGCTACTCCTCCAGTACAAGTGTGGACACCTCTGAAACATCTGGCATTGGCTCTCTCTCAGAGGCATCAGCCATTGGCTCTCTGGGAGAGGACACAATTCTAATGCAGGCTATGAGCTCGTCCTCTTCTCAAGGTAGCAGAGCAGATGGCAGTCCGGAGGAGTCTTTCATGGACAGTATAAAACAACCCACAAAATGTATAGATACAGTTCCTAAGGAGTGTGTTAAAACTTACATGAAGGAGAAAATCAACTTACTGCCCCTCCCTGAGGCCCTGAAGGCCTTTCTCATGTACTACAGAGACTAATGTTTGACTGGAGTGGCCTCCCTTGCTCCCTAGTCAAAGTCATGTAGATAATACATACATTTCTGATAATACAGTTTAAGCTTGACACTGAAATCTTCATGCAGTGTTGTAAGTTTTACTGCAAATATTCAGACTCCAAAACAATGACAGAAAAGACAGAAAAAGTGTTTTGTTTAGAACAGAACTTGTTGATAAAGCATTTACATGTACAGAGATTGTTGGGACAATTATACATATATACACAATACAGCCACAGGTACTGATCTCAGTTCACCTGTAGGTTGGCTATTGTATGTGAACATCCCAGGAGAAATAATGGTGACTTCTGTGTGTATCAACAGTAGTACTTGTGGTTACAGAAACCCCATTCAATTTCCTGTTGACAGTTTTTTTAAGATTTGTATTTATTTGAAGACTGGTGCCATGATCATGTGATATGAATTAACCTATAGATTTGCCGATTAAGTAACATTTGCATTAGTTTACCTGGTCTGAAAAACCAGTGAGCTTTTAAAATGGCACTGCAGCCATCAACTTTACAGCCATCCAGCAACTTATTTTTAAAAAAAATTGCTTTCATTCATAAACGACTGTGTGGATTTTGACCAAATTTGGTCAAAAGCATCCTTTAGGGAGCAAGTTATGTAAATGGTGGTTTACAGCCCCTGGCTCCTCAAAGGCAAAGATGGGAAATTTAGCAAGTTCTTTAAAATCCTTCTTCTGCAGGAATGCTTGAAGTCTGTACCAGTTTGATGTGAAGCATCCTTGGATAAAGGGGGACCAATTTTGTAAAAAAAAATGGTGGGTCTTTGACCCCTGGGGCAGGAGAGGCAGGTCACAATATGGCAATTACAGCAAATTCATTAAAATCCTACTCCTCCTGGGTGAAGGGAAATCAATTTTGCATAATGGTGGATTTCCATCCCCTGGGGCAGGGCCCATGAGGGAACTTCTTTTATGGAAATGCCTTGATTCTGTCTGCATTGGTGAGAAACATACCCTGGTTGAAAGTAACCCTATTTTGTATAAACCAGAATCAGACCCCCACCCTAGGGACAAGATTTCTGAAAATTCTTCCTCTGTTCAATCATATTGTCGACATTTGGTCTGAAGCATTCTTGGATGAAAGAGACTCAGTTTTGTATGTTCTAACTTGGACCATAAGGCTGACTTTATAACTGAATTAGCCAGGTGAGCAGTACGAGCCCCATTGGCCTCTTGTTTGCTATATAGGAAGTTGTTCATCTATAGCATAAACTGCAAATTTTCCTTTTGAAGGAGATGCTAGTTTGTCAATATATGGTTGAATTGCAATTGAAATATCACAGCTTGGTGTGGTAGATGTGGAACATCAATAATTCAAGCTTCAACATAGCCTGGACACACACGACTGTTGTCTCTATCATCACTGGTCACTAATGTGACGTAGACAATGACATCAGGATACTTAATGATGTACTTAGATTTCAGAGAAGTTAGAGACAAGATGTCAATGTGTCCATGGATGTTGCACTATATTAGCAAGATCCTACTGAATTAATTTGGAATATATTACACAGATAACATTGATTTAGTAGTATTATCTGTATATGTACCCAGTACACAGTTTCTTTGTGATGTATGTAAGCAAACAACAAAAGTTTTAGACTGTGATATTTTCCCATTTGTTGAAAAAAATGTATATTGAATTATTAAAGTAATATGTATACAGCACTGAAGTATAATTTTTCATGCAATGTGTTAATTTAAATGTGCATATCCCAGAAAAGTTGTATTTAATTTCTTCAAGTATCTGTTGTATCTATATTGACATGACTGGTTTTTCCCAAACATTACCATATTTATCCAGAAATAGACCCATACAAGGTGATAAGCCCGCGGTGTATCCATTACATTGTAAGTTAAAGTACCAGCAAATGCTATTTCAAAATCTCTAAAATAAGACATGCACCCGGCTACTTCTGTCATAGGTATGTGTTTTGGCCCTGGTCTTAATTGCATACATGTATATAGAAGATGAATTAGGTGTTTTCATTGCTAAATGTTAAAAAAACATTGTTTGATAATTATAACGATGATAAACCCATTTGACAAAGGTTGAATACTGAAGGGTTTTCCCTGGTCTTACCTACTCTGGTTATGTGGAGAAGATAGCTTTACATGTATAAGATACATGTTGAAATGTTTCGTTGGTTTTAGTTTAAAAGTTGTGCATTCAAGATATACAGTAAACCATTAACATCAATGATAGTGTGCAGTGTTCACCTAAATCTCTGTAATACTATTCACCTGTTCTTGATGAAATTTCTTATTTCAAAATTTTGAAACTGACATCAGAATGCTTCTCCATCTATACAACATTTTTTATGAATATAAATGTCAGTTTTACTGGCCTAGTCATCTTCTTTGATTTCTATTGACTTCAGATGAAATGTTTTTGCATTTCTTTATTAATACTGCATTTCTTTGTCTATATATATTCTTCTGAATGTTTTCATTTTCAATGTAATAAAATTTCATACCTATGCAAATATATGTATCTGCATAAGATTTTCAAACATGTATACTAGATTATATAACCCTTTAATTGCTTTTGTCTCCAATTAGCTTTGGTTTTAATAGCATTGTTCATTTACAAACATGCATGTTTCATTCAATGTGATGAATGCTTCATTTCTTGAAACCATAATTTTGCTTCTCCTCATATGAATAATTCTGTTATAGAAATGTGGCATAAAATCTTCAATATCTATCATTTTTAAGTGTGAAAGATTCATTTTGGTCGAGTTCAATTAAAATTGCATTCTTTTAGCATAATGCAATGGTGAACCATATGACACCTGTAATTATGGATGAGATACCTAAACACCTGGCCGGAAGGGATTATAGTGGCTTACAATACATGAGAGTAGAATTAAATAAATACCAATACTTTCCAGTGATGGAAAATCATTTAAAATCCAGTATTGATTATCCACGAAAAAAAAATTATAAAGGGTTTTCAGTGTAATTAATCCATTTTTCCATTGAATATTTTCTGTGTAACTTAAACCTTAAAAAACCGACTTACCCAGAATTTCCAAAAGAATGAATATTATTGGCAAGTGCTGTCTTTATATTTCATAATGAGAATGTGGTTTCAACTAAAACAAAATGATAAATTATTGCAGGAAAATTTACCATTGACTGGGCATACCAGATGCAGTTAAAGGATAAGATAAGATTGGTTTTATGTCCAATCACTAATACTTTAGCTAGCTTTAAGTGATTATGAAATTCATAGGGTACAGTGTATGTATGTTTTAGATTTGAATTGTAGGATCAACATATGTTCATGCTATTTAACGTGAAAGTTCTTGTTCGTGAGAAAAAAAGAATCATACTTTTGTAGATTATATTGCATGGCAAACCTAACATACAGCTATAATCCTATTTCTCCTTTGAATAAAAGCTGTTTTTTGACACAAGTTATCTTCGTTAAGATTCCATAGGAGGTGTGACTAGACAGGTTCATTGTAATCTGAAATCTACATCCCTGATTTAGTTGTTCATTCTGCCATATTTTTATGCCCCCGCCATAAAATTGGGAGGGCATATAACATTGCCCATGTCTGTCCCGTTCTGCCGTGGTTCAGTTTAATGTTAGCACCTAGCAAGTTCATTTGCTGGACAGATTTTGGTCAAACTTTGCACAAAGGTTAATTATGAGTAAACTTCAGACACCTTTTGTTGTGGGTGATCAAGACCAACGTTACGCTTACTATATATAGAAAATCATTGACCAATTCAATTTAAAGACTTAGCAACTCATTACTTTATGGAATTTGGTTGAACTAGTATACTTTGGACATCGTACATTGTTATGTTTCAGAGATACAAGGCCACAGCCTTGGTGGTGGAGGCATTTATGTCTTGCAGATACTTTGTGGTTTTTTTAAGACCATTAGTTGGCAAGAGAAGACTATGTTGATGTAATTTTATTTAATGCTAGATGTATGTGTTCTCCACATGGAAACGTCTACTGTGAACAGAATCTGTTTCTGTCATCAGAAACATATGCCTTAAATGTTTACAAAAATTACATTTCAAATGTCCAGCCCTATTTTACAAATGTTCTTTAACTTAAAATTTTTGGATAAAAAAACCCCCAGAATTCTAGGTGTAAGAGAATTCTCTCTTATGTATGCATTATTGTTGAATCGGTTTAAGTTGAAGAATATTTGGAAAATCGAGTCACATTCTAGAAATATGAATTTGACGTGTTAATGTAATTGGGATAAAGCCAAAACTTGTCCAAGTGTAAATAAGCTGAGAAAATGAGAATTCCTTTGTCGTTGGTTACCCTGTTCCCTTATTCTTGTTGATATTTGGACTTTTTCAGCATTGCCCTAATGCAATAAATACGACTGTGTAAAGATTGTTAAATATGTTGTACAGTGTAAACATTAAACTTCTTGCAGTCAGAACTTTTTATTTATTTTTTCAGTATGTTATTTCAGCTGCTAAAGATCTGGAATGTGTTTAACTTATATTTACTTGGAGAATACCTTACCTGGCAGAACGCAGAAAGAGTTAAAATAAGAGGACCATTTGGCCTGTATCACTCACTTGTCAAATTCAGTTATTCAATCAATTGAAAGTCAGATCCACTAATCATACCAAATTGTGTTCCATTCACCCAGAATCCAAGTACTTCTACAAAATAAGTAGGATTTCAAAGACTTTTATCAATGCAGCTGTGTACCTCCAAAATCATTTAAGGTATCTCCACAAACTCTTCTCACACATCACAGAGGCCTAAAGGGAGTTCCAAGTCCAGCACTTCTGGATCATATCTAGAAAACTGTTTGAAGTAACTTTATTGATGAAACTTCAATTGCCACTTCTGTTCCATCCTACATATTTACTTTTACCTTTAAACATCCTGATAAATTCAAGTGTTCAGCCAGATATGTCCATGATTAGGCTCCATCACAGGATGATTCCAACAACTCTCCTTTTAACACATTTCAGCTTTTAAATCAAAACTTCAGCTGCCATTCAGTTTTTGCCTTCTTTATTGAAATATTCCAGTAGTTTAATATAAAGATTTTCAATCCTTGAAAAGTGATAATCACCTCGATTTTCTGTCACTTTGTCAGGTAGATAAATCTATATAATGACCTGATGTAATGTTAATAATTGTATAATGTTGGTTTCCTTTTCAGGAGTGAATCAAATGAAGTGGAACACAATTGAAAATGTAAAGCATTTATTACAATTATATAAAATATTGCACATTTTTTACACAACACTTTAACTGGTTTACATATCGGAGACATTGTAAGTTAACAAAAGCGAAGGGAGACAACTGCAGCAGACATTGATCAACTGGTTGTAGATAGAAACTTTACATTCCAGTAAATGTTTATGAAACACTTCCACTCATTTACACTTATAACTTACATCTCAATCATGTCAATTACTGAATAAATAACATTAAATTTATTAAATCATCAATTGGCTGTATGCAGGAACAGCAAAATCAGTAATACAACATGTCAGATGGATTTATGTCAGTTTGAATGCTCATTGGTTATATAAATATGGGGTGCCTGCCAGATTGAATGATTCTGCGTAAAGAAAGATAACACAGGCAAACTAACCATGCACCTGTTTATTTTAATATGACTTGGGTTTTCTTAAAAGAAATTTCTCAAAGGATAATTCTAAGATTTGCTTTAAAGGAAATTAGGAAAACTGTTTGGCCCTGAATGTCTACAACATCTAGGTGTTTAGTATCAAAGTTTAAGGCAAGTTTGTAAGGCTTCTAGAAGGGGTCACCTCAGTTTGCACCACAACATGACCCAACACAACAATTTGTTCACATGAATTGGCAGTTTTTCTGGTTATGTACTCTGATACAAAAACATCTCTCATAACCAAGTGTTCATGCAGAACAAAATGACATTGATTTAAATGGTTTGATGAGGGTGAGATAATGAAATATTAAGTGAATTTTTCACATTTTTTCACGCCTACTAAAAATAACTTTTAATTTTGAGGTATGTAAAATGTACTATTTGGAAAAGGATGGCGCAAATCTTTCTTTACATAAAGATATAATACCATATTATACAGTTAAGTTATACAGGATATTACAAGGCATCAATAAATCAACATTTTATTAGCAAGGTTATAACGAAGCAACAACAAATAAAACTCAAAAATCAAAACAAAATGGCAGATGCTAGAATATGGAATGTTTAAGACCTGTATCAACACTTGGCCCACAGTGCAAATATCCCTTCTCTAGAACTACTCGTATATTACAAGATGGAATGTAAAAAGCCTTCTACATGGTGACCATCTCAGATTAAAACACAACAATACAACAATTATATCTCCAGTTTGATAGAGACCAAGGATCCTTGAAATATCTGCCCATGCAGCGAAATCAAATAATTCCCTAAAATCCAATTACCAGGATTTTATTTCCTCTAATTAGACCTGTACCCTCAAAGAGATCAGAGTCACATTCTATCTTGACTGCTTGATACTGTGTTAGAGGATGGTACCTCTGAATGAATTCAATAAATAATTTATAAAGAAGTTGTTCTTGAAGAATAAACTTTCATAAAAGAAATATTGTAGATGCATATAGTAACTTTATAACACTTTTCATTCTGAAAGTATTGTGAAAACATATGACAATCTCAACGGTAGTTTTTGTGTGTTGATTGTATAGCTATAACAGTGGGGGTCCTTATGGTCTTTAAAAAGGAGGAGGATGGACCAAGTCCAAGTCATGGAATTTGTTCATATTGAAGTGATAAAAGCTATTGGAGATGAAATTATTTAAACTCAGAACATGCACTGGAATGTTCCTAACAAAATTTTTGGAATATTACAGATTAAATTATCAATGAGTTATGCAATAAAACAATGTGAAGAAATACAAAGAAATTTAACATTAAAATGTAGATAATATAGAAAATGAAACAACTTATAAAACAAATGCAACTTAACTAATACAATACCAAATTTTAAGGCTAAAATATACAGCAAAAAGAGCTGAAAGACTACAAACCCTTACAAAATAAATTACTATAAATAACTTATTGTTTAAACAAGATAAATCAACAAAAACAATAATAGGCAATATCCAGGCCAATCCCAAATTCAATACCATGGCTTACCACAAGGTTATTATAATGGTCCCCCTCATAGTCTATGTCACAGCTTACCACAACGTCATTATAATGGTCCCCCTCCTAGTCAATGTCACAGCTTACCACAAGGTCATTATAATGGTCCCCCTCATAGTCTATGTCACAGCTTACCACAAGGTCATTATAATGGTCCCTCTCATAGTCAATGTCACAGCTTACCACAAGGTCATCATAATGGTCCCCCTCCTAGTCAATGTCACAGCTTACCACAAGGTCTTTATAATGGTCCCTCTGGTAGTGAATGTCACAGCTTACCACAAGGCCATCATAATGGTCCCCCTCCTAGTCTATGTCACAGCTTACCACAACATCATTATAATGGTCCCCCTCCTAGTCAATGTCACAGCTTACCACAAGGTCATCATTATGGTCCCCCTCCTAGTCAATGTCACAGCTTACCACAACATCATTATAATGGTCCCTCTGGTAGTGAATGTCACAGCTTACCACAAGGCCATCATAATGGTCCCCCTCATAGTCTATTTCACAGCTTACCACAAGGTCAAGGTCATTATAATGGTCCCCATCATAGTCTATGTCACAGCTTACCACAAGGTCAAGGTCATTATAATGGTCCCCCTCATAGTCTATGTCACAGCTTACCACAAGGTCAAGGTCAATATAATAGTCCCCCTCATAGTCTATGTCGCAGCTTACCACAAGGTCAAGGTCATTATAATGGTCCCCATCATAGTCTATGTCACAGCTTACCACAAGGTCAAGGTCATTATAATGGTCCCCATCATAGTCTATGTCACAGCTTACCACAAGGTCAAGGTCAATATAATGGTCCCCCTCATAGTCTATGTCACAGCTTGCCACAAGGTCATCATAATGGTCCCCCTCATAGTCTATGTCACAGCTTACCACAAGGTCAAGGTCATTATAATGGTCCCCCTCATAGTCTTTGTCACAGCTTACCACAAGGTCATTATAATGGTCCCCCTCATAGTCTTTGTCACAGCTTACCACAAGGTCAATGATAAGTAAATGTCAAAAGGCTACACTTTTGGCCAATTAAAATTATACAACATGTTCGTTAATCCCTTCCTAAGAGGTTGACCAGAAAAGCAATGAACAAAGTCACCATGATTTCTTAAATAATGACATCTCAGACAAAATAGCCACTGCTTTGGGTGTAAAATCATGTCATCCCTGACAATATAGCCACTGCTTTGGGTGTAAAATCATGTCATCCCTGACAATATAGCCACTGCTTTGGGTGTAAAATCATGTCATCCCTGACAATATAGCCACTGCTTTGGGTGTAAAATCATAAACTTAATGAATTGTATAGATACACTTTCTACACTGAAACACATTTAATGGCAAACTATAATTCATTAAAGTCTGTTCTGCTATCTTTGATATGTAAATAAAAAAACACCACAACATGTAATAAATAACACAGCACAATAATAAATAGAGCTAACACTGAAAAAACAAGAGGCTCATGAGGCCTGCAATGATAGTCTGGCTAATTCAGATATACAGTCAGTCTTGTAGTCAGACTTAAGTCAGATCCATTGCTTATACAAAATTAAGCCCCATTCACTGAATGCTTCAAACCAAATGCCAACAAGATCTTTGTACAGAAGGATTTTTAAAAACCTAGTACCTGGTATGCTCTTTGAGAGTAGGAAGTCAGACTCTGGTATATACAAAACAGAGTTCCTTTCAACCAGAGCATGTTCTCACCACATTGGGACAGAATCAAGACATTTCCACAAAAGAAGGACTATTTCCCCTTTTGGGTCTTGTCTCTCCCACCCCGGGTCTGGTCTCTCCCTACCCGGGTCTTGTCTCTCCCACCCTGGACCTGCCATTTTCCTTTTACTACATTCAGACCAATTTGGATAAAATCAAGACATTTTTTCAAAATGTTAAAGAATTTGTCCTTTTCCTGTGTTTGGTCCCATCCTCAAAAAGACCCACCATTTACACAAAACTGAATTTGAGTAAAATCCTATCACCTCTACTGGAGGAGTAGGATTTTAAAATATCAGCTTTATTTCCCCTATTAGAACTAATACTTTCTCGCCCAGGGGGCCAAGAACCACTATTTGTACAATATATTATTCCCCATTACCAAAGAATGCATCAGACCAAATTTTGGCATTATCCAGCTATTTCTGAAGGAAGAGTAGGATTTTAAAGCATTCGCTCTATTTATCCTACTGGGTCCTGCCCCTTCAACACCAGAGCGCCGAGACCCAGTTCATTTACACAAAATTTGTTCTGCTTCTCCGAGGATGCTTCTGACCAAATTTGGTGAAAATCTATTCAATTGTTCATGACTAGCTGTGATTTGCAGACAAAGTTGACAGACAATCTGAAATCAATAGTATGGCATAAGCTCAATGGTCCTTTGAACAAGGTGAGCTATAAGCATAAGTGAGTATACATATTATTTCAACAAGAGGCCTCGCGGCCTTGACATCACCTGAGGTAAACAATATTGAATATAAAGTTAAAGAGTAAGTAGCTTTCCACTGTCAGGAAAACTAAATTGTGATAATACTGAGACTTAAATGATATGTTATAAGCCATTTGGGTTGGAGTCCATGTCAATACATGCATACCAACAAAACAGTTATCCTTTACTAATAATTCTTTACTAAGTTATTTCAAATAGAAAACAAACAATGTTTTACTCAAAAACACAATTTTGCTGTAATGCTATAGTAAACTTTACCCCCTCCCCAGGTGGAAATGTTTGACCCTGGGGTCATAAAATGCAAATTTTTTGAAAATTACCTTCTGATGCTTCCATCCATTTGATTCTGTTTATTTGATTTACATCTGTGTGTTTGAAATTTGAGTAAGTTTGACCCCTTTTGGACTGCCAATCAGCCCCTCAGTATCAGCCAAGATCAATATGCCCATATCATCAAGGTGTCATCTTTTGCTCATAATTCTAAGTATGAATATTTCCAATAGAAATTAAATAAATTATGATCAAACATCTATTTTCCTATACAACCAATAGTAAATTTTACGCCCTCCCCACAGGTAAATGTGAGACCCTGGGGGCCATTTAATTCATACTTTTGGTAAAGCACTTTAAGATGTTTCAGTCTATGAAATAATTTGATTCTACCACATCTGGGTGATGTGAAGAAGACTTTTTGAAATTTAAGTCAATTTGACCCTTTTTGGTCCCACTCCTCAGGCCCCTGGGGGTTTGGGACCATCTAAGTAACTATTTTGGTTGATCTGTGACGAGGGAAGGCTTCTGCAACATTTCACTGAAATCAGTACAGGAGTTTTTGAGAAGAAGTCAAAAATGTTTAAAGTTTAAGGACTTTGTCTCAGGTGACCTAATAAAATGGGATAAGACATTTCAACCAACTGAAATGTCATGTATATTGGTCAGAGATATTCGTTTCTGCCAAAAAGGTAATGTGGGGGAATGTTGACGTTTTGCAATGAAAGTCATTACAACTTTAATATATTGGTAGCTACAGAATACCGAAGTCAGTAAAACATTGGGTGAGGAGACAGTAAAGATGATGACTTAAGTTGTAGAGCTAGGTTGAGACAAATCACATCACACAAACAATATAATTTTATTGACACATTTTGTCAGATGTATGCATTACCTCCCTTTATTTTCACCTGTTCCATTGAGTTCTGTCCCCTTGGCCAGCAATGAGACAGGAAGTATCATCAAATCATGATGATGACATGAAGCACCACTAATGGATTAATAAATAAACAAATCTTTCATACTTAAAGCATTTTCTTTTTTTAACTTTAGTTTTCGCTTACTTGACATTCATTAATTGATTTTCATGGAAATGAATAATGATTCAGCCACATTTATTGATGAGGTAAAGACAGGAAATGATTTTACACATATTTATAATATATTATCACTGTGGACAGCTTTGTGATATCTCAATTCTCATCATTCCTGTCACACAGTTTCTGCCTCAGTTCTTTATTTTTCTGTCACACAATGTGGCCTTATGTATACTTCTTTACCTCTTTCATAAACTTGTAAAGTTATATCCCAGTCTCCCTACCATGGTTAAGAAAATATTCTCTGATAACTATGACACCCTGTCTCAGTGCTGCAGGTATCAGTTGAAATAGCTAGAAATATGGAATCTGACAAAAACGATAATGCTAAGCCAGCTATATTTTGTGACCGCTAACTTGACAGAACTATAACATTACTTAGATGACAGCAGGACTATAGACTAAACCAGCTGTATTTCTGAGCTGGCTACAGAACTGTAGACTAAACCAGCTGTATTTCTGAGCTGGCTACAGAACTGTAGACTAAGCCAGCTGTATTTCTGAGCTGGCTACAGAACTGTAGACTAAGCCAGCTGTATTTCTGAGCTGGCTACAGAACTGTAGACTAAGCCAGCTGTATTTCTGAGCTGGCTACAGAACTGTAGACTAAGCCAGCTGTATTTCTGAGCTGGCTACAGAACTGTAGACTAAGCCAGCTGTATTTCTGAACTGGCTAAAGAACTGTAGACTAAGCCAGCTGTATTTCTGAGCTGGCTACAGAACTGTAGACTTAGCCAGCTGTATTTCTGAGCTGGCTAAAGAACTGTAGACTAAGCCAGCTGTATTTCTGAGCTGGCTACAGAACTGTAGACTATGCCACCTGTATTTCCGAGACATTACGTTGTTCAGACTAAGCCACCTGTATTTCTGAGACAGCTATGTTGATGTAAACTATGCCACCTGTATTTCTGAGACAACTTTGTTGATGTAGACTAAGCCACCTGTATTTCTGAGACATCTATGTTGGTGTAGACTACGCTACCTGTATTTCTGAGACAGCTATGTTGATGTAGACTACGCCACATGTATTTCTGAGACAGCTATGTTGATGTAGACTTAGCCACATGTATTTCTGAGACAGCTATGTTGATGTAGACTTAGCCACATGTATTTCTGAGACAGCTATGTTGATGTAGACTAAGCCACCTGTATTTCTGAGACAGCTATGTTGATGTAGACTATGCCACCTGTATTTCTGAGACAGCAATGTTGATGTAGACTAAGCCACCTGTATTTCTGAGACAGCTATGTTGATGTAGACTAAGCCACCTGTATTTCTGAGACAGCTATGTTGATGTAGACTAAGCCACCTGTATTTCTGAGACAGCTATGTTGATGTAGACTAAGCTACCTGTATTTCTGAGACAGATATGTTGACAGTGTTATAGAAGACATTACCATCCCCTGAGTGGTTGGCATATAAGCTCTGTAGCTGACTGATGCAGGCCTCTAAGTTGTCCTCATTTACCAAGCTTGGATTGAGGTGAGGAATGTTCTGACTAGCTAACACCCCCAGAATTTCCTTCTTTAATGTGTTGAGGTAGTTTTTGAGATTTTCATTCTGCTGGGCAATGGCAAAATTTTCCTTCTCCTCCTGATGGACCTGGTTCTCCAGACTTGAAACTTCTGATCTCAATTTGATCACTGTGGACTCAACAGCCATATTTGAGGACCGCAGTTCTGATATTTCTTCATCCATCTGCTGAAATTCTTCATCTTCCTCTAAATCTGTCATAAGAAATTTAGCGTTCAAAATGATAATATTTAAAGCAAAAAATCCAGAAATTTCTCTATGAGATGAGCAGGAGAACAAGATTGCTTGATGCCAATGAATACACTTCATCCTAGGAATCTATCAGCCAAATACCATTCTTCTGTGTCTTTTGGTTAGACAGAAGCAGTCATTTAAAGCTTTTAACAAATTTTACCCCTGTGAACTTAAATATGGGTCAAGGTCATTTCTTTTTAGTCTTCATACTAGGAAACTATCAGTCTAATGCCATGCTAATGGGCGTCTTGGTTAGTCAGAAGAATTCATCTAAAGGTTTTAACAAATTCAGCCGCTGTGAATTGTATATGGGTCAATGTATAAAGGTTTTAACAAATTCAGCCCCTGTGAACTTAAATATGGGTCAAGGTCATTTCCTTTTGCAAACTTAGTTGGGCTTTATCCCAGAAACCCACAAAACAAATACCATGACATTTGTTCTAATGGTTATTGAAAAGATGTTGTTTAACTGGAAAAGTTGAAGGCACACTACCTCTCACTCATAACACTGCTGTCACTCTGCTTATGATATACCACTCTTTCTTTCCAGCTTAGCATTATTTTATATGTACCTTCCCCATTCTGGAGTTTCATATGAAGAGTAGTGAGCTCTGCAGGACTAAGTTTGGCTTTTTTCATGGCCTGGGTGGCCCTTGGACAGCCAGACAGGCTGCGATGAGATAGGAAGCTGCCGTTAGCATGCCCAGATCCATCACATCCTGGAGTGGGGCACCTGAAATGAGATAGATAGAACCTAAACAATGTATATCACTACAACCAGTAGTAAAACTTCACCAAAATTTCTTCACATGTGCTAATCTACAATGAACTATTAACAATTTTAATTCAACAGTTTCCTGAAATGGAATAGGCCACAACAGAAATAGTGAAAACATAATCTGAAGTGAATTTTGATTCCATCTTTAAGACAAAATATCTTACACAACGCCATCCATTTTCAGTGACTTTGCTAGTTCTGGGTCCTGACCATCCAAGCTGGCCAGGAGCTGTCTCTGAAGTTTGTGTTTATTGGCAAGAGGACATCCAGAGGCACTGTAAGATAAACAAAATACATCTGATAGTGTCACAGCTGTACAACATAACGGTATCTTTTTCTCTTAGAGAGAATCATATCATTCAATTTTCTTATTTTTTGTGGAGGTGATGTTTCTGTTGATTATCATGATAAGCATGGACACTCTTTATCCAGGAATTCATTTGTCCATGACTTGTGGAATTTTTCACAGTATTCAAGTATGTATACATAGCTATACAGAGAATACAAAATGTATTTCGTACAGTGATTGCTACTAAATTATCAAATATCTAGCTACATTTTGTATACACTTTGATGACTGTTCATATGAAGAAAAGAATGTATTAACACTATCATACAATTGTAAATTCCATGAGGTCTATTATTCCCTAAATTCAATAAAATTTGAGTCCCTTGGTAATATGTAATTGTACAGCATTACCATCATATGGTATTTTAAACACTATGATAAACAGTACTGGCTGAGAATATTGGTGAATCCTCAATCATGATACTGATTTTCAGGAACAGGTATCTCAACACCTATGGCAGTTTGAGGAAACATTTTCAAATAAATTTATTTCTGCCAACAACCCCATATCAATTTCACTTAATCAAAATCAGGGTATCAAGCTGAATCCATCATTTAAATACTTATAGCTTAAATATAAACAAATATGCAAAAATAAACAGGCTAATGTTTTACCATTACAAGACACATTCACTACTTTCATATCATTATTACACACAAACATGGGAACATGCTTTTGAATGTATATTCAAATTCTACATAAAATTTGATGTTGTGATGGTAAAAAGAGACCCATGGGGCCTGCATCGACCACCTGGCTAATTTAGCTATTTCAGCCATTCAACAAAGAATTTCAAACATGGAAATAATTTCTAAAACAATTTCCCTATTGCATCCTGGCCTTGTGGTCAAACTGAAGTCAGATTCACTATTCATAAAAATTGCTTCAGACCAAACTTGGACAATATTCTTGCACGGAAGAAGGATTATCAAGAATTTCCTTTTCCACATCAGCTAGGACCACATCCCTTCCGCTCCAGGGGATGTACCATTTATATAAAACTGAATCCCCCCAACTCAAGAATACTTCAAACCAAATTTGGGCAATATCCATTCACTCCTACAGAAGGAGCAGGGCTTTAAAGAATTGACTCATTTTCCCCTATTGGGCCCACCCCTTACCTCCAAGAGCACAGAGATCTTGAGTCTATGCAAAACTGATTCCTCTTCACCAAAGAATGCTCCAAACCAAATTTGGGAAATATCTATTCAATTCTACATGAAGAGTAAGATTTTAAATAACTTACTTTATTTCCCGTACTGGGCCTAGCCCCTCCAACCCCAAGGGGCTGAGACCAAACATTAATTCATCCAACAATGTTTCAGATCAGGTTAGCTTTAAAGTTTCATATATACAACAGACACCAAACATTATTAGATAAAAGGAGATCACAATAGGTCCCCACCAGACTTTGTCTCAGGTGACCTATGACAGATGGACGACTGACAACAGATGCCGCAACATGACATGAATTCACCCGTTTTTCGAAGCAGGTGAGCTAAAAAAAAAAAAGCAGTGGACATACATTTGAAGATTTTGTAGATTTTGACAATAACAATTTACATCAAACTACAGATACATATCAACAAGTAGGTATAGCAACACATGCAACTGGCAACAAAGATCAAACAATCATGATAGTGACCAAATGTGTCAACAGTTATATATAGTAAACATAACAACAGACATCACAAGGAAACTATACAGAGTAGCAATCTAATGCACAAAGCTTGGAATAACATGGTCCTTCGTTGTTAAAGGGATATTCCACACAAGTCAGGATTTCATACGATGCTTTTGAAGAAAACTATCTACTTACGATCTTTGGAAAATGTTTACCTTAATTTACCATTTAAACAAACACATGATTTTCAATTTGCAAATATTTTTACAGCTCAAGCTAGATCAATTTATGAACATTTGCACAGCCCTAATTGCGTCATAATAGGTTTGCGTTGTTATAAGTAAACATTTCAATTCCAATTTTTCCAATGCTATATTTAGACATTTGGCTGGGAGTATTCCCACTAATTTTATGTCCAAACTGACCAAAGGAAAATAGTTTGATGCTAATAATAGTTTTAAGTCATTAGAACGAGTTCTCAAAAGGTACAGCCAGAAATTTTGCAGCTTGGACAGAATACTCCTTCAAGAGACCTTGACCTTATTTATTTTTCTCCAGAACTAGGGCTTTTTAGGATGATGAATTGACAAAGTATTTCACTAAACGTCGTGAAATTTTGGAGATATTCAGTATTATTTATGACCCCATGTGACTATGTCCACTGTTCTATCGTGTTCTACAAATGTCATATTCGCTAAAGCACTTAAAGTATGTGGATTATATCTAGTACATCAGATATCATTATCTACTGGTCAATTACCAATAAATGATTCATTATGTTATCATCTCAATTGTTTCTTGAAAAAACTAATCTATCAAAATTTCTGTTGAAATGTTCAGTGTCATGAAAAGTCCTTGTTCATGCAAAACTAGTCAATTTCTCTCAGAAGAACCCACTTATCCCAAGCTGAACTGATTCTAGCTTTAATTCTTCTACTTCAGACAGGATTCCCGCCATCATCCAGCTGTTTGATTTCCATTTTTGTACTGAAGTCTTATAGGTTATATTTCAGTGATTATAAGATTTGTGATGTGAAAATTCTTAGTGACTTTTATATCAAACAGACTAATAAAAAATGACAATGCTTAGTAACAATGATGTTGATCTCCGACTGATCACTTCCATATTTAATCTGGTCTACATCGGATCAAATGTTAATAAACCTTCAGTCTCCTCAACAATAAAGATACTGTTAGCAGAGCATTGACAAGGATCAAAGATATAGAGGTCACAGGTGTCAACCTCTAAAACCTCCAATCAGTTACATCTCCCTCATTCTACATCTCAGGGGAAAAGTGTGTGATCATTTTTACCAAGTTCTCTCTTCAAGGAAAAAGTTGTCATCCAATTGTGCAATATAAAAACAAGAGGCCTAGCAGACTTGACCAGAGATAAACAATATTGTATATAAAGGTTAAAAGGGTAAGTAGCTTTCGAATGTCATTAAAAAGACATTGTGACACTGACTATAGTAAGCCATGAAATTCACTACTTCAGCAAAGCACCTAAGACCCTCCTAGTCGTTAAGAAGATTTGATTCTACCATAAACTCCATGTTGAGAAGAAGATTTTTGAAATCTAAGTCAATTTGACACCTTTTGGCCCCGCTTATCAGCCCCTGGGGGTCAGCCGGGGTCAATTTGGGCATTTCATCAAGAAGTCATCATTCACTCAAAATTCTAACCAAGTTGGAAATATTTCCAATGGAAATTAAACTAATTATGCTCAAAAATCTAGTTTTGCTATATAAACTAGTCAAATTTACCCCCTCCCCACAGGGAAATATGAGACCCTGGGGCCATGAAATTCACAATTTTGGTAAAGCACTTTAAGATGCTTTCATTCATAAGGAGTATTTGATTCCACCATATCAGGGTTATGAGAAGATGATTTTCGACATTTAAGTCAATTTGACCCCATTTGGTCCTGCCCCTCAGGCCCCTGTGGGGGACTGTATAATTCATAATTTCGGTTCATCTTCGACCAGGGAGGGTTTCTGCAAAATTTCATTAAAATCAGATTTTTTTTGGTGAAGAAGTCGAAAATGTGAAATTGTTTAAGGATGCACAACACCAGATGAAGGTGATTGCAATAAGTCACTGTGAGACTTTGTCTCAGGTGACCTATAAATCCAGAAAGAAGTAGAATCAGAGTCAGAAACTACATAAGGCTTGGAGAGGTGGCAGGGTGGGGAGATTATTCAATTTCAAAAATTTCTTATTTTGTGTTGTACATATATATTGAACAGACCTTTCAATGTCCCATAAAACTGAGTTTCCACCTTTTTTTTTTGGAGGATCAGCATTGCTGATAGGCAGCATCAGATCTAGCCAGCAGCTTATATCAAGAAATAGCGATAACAAAAATTGTTTATGGACGGACGGACGACGGGCAATAGTTCAATAGTTCACCACCAGATGATGCTGGGCTAAACACGCTTAAAGATGATCATATTGGTGACAATTCTCGGTCTATCAAGAAGAGCACAAAAAGTGCAAGTGTTGACTTAAAAAATGAAGTGCAATAAAGACAACATTCATGAATAAAATTCCAGGAAATTTGGCAGAAATGAAGATGCATGAAGAGAAATATGTACCACAGAAATTCATGCGACTTTATCTGAGAAAAGTGCATCTGGAGTTGCTGATATCGGACATGACATCTAAACATTAACAAGACAATAGAAGGTGTTGACACTCAAGTACCTGCGATGAGACAAATACTTTCCGGTCACATGACCTGTCCCATCACACCCTGGAATTGGACATCTACAAGCAAATTGTGTTAATAAGTCTACATGCCCACTGGCTTAATGGTGAGTAGCTGGAAATTCAAAACATGCGACAAAATATGAAATTAGTCTGTGAAAAGAGGCTCTTCCTTTAGGGATATATATTTTCTATAATTGTAAGTAATCAATACAACTGTATCAGTCAGATTATTAATTTAAAAACTAGCTTTACAAGCTTTAAATTTCAAATGGCTTAGAAATATTTCTGAATTTTACATCAATTCTTTTTATTTAAAATCATTCATGCATGATCATCACGGAGAAACAAAGTAAAACAAAATGGCCCCTGAACTTTTGTCCTGAAGTTTCAGAAGTTTGTAAGTTTGGGAAGGTGAAATCTGTATTTGATTCTGTTAACAGCAATCTTAACTGAATTCAAAATTCTGTATTCTACACTTCTTGTAAATTCTAATTAATTTCTTGTAAATTCTAATTAACTTTAAAACAGAATATATCAACAACCTATAACTATACAGAGCTGGCATGAAATTAACAGCCAAGACATCCTAATAAGCTAGAAATCTATAGTGAACAACATCTTATATTTTGAAGATTTAGGAGTTTTCTCATTAGCATAATACTAATTATTATACTATTTTAAAGAGAGAATTATCACAATTTGGTGTCTTACTCCTTGTATGGAGTGTAAAATATCCCCACCCTATCCCTCCTAGTACCATCAAGATCTTTCTTAATCTGTGAAATGAAATTTCATTTGTTTGTAAATTAAAGGAACATTGTCAACTGAATTCAAATTAGCACACAATTATTAGTGATGTTCACCAAAGTGAGGCAGGGTAAGAGATGCTTACAGAAGTCTTCAAATAACTGCACAGCTGTTATTACATTAGAATATCAAGCACTAATCAGTCTAGAAGTGTTAGGTCACACATACAAGTGTTCCACACCCGTCTTGTACAGATTAAGCCAGACCATCACCAGGATACCATTTCATCATTCAGACTTCTTGTGCAATTGCTCAATATAAACTCCGAATATTTAGATACCCAAGATAATTCTACACCTATGCTAGAGATGGTATCTATCTCAAGATGTTTGGTTCATTACCAGGTCCAAACATACTGACTTGTCACGTTCATCTCTCATTAATCATGTTAGCTACAGATGAGTCACTTTTCATATAGGGAACATATATAGAGCAATTACTGTAAGAAGATGGTCAATAATAAGATCTTGATATGTGCTGTGCTCTATGCATCTACATAACAAGAATGAAAATGCCCAAAAAGCCAGATATAATTTAATGAAACAATTTGTTTTGATGAAGTTATTTAAACAAGAAGACATTTTTCTTAATCTTCATTCCTCTTACACATTTTAACAATTTAGTACAAACAAAAACATATATGAGGCTCTGTAAACTTGTAGCCCTTCTTTAAAAAAAAACCAAAAACATCCCCATGGGGCATGTATCGCTCACCTGGCTAATTCAGCTATTAAGTTGACTTTGTGGTCAAACACAAGTCATCCAAGAAAGCTTCAGATAATATCCTATTAAGAAACAAGGAGGGGGGGGGGGTGTCCTTTCAACCAGAAATGGTTCAAACTGGGAAGAATCTTTGAATCACTACAGAAGAAGTAGGGTTTTAAAGAATTTGATAAGTTGAAGATCACAGAATTTCCACTAATGGCCTCTGCCCCTTCCCATCCAATGAGGTGTAGACCTCTCTTTCACCAATAGATGATTCAGACCATATTTGGACAGAATCCTGTCATTCCTACACAAGTAGGATTTTAAAGAATTTGCTAGATATCCTTTAAGGACCTAGACTAACTATTCATTTAAAGTACATTTCCCTTTTCCTAGGGTTGCTTCTGACCAAATTTGGTTCAAATCCACAAAACTGTTAATGACTAGTAGTTATTTTAAGCAAAAAGGTTGTAGGACGACAGACGCGACGATTTGGCATTTTCCATGCATTAGTCACAAAGAGCTGTTCCCTTATGAGGTAAAAAAAACCGGTTTCACTAATCTTAAATGTATAATATCAGACTAACACCTTTTAAATCAATGAAGTAGCTGTCTCCTCCTAAAATTTCTTACCTCAGGGGTTCATCCTCCTTACGGTCCCCTTCTTTACCCAGGATCTTTTTTAGCTTGGCCGCTCGTGGACAACCAGACAGACTGCGGTGTGATGCGTAGTTACCAGTGACATGGCCTGACCCGTCACAGCCCGGAGTAGGACATCTGTTAGGTTGATATTTGTTTACAAGCATACAAATCAGTCTAACTTCAATGTGATCACTGACTAACTTGGACGTAAACAGCAGGTTGAACTCCATTAAATTGTTTTTTTCTCCAGCCATATATTGTGGAAATGTCTTTCCACAAACATAAAATGAATTTATAACATACACTTGTTTAATCATTTCAATTTTTTTTCTTTTTCTTTCTTTTTATTTGTATTTTATATGATGACAAACAAAGATAATTACACAAAAACGCAATACATTCTCAGTAAAAACATTTTCTTTAAATTACAGGGAGAAGGAAAAAGTCCTGCAATACATATAGCTCACATTCTCAAAACTGTCTTTTACTGATTTTAATAACTTGCTGGTATCAAAATAAATATAAATGTCTTATAAGACAAAATCTTTGACAGAATAAACCTCCATTGCAGTATTGGAACATCCCACACACATGAAGCTATTACATCATGGATGAACAGAACACAGGATTTCCTCAAAGTAGGACACATGAACGTTTAAAGGAAAATAGCATTTGAATGTTACATTCAGCTGTATAGGAACTGCTACGGTACACAAATGTTACATTCAGCTGTACAGGAACTGCTACGGTACACAAATGTTACATTCAGCTGTACAGGAACTGCTGCCGTACACGAATGTTACATTCAGCTGTACAGGAACTGCTGCCGTACACGAATGTTACATTCAGCTGTACAGGAACTGCTACGGTACACAAATGTTACATTCAGCTGTACAGGAACTGCTACGGTACACAAATGTTACATTCAGCTGTACAGGAACTGCTGCCGTACACGAATGTTACATTCAGCTGTACAGGAACTGCTGCCGTACACGAGTGTTACATTCAGCTGTACAGGAACTGCTGCCGTACACGAGTGTTACATTCAGCTGTACAGGAACTGCTGCCGTACACGAGTGTTACATTCAGCTGTACAGGAACTGCTGTCGTACACGAGTGTTACATTCAGCTGTACAGGAACTGCTACCGTACACGAGTGTTACATTCAGCTGTACAGGAACTGCTACCGTACACGAATGTTACATTCAGCTGTACAGGAACTGCTACTATACACGAATGTTACATTCAGCTGTACAAGAACTATACAAGAACACCGTTTGAATCTCAACAAATCTCCAAGAGAAACACATCTTTTTAAGTGTTAATGTACATGACTATTCAATTCTTCTTCCAAAATTGAACGTGTTCAAAACCTTCCTACATGGACATAATTTAAAACATGGTTAGGACAAGTTATGATTGTAATGATGATAATGATGATGAGTTGATGGATGGTGATAAAATGAAATGAGAATGATGCAGCCAACATTCTTGCATTTCATGCAGGATTACAGGATAAATGGCCACCAGTGCTGTCAACCAATCAAAAAACCAGTTGTCAGTGCTGTCGACCAATCAAAAAGCTGACAAGGAGATCAAAGAGAACACTGACAGAATTACCCATCACTTAGGAGACCTGTCATGGCTATCATTCAAAACTTACTTTAATTCAATCTGATTGGCTTGTACCGTGGCTCTATCAGCCAATGGGCACCCCGATAGGCTTCTGTGAGAGGAGTAATTCCCTGTGATGTGTCCCGATCCGTCACATCCAACGGTGGGACACTGAAGGCTTTCTTTATTTTCCATCTTGGCCTTGAGCGAGTCTGGACTTTGAGAACGAGGGTCGTTGTCATGGTCTACTGGACTACAAGTGGGCTCCCCTGATAATCTAAGATGGCCATGCAAGAAAGGCGACTTGAAATCAGCGATGAATCATGCAACAAGGAGCATGGAGATGAGGTAATATCAGTAATGATGTTATAACTGGATTAAGTATGCTTTCTATAAATGTTCTCAAACAGCTCAGTGACGGATCCAGAGGCAATTCTTATGCTTCAAGAAATTTCTCAGCCAGAGAGTTTCCATTAAAAAATTCAAAAGTTTCCCCTCCAATTTCATTTCATTTGGAACAAAACCGTTCCTGTTCCTGACCACCAAACATTTTGTTGAACCCCTTCCTCTCACTGACTAAATCTCTGGATCCACCCACTGCATGTTAATTTGTTAAACACAACGACAAAAATGAGGCAAGAGAAACAATGAAAATGATAACAAAATATAAACAAAAGAAATAGATAATAGTGGAGGAAGGAAGCACACAAAGAGAGAGAGAGAGAGAGAAAGGGGGAAAAAAAGGAAAAACTCAAAAAGAAAATAAAACAAAAATAAAAATTGAAAAAGCAAACTAAAAGACAGTTGAGCGATAACAATGTTTTATTTTCTCACAATATTTACAACAAGTACTACAACATTTAGAGGTCAACAACTGATCTGTATATATATTGTGCATGAAAACTACTACCAAGGGTGAGACAACAATACTGACTGGGACTGTCCCACCAAGTACAACCCTGGCCAACACTCCCTTATCTCCAGCCAAACTTCTTCCTTATTAAAAAAACCTAGTAAAAAACCAGCTGATTAATAAATTTAAAAATAAACATAAAATCAACGTGAATACTAGTATTCATGTAAACCTTGAAAATTCTATGAAACCAATTTGTAAATTGGATGGCCGAGAGGAGACAGGATGAGGTGGCTGTGGTTTCGGTAATCAAGTATATAAATTTAGCAATTATTACCTGTCAGCATTTAAGTCCCCACACCTGGAAGTAAAAATTGGAGTTTTAATATCTGGAAAATTTACAATTCCATTAAAGTGAAGTTTAAATTCCATAATCAATCTCCAGTTAATATTAAGACTGATTTTTGATGATAAACATTACATTCAAGATGAAAATCACGGACATGTATGAACAATTGTTTTCAAACAAACCCAATACAATTGATGAAAACAGCTTGCAGGGACTTAAATGCCTAAAGTTTAACAGAGCCACAAAAGAAAGATCTTTATGAAGAAGAATTAGTTTGGATTTTTTCCTTCATAGATGACAAAGGTATTTACTAACAATAGAGCTAATTTGATTACTGAAGACATGAACTTGAACTTGCAAGCTAGCATGTCTGACAAGTTATTTACAACTTATATAGATTTGTATAACCATATAACATTTCATTTGACACATTTTTCCTGAAAATGTATAATACTTTGATGTTTATCATTATAACAGTGGGTATAAGGTAAATCCTGAGAACTTGCTCTGGTAACAGATCAACAAAGTAATGAAGTCAAAAGCTGTAACAATAACAAAGTTGCTATAATACCTAAAATATCAGTAAAACTAAAATATTTTAATCCAACACCCCTTCATAATTGTCCCTAGTCCATTGCACTAATTGTTTCATATAAACCTAATGTCTGTTTTCCAGAGCAAAAATTTAATTGAACACATGCAATTTCTTTCCATCATTCCTATTTGTAAATTTTATCCTTAAGTAATCCCTACCCCCTGCTCTGCTTACCTACAGAACCAACCGAAATTTTATTCTAGACTAACCCGTATCTCTCTCCTCCATTCCCTCACAGAACCAACCAAAATTTTATTCTAGACTAACCCGTATCTCTCTCCTCCATTCCCCCACAGAACCAACCGAAATTTTATTCTAGCTGACCCTTATCTCTCTCCTCCATTCCCTCACAGAACCAACCTAAATTTTATCCTAGACTAACCCTCAACCCTCTCCTCCACTCCCTCACAAAAGAAAATATCTCTGTTGGATGTTCAAAATCATGATTTACTAAAAGCTTACAGCAAAGAAAAGCACTGTTCACAAAACCCATGAAATTGATTTAGTCTGTTGTCATTTTTTTCCCCATTTTCTATAGATTTGATTCTATCTTTAAAAATAAGTAACAAGAGGTCTATGGGGCCTATATCTCTCACTTGGTTTTTTCAGCTATTCAGTCATTCAACAAAAGTTGAAAATTGAAGATTTTCTAAAATTTATTTCCCTAATGGGTACTGGCTTTGTTTTGAAAAAGAAGTCAGATCCACTATTTATAAACAAAAGGCCCATTGGGCCAGTATTACTCATCTGACTTTTCTTTGCTTAAATTTCTCAATTTCCCCTATTAAGCCCTTCCCCTCCCAACAGAGGGAGCTGCAGAGCACTGTTTGTCACTCAAGGATACTTGAGAAAAAATTAGGACAGAACTCTGGTATGCCTTCCGATGGAGCATTCATTAAAGGATGAGTTTTTAAGAATGCTCTATTTCCCTACTGGGCCCCAACCCTCCAGTCTAGGAGGCTAAGATTGACTGTTCATACAAAATTGATTCCCCTTTTCCAAAAGGTGATTCAATCCAAATTTGGGCAATATCCAATCATTTCTATAGAAGTAGTAGGATTTGTTTAATTTCTCCTTTAAGTCCCTATCATCTCTTAAACCTAGGCTCCCTTTCTGCCGAAGCAGCTAGACCTGGTCAAAAACTGTTCAGTCACTTATAAGCATTAGCATTTTTCGATAAAAAGTGACAGACGACTGACTCTGTGCCATGGTATCAGCTCACCGGTCTTTTTGACTAAATAATGCTTACAGTAAGAGAGGCCCAAGGGGCCTGCATCACTCGCCTGGATAATTTAGCTATTCAGGAATTTAATAAATAATTTTAAATATAACAATATCTGATATAATTTCCTTCTTGGGTCCTTCCCTTGTGGTCAAACATAAGTCAAATACACTATACATAAAAATTGCTTCAGACCAAACTTGGACAACATATTTGTATGAAAGAAATATTTTTAAGAATTAACATTTCCCCAATATGGCCTGTCCCTCCCAACCCAGGGGGCTGGAATCCACTGTTTTCACACAACTGATTCCATTTCAACCAAGAATATTTCAGACTAAATTGAGGAAATATCCTTTCATTTCTACAGAAGTAGGATTTTGTAGAATTCACTCCATTTCCCCTAAAAGGATTTTTTTAAAATTTGCTCTATGACCCCTATTTGGCCCCGCTCTCAGGCCTCAGGGTGAGGAGACTACTGTTTATAACGGAAACGTTGATGGACGGACGACGTACGCCACAGTATGCCATACGCTCAATTGGCCCTATGGGCCAGGTGAACTAAAGATGAAGCATCATACATATAAATGTTACTCCATACAAAGCCAGGGATATGCTGGCTTATCCCAAATACTAAATAGCAAGTTCATATTTTGTTCATCACTGTACATTTAGCTAACAGATGGCACACAATCTTATCTTTGTGAACAATTCAAGAAATCCGAAGTTCCATAATGGGCACCTATGTGATAAGCAGAGTCATTCCAGGGAGCACATCTTTCTCATTCTAGTTACATGACCTTTTCACCCCTATCCAACAACAGTAAGACCCCTGACAAAAGTACAGGTCCACTATTGGAAAATTGGGCTGAGAAGATCTACCACCTAGTTCTTAGCTATAAGGAACTACCTAATGGAACCTCCAAACAAAAACAGAAAATTTCAAACGTCTTTCTTTTCAAGTGTGAATCATAAAAAGCAGAATTCATAAAAAAAATAGTTTTGACTGAAAACATCAACAGAGGTTCTCATATAACCTCAATATTTTGACTTGTAGAAATTGAAAGAAAGATGGAAACTGCCACTAGATAATTCAGTACAGCCTCAGTCAGGATAATGACCCTTTGACAATGGAGAGTTCATGCCACAAGGCATAATCTAATTCATACAGGTATTTTATCACAATAAACTCAACAGAAGGGTATTTAAATCTGCGTCCCACTGGTTACAGGGGAACTACTTTTTCGTGTATTGAGGGAGTAAGACGTACCCCGAGGGCACGTTGATGGTTTGTCCTGTGGGACTGACGTAAATAGAGCTGATTGTGGATTTGGTTGAGGTTTTGGTTGTTTTGGAGGGGAGTATAGATCCAGGGGTGGGCATTTTAGACTTCGCCATCAAGGGATTAGGAATAGTCAACGTCGTAACAGACCTGGTAAATGCCACTGAAGACGGTGGAGCCCCACCGGAGGGCACTTTTTTCCTGCCTAGAAGATCACTAACACTGTTCATGAAGTCACTCCCTTCCAGTGAGGTGGTTGATGAACTTCGGGAGAGGCTATTGGCAGAAGACACACTACTGCTTGATGAAGATGATGATGATGATGATGATGATTTATTCTGAGGCTTTAAACTTGGTCGTCGGAGGATATTGGGACGGTCTGAGTCACGTTTCATGATCTTGGGTTTGGCAGGGGGAAGTGGGGGTGTTGTGGAACGTTCTGGGGGACTGGACTGTTCCACTGTAGTAGGTCCCGGTGTTGTTGCCTGACTGACAGCAGCTGTAGGGGCTGTGGGTGCTCCCTGCAGTTCTGGACGGTTATACTTCTCTAATTCTTTTGCCAGATTGCCCCGCGGTGTGGAGGTGGACACTACAGAGTCAATACTCTGCAGCTCCAGCTGTTTGGTTAGTATCATTGGTCGCAGCACTCGGTCCGTCTCTATAGAGGTGTAAACAATCAAATTAACTATTCACACAGTGAAACCAAACCCCAGCAAAACTGACTCTATACAAAATACTAGTGGATAGGAACAACTCAGCTGGCTTGAATACCATTCACATCGATAAATTCAAAGTTATATAATTATTGTTTTATATAACAAAAAAACATTACTATTCAAAACAAATTCTATTTAAAATGTGAAGAAATCAATTTCAATGCCTTAAGCAGAAAAATCCACCGAACAATAGAATATTGGAAAAAGTTTTTTCGCTTCGGTGATATTATTGACATTTTCATATCAAAAAGAGAGAAAGATAATCATTCTACAAGAAGGACAGACTTCTTCCTAAAGAGTTGGAAAGTTTTTCTCATGCAAAAAGAACAAGAAAATGTCTGATTTCTTGAAATGGCATGCAAATAAAACACAACACAAATTAATGGCCTTTACCTCAGAGTGAGGCTTGAAAAATGCAGAGCACTCATCAAAACCATCAAACTGAGACAAAAAAAACAAAGTAACGAAAAAAAGATTCAAACTTAGAACAGGAGTACATACATCTAAGATATTGCTTGGTAACCTGGTGAATTTCTTACGCTAAAATTCAGAAATGAGTGAGCATTTAGGAATATATAACTCAATTAACATACTAACACAAAGGTTATCACTGATGGAATATGATATGACTAGGATATTTGGTAACCAACACATGACCTCAGAATTCTGAGTTAATGATGTTTACAACCCATTGTGATCAACTAGTTTACATCTGGATTACCAATCATCAATCACTTTTACAAAACTATCAGATTATTGTTCTGTCTTGTTAATCAGAATTTGATCACAAAATTGATGAAAATAAATCTTGTGTGAAAGAAACTTTGTTTACAGGAAACAGCACTCAACACTTTTAATAATATAAGAATGGCTTTTTAACTCCCTTGTACTCACTCCCAAACCCAAACCTCCACTGCATTTCCCGTTCAGGTGGAGCGACACCTTTTGGTCTGTTTATCCAGACGTAAATAAATGAAAATCAAGAGTGGCTATACTTAACATAATAAAATTCACTGATATACCTAACCGAAAAGATGAAATGAATGTTTGAAATGTTTCACATCTCTTCTAATCCCTTGAAGACTATGACCAAGATCTGATTATATATGGATTCTTATTGTTGTTCTTTTGGTGTGTTAGGAACCAGAGCTTGGAAAATACAGACATACATAAGTTATCTATTGAGCCACATGGGATTTAAAAAAAAAGAAAAACTGATTGTGTGCAAGAAATCAAATTGGAAATGATGTGTGATGTACCAAGAGTACAAAGACAGATGATGTTCTGCTACAGACTCATACAGAAACAGTGTATAATAACACATTTGTCTGGCCAATGACAGTCTGAAGCTCACAGCCAGAGCCTTCACTTGTGTCAGCTCATCCCTAATTCAGGCTCAACATATCAGCTGTCATATATATAGAAAGTTATTGGACTGAAGAAATTGCAATCAGTCACACATGGAATTCTATTTCTTTTCAATAATTACAACGAATTTGAATAATATCCAGTATTTGTGACAGGACTGAATTAGATTTTAAAGACATAAGGACATTGCCCATGTGTCCTGAATGAGGATGAGTTGAGACAAAACAAAAGGTGCGAAGTTAGTGTACAGGTACCGACCCGAGGCAGACAGTCCGGCCAAGCTACTCATTGTTTTGTCTGACAATTTGCACTTCTGAGCAGCCAATCGGATGAGCTCTTTTTCATTGCATGTGGCAAGAACCGCCTTGGATGGGTCGTCTTCTTTGGGGAGCAGAACAAGATGGAGCCCTGACACCGATAAAAACAAAAAAACAAAAAACTTACGTCAAGCTAAAACGATCACAATGACAAGACCATCAAACTACAAAGGGACCCGCTAGAAATAATAGAACCATTCAACAACAGCCATGGGGAAACAAACCAAAGGCGGCCATGCTCTGTGTTGGTGTAATATCAAAGTAAAAATTAATCTTTAATAAAAACAAGCTGAGTCTATGCAGATTAAGCGGTATGGATTACATAATTTCAGGTTATAAACACCCCTATGTCTATTTCATTTCCTGTACTATACCTGTAGATTATGTTTTGGCCTCCTGGGCATATCGTAGGAAATACTTTTCAGTTCATAACACTATACAATCAAATTAAAGAATAAATTCAAATTATACACACACTGCATAGACTCAGTATAATATTCCTCTATAACCAAAATATCAACACAAAATAACTTTCTGAAAAGTGACATACTGTATGGTTACAAATAAGTGATTTGGATTTCTTTTTTTACAATGTTTTAACATCAGCATGGAATATGACAGAACCATACAGTACATCTGCCTATACAAACCCAAGTTTGGTTGTTTTAGTACATCTACAAAGCCCAAACAAGAACATTATTGTTTTTTCCTTTTCAAAATATTTCAAACCTTTGATTACAGATGTTTTATATAACGCATCATTCATAACATTAAGCTACAAGCTAACTAGGTTCAAAATTGACCTGACTAGAAAAATCAGGCCTTCTTTTTTATCACATCAATCACTTAAAGTCAGTCTCAATCTGGTCAAACTTTAAAATAAAAACAAAGTGAGTAGAGACAGATATACCCTCATCTTCTCATATTTGTTTACAGATTAAAACCTACTGCTATTAACGACATTCCTAAAACATCTTGTACAAAATCTTCTTACTTCTGTTTTTATCTAAAAGTGGTCAACAGTGATATCTGACCTTGACCGATGGTCTGATTAGGTATAGGCCGTAGTGGGATGATAGTATGGTGTGAATACGAATCTGGCCATCTTGTACATCAGGGTATCAAAACACACATAAGTCTACACAGACAAAGTGATTAACATATACTGTTTAAGACAAGAGTACCAGTGAAACTGATGAAGGCTCCCCGAAAACATCTTTATTGTTTACAAAATTAAAATAAAGGACAATAATTCTGTTGCACAGGGTTTCAGGCATTTGGTGCACTGTAAAAAAGGGCACTTACTGTAATAAAGGGCATTTACTCTGTAATTGCAAGACTGCATCCCCTAAATTTGGTAAACTGAACATCGTCTTAGTATGACCATCATACACACCAAGTTACATTATCTTTAATTCAAGCAAAGTTTTGAACCAGACGTAAAAAATATACAAGAGGGCAATAATGTAATTAATAAGTCACAGCGCCCTGACTTTGGAACAGTGAACATTGCTTTTGCAAGATGAATGTATACGTAATGTTTCATTAAAGCAGTTTAAATGCAGGCCAAGTTACGCGTAGCAAAGGGCAATAATTCTGTAATGAACCGGTTGGGGGCCCTGTATTTTGTACACTGCACTCCTCTCATCATTGTCAATGTATATACTAAGTTTCATTATCTTTATTTAAATGCAAGCAATTCAAAGTTGTCCTCTGGAGATGAAATTTACACAAAGGGCAATAACTCTGTAATTAAGGCATTATGGGTCCTGAATTACACTACACATCATCTTAAAATGATTGAAGTATACACCAAGTTTTGTGATCCTTGCATAACTATGGACAAAGTAATGCTCTGAACATGAGAGGACAGATGGAAAGATGGATTGACTGATGGACGGACGGACAAACAGATGGACAAGTCAGTGACAATATACCCCCTATGACCATGGCAATGATGGGAAGCATAACAAGAAGGCCATGACCCACAACAGTCATTATCCAATTTATGGATAGGTAGACCATAGGACTTGATAATGTTGGTCTAACAAATCTGGTAAATTTTAATTTTGATCCTTAAAAACGATCAATAAACTCAGGGTAGGTTTTGTTCATGACAAATTGTTGCTAATCCGGTAACAAAATGGCTACTGTGCCTCTGCACATTGTCTCAAGTTTTGACAAGGCTGAAAAATAACAACTTATCATTTCTTTCTTTTCCTTAACAAATTAAACTCCAAATATTTTTCTCAATGGTGTGAATGAAACTTGAGAAGTAGTTCAGACTATTTGTTCATAATGAGTCACGTTGGATTTTGGATCAAACCTAAAAATAAGATTTGGTCAGGACAATCTCGGGATCACTTCATGAATGTTTGATATCATTGTCACTTCCTCATAAGGTTTCAGGCAATATTTGGGCAAAATCTACTAGGAAAAGACAAGTAGTATTAATAGTTTACGGATAGCGGTCAGCGCATGGCCCACGATGACAGCCAACACGTGATAGAGAAAGGTCATCTTCTGACCAGGTGACCTTAAACTACTAGGTCAAGGAATAGGTTTGTACAAAATATTTGTTCTGAGAATTCACATAAAATACTGTCCTTCACAAATAATTCTTTATGTTCAATTACCCAAGAATTCTTATTGTTATCAGGTACAGGTACATTAAATAGGATGTAGAAGATGTACTCACCCGATTTCCTAGCATTTGCCTGTGTGGAACTGACTAGTTTTCCCATGGCAGCGATTGGGCATCCAGACAAACTGAAGTATAAAGATAGATTTAAAAATACAGCATACAAAGCACTGATTATCATCATACTGCTGAGCCCCTTTACCATCATGCTACCCATGTTGCTGGAAATTTGTCTTCCGATACAACTTCATAGGAATCACCTCTATACAAAACTTGTTAAAAAGACACTGTCTTTACGATCCAAGTCACTTCAGACAGATACACTGATTAGAATGACGTATTTTATGTAATTGGTAAAAGAACAACAGGGCCATACCTTAAATGGTCATCTGACAATCAATCTTTATGTAATTGGTAAAAGTACAACAGGGCCATGGCCCTAATTGGTCATCTGACAATCAATCTTTATGTAATTGGTAAAAGTACAACAGGGCCATGGCCCTAATTGGTCATCTGACAATCAATCTTTATGTAATTGGTAAAAGGACAACAGGGCCATGGCCCTAATTGGTCATATGACAATCAATCTTTATGTAATTGGTAAAAGGACAACAGGGCCATGGCCCTAATTGGTCATCTGACAATCAATCTTTATGTAATTGGTAAAAGGACAACAGGGCCATGGCCCTAATTGGTCATATGACAATCAATCTTTATGTAATTGGTAAAAGGACAACAGGGCCATGGCCCTAATTGGTCATATGACAATCAATCTTTATGTAATTGGTAAAAGGACAACAGGGCCATGGCCCTAATTGGTCATATGACAATCAATCTTTATGTAATTGGTAAAAGGACAACAGGGCCATGGCCCTAATTGGTCATATGACAATCAATCTTTATGTAATTGGTAAAAGGACAACAGGGCCATGGCCCTAATTGGTCATATGACAATCAATCTTTATGTAATTGGTAAAAGGACAACAGGGCCATGGTCATCTGACAATCAATCTTTATGTAATTGGTAAAAGGACAACAGGGCCATGGTCATCTGACAATCAACGATATGGATCAACAAACCACAGAATTCACTGATGGTGGTCGGACAAATCTGATGAATTCAAATTTTGAACAGTCCTTAAAAATATCAGAAACTCATAAATAGTGAGTTCTGTTCATGAAAAACAGCTATACAATCATGTTACAAAATGGCTACTGTGGTAATGTTGAAGTTTTGGTTGGGCTGGAAAATAAAAAGAAATCATCTCTTTCTTTTCCTCAAATCAAACAAGCAAAAAACATAAGATGTGGTCAGAACAATCTCAGGATCACTTTATGCATGTTTAATATCATTGCCAGTCTCTGATAATGTTTAAATCTAAATTTGGTTGAAATCTACCTGGCTTTAAGAAAGTGTAGCATTTTGGAACAAAATGTTGTCTAATTCTCCCCCCCCCCCCCCCTCCCTTCATACCCCTTCCTCCCCTCTTTCAACCATGATCCATGCATGACTTATGACTTCAGGTATAAATTAAATCTACACAATAATTGTTAAATTGATCAAATTCATTGTAAATAAAAAAGTATTCATGAGAAGTTGAAGAAGGTAGATAACTCTGTCACAAATTGGTGGTATTACCTTCTGTGTGTGCTCCTGGTGCTGTTTATGTGTCCCTTTCCGGTACAGCCTGGAGTAGGACACCTACTTGAAAGAAAAGGTCGTAGAGCTTATGTCAAAACACAATCGTCTTAAATACGCTGGAGGAAAACACAAAATACAGGTACCTAGAGATCACTTAATCAAATGATTGAAAAGTATGGTTGAAACTGAGGTCATCAAAGTCTTATAACTACTTGACAGGGTTGTAATACATAGGGCTAATACCTACCTTACAAGGTTGTGATACATAGTGTTAATACCTTCCTTACAAGGTTGTGATACATAGTGTTAATACCTACCTTACAAGGTTGTGATACATAGGGTTAATACCTACCTTACAAGGTTGTAATACATAGGGCTAATACCTACCTTACAAGGTTGTGATACATAGGGTTAATACCTACCTTACAAGGTTGTGATACATAGTGTTAATACCTACCTTACAAGGTTGTGATACATAGGGTTAATACCTACCTTACAAGGTTGTAATACATAGGGCTAATACCTACCTTACAAGGTTGTGATAAATAGTGTTAATACCTACCTTAGAAGGTTGTGATACATAGTGTTAATACCTACCTTACAAGGTTGTGATACATAGGGCTAATACCTACCTTAGAAGGTTGTGATACATAGTGTTAATACCTACCTTACAAGGTTGTGATACATAGTGTTAATACCTACCTTACAAGGTTGTGCTACATAGGGTTAATACCTACCTTACAAGGTTGTGCTACATAGTGTAAATACCTACCTGGCAAGGTTGTGATACATAGCGTTAATACCTACCTTACAAGGTTGTAATACATAGGGCTAATACCTACCTTACAAGGTTGTGATACATAGGGTTAATACCTACCTTACAAGGTTGTGATACATAGGGTTAATACCTACCTTACAAGGTTGTGATACATAGGGTTAATACCTACCTTACAAGGTTGTGAATACATAGGGTTAATACCTACCTTACAAGGTTGTGATACATAGGGTTAATACCTACCTTACAAGGTTGTGATACATAGGGTTAATACCTACCTTACAAGGTTGTGATACATAGGGCTAATACCTACCTTACAAGGTTGTGATACATAGTGTTAATACCTACCTTACAAGGTTGTGATACATAGTGTTAATACCTACCTTACAAGGTTGTGATACATAGTGTTAATACCTACCTTACAAGGTTGTGATACATAGGGTTAATACCTACCTTACAAGGTTGTGATACATAGTGTTAATACCTACCTTACAAGGTTGTGATACATAGGGTTAATACCTACCTTACAAGGTTGTGATACATAGTGTTAATACCTACCTTACAAGGTTGTGATACATAGGGTTAATACCTACCTTACAAGGTTGTGATACATAGGGTTAATACCTACCTTACAAGGTTGTGATACATAGTGTTAATACCTACCTTACAAGGTTGTGATACATAGGGTTAATACCTACCTTACAAGGTTGTGATACATAGTGTTAATACCTACCTTACAAGGTTGTGATACATAGGGTTAATACCTACCTTACAAGGTTGTGATACATAGGGTTAATACCTACCTTACAAGGTTGTGATACATAGTGTTAATACCTACCTTACAAGGTTGTGATACATAGTGTTAATACCTACCTTACAAGGTTGTGATACATAGTGTTAATACCTACCTTACAAGGTTGTGATACATAGTGTTAATACCTACCTTACAAGGTTGTGATACATAGTGTTAATACCTACCTTACAAGGTTGTGATACATAGTGTTAATACCTACCTTACAAGGTTGTGATACATAGTGTTAATACCTACCTTACAAGGTTGTGATACATAGGGTTAATACCTACCTTACAAGGTTGTGATACATAGTGTTAATACCTACCTTACAAGGTTGTGATACATAGGGCTAATACCTACCTTACAAGGTTGTGATACATAGGGTTAATACCTACCTTACAAGGTTGTGATACATAGGGTTAATACCTACCTTACAAGGTTGTGATACATAGGGCTAATACCTACCTTACAAGGTTGTGATACATAGGGTTAATACCTACCTTACAAGGTTGTGATACATAGGGTTAATACCTACCTTACAAGGTTGTAATACATAGGGTTAATACCTACCTTACAAGGTTGTGATACATAGTGTTAATATACATAGGGTTACCTTACAAGGTTGTGATACATAGTGTTAATACCTACCTTACAAGGTTGTGATACATAGGGTTAATACCTACCTTACAAGGTTGTGATACATAGTGTTAATACCTACCTTACAAGGTTGTGATACATAGGGTTAATACCTACCTTACAAGGTTGTGATACATAGTGTTAATACCTACCTTACAAGGTTGTGATACATAGGGTTAATACCTACCTTACAAGGTTGTGATACATAGGGTTAATACCTACCTTAAAGGTTGTGATACATAGTGTTAATACTACCTTACAAGGTTGTGATACATAGGGCTAATACCTACCTTACAAGGTTGTGATACATAGGGCTAATACCTACCTTACAAGGTTGTGATACATAGGGTTAATACCTACCTTACAAGGTTGTGATACATAGGGTTAATACCTACCTTACAAGGTTGTGATACATAGGACTAATACCTACCTTACAAGGTTGTGATACATAGGGTTAATACCTACCTTACAAGGTTGTGATACATAGGGTTAATACCTACCTTACAAGGTTGTGATACATAGGGTTAATACCTACCTTACAAGGTTGTGATACATAGTGTTAATACCTACCTTACAAGGTTGTGATACATAGTGTAAATACCTACCTTACAAGGTTGTGATACATAGTGTTAATACCTACCTTACAAGGTTGTGATACATAGGGCTAATACCTACCTTACAAGGTTGTGATACATAGGGTTAATACCTACCTTACAAGGTTGTGATACATAGGGTTAATACCTACCTTACAAGGTTGTGATACATAGGGTTAATACTTACCTTACAAGGTGTTAATACATAGTGTAAATACTTACCTGGCAAGGCTTTCATGCAAGGCAACCACTGAAAAAGAGAAATAAGTTTACACACATGGCAAAAGATTTCTTTTTACTTTGATCCAAATGAAACGTGAAATGTAAAACACATGCAGTCGATAAGTAAGCAGTTTGAAAGAAAGATTTCACTAATCCATCATATTGAATTTCTTCCTTTAGATTTAACATGCAAAGCCAGGTTCAATCTGGTGAAGTATTTTGTTGTCAGAAGAAATGACAGTAGACTTACCTTCAGGTGGAGCCATGCTCTTCCTCGGACAGCCTGATAAGCTACAAAATTAAAGTGATTTCATCATGATACATATTCGTTTCATTGAATAAATTGATTTTGACACACATCTTCTTTTGATCCAACTTATTGAATTAACACCATTGAGAATGTGAGCTTAACTGGATGTCCTAAGTTACGTACCTTCTGTGATGAGAGTAGAGACCAGTCACATGACCTGAACCATCACATCCTGGAGTCGGACACTTCACATCTTAAATAAAATATTTCCTCCCTGTTCATTACAATGATCTAACACATTCTGATAATATAAGACTATGAAAATATCAACAAAATGTTGATGATCAGATGTACCCAGTTTGAATCATGTCACACAAAATACTTGGTCTCATTTAAGTAACCTATCTGTTTAGACATATACTTCTACTATTTTCCAGTGTAAGACGAGAATTTGTTCAGCCCTGTACACGTGTTGTTAGGAAATGATAAACTACAGTATATTTGTGAGGAAATTCATCATCAAAAACCCTCATTCACATAATCCAATCAAATTCAGCTTAATTTAGTATACATAATCCAAACAAATTCAGCTTAATTTAGTATACATAATCCAAACAAATTCAGCTTAATTTAGTATACATAATCCAAACAAATTCAGCTTAATTTAGTATACTTAATCCAATCAAATTCAGCTTAATTTAGTATTCTTAATCTCAACAAATTCAGCTTAATTTAGTATACATAATCTAAACAAATTCAGCTTAATTTAGTATACATAATCTAAACAAATTCAGCTTAATTTAGTATACATAATCTAAACAAATTCAGCTTAATTTAGTATACTTAATCCAATCAAATTCAGCTTAACTTAGTATTAATTTAGTATACTGTACATTCACTGTAATCATTCAGATTAGAAACGATGAAGTTTTAGACCATCTGACTACTGGGTATTGTTAGGCTACTAGAGAGTAGATATGAATAAAATCTGTTGTAGATAATGGATGCATACAACAGATGTGTGGTACCACACAATAGTACACTGGCAAAGGCACTCATCAGGACACCACACCCAGTCGCATTAGACACCACACCAAGTCGCATTATACACCACACCCAGTCATATTATACACCACACCCAGTCATAAAATACACTATACCCAGTCGCATTATAAACCACACCCAGTCGCATTAGACACCACACCAAGTCGCATTATACACCACACCCAGTCGTATTATACACCACACCCAGTCGCAAAATACACTATACCCAGTCGCATTATAAACCACACCCAGTCGCATTAGACACCACACCAAGTCGCATTATACACCACACCCAGTCACATTATACACCACACCCAGTCGCATTAGACACCACACCCAGTCGCATTATACACCACACCCAGTCGCAAAATACACCACAACCAGTCACATTATACACCACACCCAATCGCAAAATACACCACACCCAGTCACATCAGGACACCAAACCCAGTCGCATTATACACCACACCCAGTCGCATTAGACACCACACCCAGTCACATTATACACCACACCCAGTCGCAAAATACATCACAACCAGTCACATTATACACCACACCCAGTCGCATTATACACCACACTCAGTCGCATTATACACCACACCAGTCGCATTATACACCACACCCAGTCGCAAAATACACCACAACCAGTCACATTATACACCACACCCAGTCGCAAAATACACCACACCCAGTCGCATAATACACCACACCCAGTCACATCAGGACACCACACCCTGTCACATTATACACCACACCCAGTCACATTATACACCACACCAAGTCACATCAGGACACCACACCCTGTCACATTATACACCACACCCAGTCACATTATACACCACACCCAGTCACATCAGGACACCAAACTCAGTCGCATTATACACCACACCCAGTCGCAAAATACACCACACCAGTCGCATTATACACCACACCCGGTCACATTATACACCACACCAAGTCACATCAGGACACCACACCCTGTCACATTATACACCACACCCAGTCACATTATACACCACACCCAGTCGCATTAAACACCACACCCAGTCACATCAGGACACCAAACCCAGTCGCATTATACACCACACCCAGTCGCATTAGACACCACAACCAGTCACATTATACACCACACCCAGTCGCAAAATACACCACAACCAGTCACATTATACACCACACCCAGTCGCAAAATACACCACACCCAGTCGCATAATACACCACACCCAGTCACATCAGGACACCACACCCTGTCACATTATACACCACACCCAGTCACATTATACACCACACCAAGTCACATCAGGACACCACACCCTGTCACATTATACACCACACCCAGTCACATTATACACCACACCCAGTCACATCAGGACACCAAACTCAGTCGCATTATACACCACACCCAGTCGCAAAATACACCACACTCAGTCGCATTATACACCACACCCGGTCACATTATACACCACACCAAGTCACATCAGGACACCACACCCTGTCACATTATACACCACACCCAGTCACATTATACACCACACCCAGTCGCATTATACACCACACCCAGTCACATCAGGACACCAAACCCAGTCGCATTATACACCACACCCAGTCGCATTAGACACCACAACCAGTCACATTATACACCACACCCAGTCGCAAAATACACCACAACCAGTCACATTATACACCACACCCAGTCGCATTATACACCACACTCAGTCGCATTATACACCACACCAGTCGCATTATACACCACACCCAGTCGCAAAATACACCACAACCAGTCACATTATACACCACACCCAGTCGCATTATACACCACACCCAGTCGCATTATACACCACACCAGTCGCATTATACACCACACCCGGTCACATTATACACCACACCAAGTCACATCAGGACACCACACCCTGTCACATTATACACCACACCCAGTCACATTATACACCACACCCAGTCGCATTATACACCACACCAAGTCACATCAGGACACCACACCCAGTCACATTATACACCACACCCAGTCATATTATACACCACACCCAGTCATATTATACACCACACCAAGTCATATTATACACCACACCCAGTCATATTATACACCACACCAAGTCGCATTATACACCACACCAAGTCGCATTATACAGATGACAGGTAAACCAGCTGTTAACTATTATAGGCTGAGCATTAAACAGGAAGTAGAAACAACCATTTTAAAGACTGGTATGTTTTGATCAGGGGACAGAACCCTTGCAGGGGTGAACTCTTAAATAAAGGCCAAAATGAGACACTGTCAAGGGAGACATTGGGAAGGAAATAATTATTGAAAATCAGATCCCACTTTAGTAGCCACGTACAAATCATGCATTGGGGACTGCTTGGACACCAACACAAACACTCCTTGTAACCTATCAGCAGGCCCAAGAAAACTCAGGTGCTGATATGCAATAGGCTTACACAAGTATACTGCTTCTACGTACACAAACAAATGTACACACCTTTGTCTTTGCTATCATCTGGTGCCAACATAGGCTTAACATCTTCCTCAGATTTCACACTTTGACTAGCAACAGAGGTTGTATTTGTAGTTGAAGTTGTTTCTCCTGTCGTTGTCCCGCTCCATTCTGCTACAACTTGGAACTGGCCTTCTTCCTCCTCGTCCTCCATCTCCTCCTTGGGAGTGACTGTTATCGTGGAGGCCTGGATCTGGCTAAGATTACTGATCAGAGATATAGGAATAGCTTTAGATGTGGCTACAGTTTGTACATCAGATCCTATCTCCACTTTCGTGATTGTGGCATCTGTCTGTGTGGTGGAGGCCTGACCTGTCTGTGACTGAATGGTGGCACACTGTTGTTCAATCTTTATAAGAATCTCCTCCTCACTGGATGACTGCGACACAACACCAGACAAGTCCTGTTTTTCTGATGATTGTGACACAAATATTGATGGTTTATCTGCTTTCTCTACTTTAATCTCCACAATGTCAGGTTTTGGAGCCGTTATCACTTTTGTGATCACACACATGTCCTCTGAACTTTCTCCAACCACAACCTCCTCTTTCTCTCCATCACTAGAATGTTCTTCCTTAATCTCATCCTCAACACTTGTATGTTCAATGATCACATCTGAGTCTAACTCTCCAGAGAGACTTCGTAGAGCCCTCTCTGCCTCCCTAAAACACTGCTGTTCCTCATTAAGGGATTCTAGTGCTGGTTTTTTTGTTACTATCAACTTCACTCCCTCATTAGATGAGTTCATAACCAGATCATCTGTTTCATTTTCCACCTCCTCCTCAACCTTGACCTTGATCAGTTCCACCACTTCACCAGTAGGGTCAACTTTCTCCACTTTGATACATTTAGCAGCAGGTACATCAGCCTCCACTCCTGATTCCTCTTGCTTCCTTTTTTTAGCTGCCATTGGACACGTAGTTACACTGAAAATGAATCAAACTCTGATCAATTTTGCTTGTTTGAGGAGTTCAATGATTAATTTAATCATGACTTCAACCATTTACTACCTCACACATGCAGATAATTAATTAATTAATTGCTTAGATAATTATTATTTCTGTTCATTAATTACGTTTTTGATATCCAAGAGAAGGGATCGGTGGTATTAAAATAAGAGTTACTGGTGTGGGATTAACCTGTCGCTTTTGTAAGTGTCAGAAACTGTGCTGATTGTAATTAGTTATATAAACAAAAGCTAAGCAGCACCGTGCCAGTCTAATCGCTGAAAGCTTGAACCTTATGATAAATATCAAAATTCATTAGCAAAGTATTCTTAAATTCATTCTCATTATTAATTCAAAAGGTCCAATCAATAACATAGCTTGACATCGACAGACACTTTGTAATAGGCCATTTCTAAACGAGGCTCCGATGTGAAAAAAAAAGTTGATTAATACCTAATTTTTGCTGTGTTTTACATGTCATTTAGTTGTTATACATAACCATAACAGATAACTTTCAACCATATTTAATCCAGAAAGTGCATGTTCATTATAAGGTAGCTATATTTCAAATATGATCAATAGTTTCTCAATCTTTTAACATCTAATCTGTTGTCCGTACTGCATTGTACACGTAAACATGGCTGTCATCTTTATGTTTGTTGCTTGATGTCAAACCTGATTGTTTTTGAAATAGTGAGTCACATTGCAGTTCAAGTGCTTATCCTATGTCATGATATCATCATTGAGTAAATAACATGAAGAAAGACGAGCTTGTACAAAACACTGATTTCACGAGTATCATCAATGATGATGGCTTTTTGTGTGTGTGTGTGTGTGTGTGTGTGTGTGTGTGATAGAGAGAGAGAGAGAGAGAGTACTGTACATTTCTCACAAAGATGAACTGTTAATTACTGAATTAAAAACCATTTACAACTATTACCATATGTTAATATATGTATTAAAACTGTCCTCCTATACTAACGATTTTGAGTTATTTCCAACAGAAAACAAAAGTTCTAATCAGAATGCTAGTTTCTTATCAAAACTCTAGTAAATCTTACATTCTCCCTAGGGGACGTGTGAGACCCTTGGGGCATGGAGTTCCAAATTTTGCTAAAGTACCTGAAGACCCTTCCAACAACAAAGAGCATTTAATTCTACAATATTTAGGTGTTGAAAAGAAGATTTTTAAAATTAGAGCTTATTGTACCTATCAACAAGTCATCATCCTACATTAATAATTCTAAATATTTACAACAGAAATTAAATAAATTATGCCTGAAAATGTACTTCTCTTATATAAACTATAGTAAACTTGATCCCCTCCCAAGGGGTATATGTAAGACCCTGGAACCATTGATTCAGAATTTAGGTAGAGCACCTTATACACTTCCATCCATGAAAAGCATTTGATTCTAACATATCTCAGTGTTGAGAAGATTTTTGAAATTTTAGTCAATTCGAGCAATTTGGCCCCAACCCCTCATGTCCCTATGGGATAGAAACCTTATAATTCACTGTTTCAGTTCATCTTTGGCCAGAAAATGTTTCTGCAAACTTTCCAATGATATTGGTTGAAATCAAAATATTAAAAACTTTACAGATGCACGCCAAATGCAATCGCAATATTGAGCCGTGAGCCTTTGTCTCTGGTGATCAAATAAAAGACCAGTTTTGAGAATTTTAGGAGACTGTTTTGTGAAAATATCTGGTACTGACCTTTTATGACGAGAATACTTTCCAGTTGAATGCCCTAATCCCTTACGGCCAGGGGAGGGACAGGAAAAAGTCAAACTGGTGATTACTGCATCTATAACAAAGTTACAACACAATGATCAATTACCCGTAATACACAACTCAGAAAATAATCTACTTTGATAAAAAATATGACAGATTCTTGGATATTAGAGTTCTGCGTGAAGAGAATTTTTTAAATTTCTACATGATCAGGAAAATTTACCTTCTCTCTCCTTCATTGTTCCATCACTTTCATCATTTTTGTCCTGGAAAAAAGTTGGAAAGGCTTGTAACTGAGTTTCTAACAATGAAAAACAGGAAAGAATGATAAGCAAAATGGCTGTTCATTTTACCTGTTGTTGTGCATTCATTTCAAGTGACAAGTAAATTAGCCAAAATAAAACATAATCATATTGCTAAATATTGTCTTTAACATTTATTCTACAAAGTCTTCTGAAATATTTAAACCAATCAAAATTAAATCCTACTTTAATAAGTTCTACAATCAGCCTATTTCCCATGCAGAAGCATCTTCATAACACCACTGTGGCCAAGAAGGCCTCGAACAAGACAAAAATAATTATAAATAAAGCAATGAAGGTGACATAACGATATAAAGACAGCTATATTATTCACTGATAACAGTAGTAGCAGTGGGAACAATCATTTACCCAGTAAAATATTTCTAAATAAAGCAATGAAGGTGACATAACGATATAAAGACAGCTATATTATTCACTGATAACAGTAGTAGTAGTGGGAACAATCATTTACCCAGTAAAATTATTCTAAATAAAGCAATGAAGGTGACCTAACGATATAAAGACAGCTATATTATTCACTGATAACAGTAGTAGTAGTGGGAACAATCATTTACCCAGTAAAATTATTCTAAATAAAGCAATGAAGGTGACCTAACGATATAAAGACAGCTATATTATTCACTGATAACAGTAGTAGTAGTGGGAACAATCATTTACCCAGTAAAATTATTCTAAATAAAGCAATGAAGGTGACCTAACGATATAAAGACAGCTATATTATTCACTGATAACAGTAGTAGTAGTGGGAACAATCATTTACCCAGTAAAATTATTCTAAATAAAGCAATGAAGGTGACATAACGATATAAAGACAGCTATATTATTCACTGATAACAGTAGTAGTAGTGGGAACAATCATTTACCCAGTAAAATTATTCTAAATAAAGCAATGAAGGTGACCTAACGATATAAAGACAGCTATATTATTCACTGATAACAGTAGTAGTAGTGGGAACAATCATTTACCCAGTAAAATTATTCTAAATAAAGCAATGAAGGTGACCTAACGATATAAAGACAGCTATATTATTCACTGATAACAGTAGTAGTAGTAGGAACAATCATTTACCCAGTAAAATATTTCTAAATAAAGCAATGAAGGTGACCTAACGATATAAAGACAGCTATATTATTCACTGATAACAGTAGTAGTAGTGGGAACAATCATTTACCCAGTAAAATAATTATAAATAAAGCAATGAAGGTGACCTAACGATATAAAGACAGCTATATTATTCACTGATAACAGTAGTAGTAGTGGGAACAATCATTTACCCAGTAAAATATTTCTGAATAAAGCGATGAAGGTGACCTAACGATATAAAGACAGCTATATTATTCACTGATAACAGTAGTAGTAGTGGGAACAATCATTTACCCAGTAAAATTATTCTGAATATTTCATTAATAAGAGCAAAAACATTCGACCTTTCAATTTTTCAACATTCCCACGAAATTTTAGACCATCAGCAGAACAAGGGGAAAAGTCTATAATGTGTTTTTTAAGATTTCACACCAACTTAACAAATAACAATACATAATCAGGACCATCTCTGGATCATTTCAGACAAGTTTCAACTAAATCCCACTGGTGAAAATTGAGAACATTAAAATAGATGAGAAACCATAATTTTAAATGTGTTTCTCAAGATGGCTGACATGATAGTCTCTTAAGATTTCACACAGACCCAAAAACTAACATTTGGTCAGACTACCTAAGGATTATTTCAAGCAAATAGAGTTTGAAAAGAATTTCAAAACAGAATTTTCAAGGTGGTGGACATGGAGGCCATATTTGAGTTTGGATTGACCCAATAAAAAATAACAAAGCGACAATCTCAGGATTATATCAGGCAAGTTTCAGCTCAATACCACAGGTAGAACTGGAGAAAAAGGTAATAAGAGATCTCAGGGGGATCTTGGCAAACAATATTGTTTGACCTTTATTTGTATTTTAAACGTCAAGATATTTTAATTTCCTTCTCTTTTTTCCTGTTCTTGCTCTCTAAAGATACAAAATTTGACACTCCTTTGCAGAAATAGTGATTATAATCTTTTCCTGCCAAATCCAATATGGTTGCCTGGCAACCATTTTGTTTTCCTGATTGGTTCCAAAATCAAAACGGCACAAATATGGGCCGAGATGAATCAATACATTCAAATTGAGAAAGAACCATCAAACACTCCTCAAACAAGATGCCCCAGAGGCCTACATAACTCACCTAGCTACTATAAATATTCAGCCATTTAACAAAGAATTTCAAATACGACAAATCTTTTCTTAACAAAATTTTCCAATGGGTCCCAGCCTTGTAGTCAAACAAAAAAATTGCTTCAGATCAAACTTGGACATTATCCTTGTATGGAAGAAGGATTTTTAAGAACTTACATTTCCATAATGAGGCCCACCCTTCTTGCCCCAGAGGGCCAGGATGCATTGTTTATAAAGAACTGATTCTCATTCACCAAGAATCCTTTTGACCAAATTTGGGCAAATTTCAATCATTCCTACAGGAAAAGGAGGAATTGCAAGAATTTGCCCTATTTCCTTTATTGGTCCCTCCCAAACAGGCCAAGATGTAACATTGATACATCTTCATCCAAGAATGCTTCAGTTAAAATTCCAGCAATTCAAAAATATCCATTCATTCCTAAAGGAGGAGTAAGATATTCAACAACTTGAAAATTTTTTCCTTTTGGTTGAGAACCAAGACTTGGTTCCTCTTCACTCTAAAATGGTTCACACTAAATTTTGGCAAAATCCAGTCATTCCTACTAGAAAAGTAGGATTTTATAGAAATAACTCCATTTCACCTATTGGGCCTCACTTCTTCTGCCCTTACCTCCATTTCACCTATTGGGCCTCACTTCTTCTGCCCTTACCTCCATTTCACCTATTGGGCCTCACTTCTTCTGCCCTTACCTCCATTTCACCTATTGGGCCTCACTTCTTCTGCCATAGGGCCTAAGGTTATGCAAGATTGTTTCCCCCTCACCCAAGAATGCTTCAGACCAAATCTGTTTGGTTGTTCATGCCTAGAAGCAATTTTTTTGAGCAAAAAGCTGACTGATGCCTGAAGCTGGACAATGGACTGTGGAGAGATGACAGACGCCGCACCATGACATAAGCTTATCGGTCCTTCTGACTAAGTCAGCTAACAAGAGAGATGTGAGTCTTAACAATCATCTGACAATCTATGGATAGACAGACCACAGAACTTGATGATGGTGGTCTAACAAATCTGATGAATTCAAATTTTGAACATACTGCGTTATCATGTCACAAATTGTGCCATTAAGAACTACTTCTCCAGTTTCATTCACACCATTGAGAAAAATATTTGGAGTTTAATTTGTTAAGGAAAACAAACAGATGTTATGTTGTTTTTCAACCCTGTCAAAGGCTATTTGTTCAAAATGAGTTACGTTGGATTTGGACCAAACCTAAATATAAGATTTGGTCAGGACAATCTCCGGATCACTTCATGAATGTTTGATATCATTGTCACTCACTGGTAATGACTCAAGCCAAATTTGGGCCAGATCTACCCACGCATTAAGAAGGAGCAGTATTTTGAAGAAAAATATTTTCCAACTTCCCTTTAGGGACTTGCCTCTAAGTTGAATCAACTCTCTAAATTTAAAAATTAATTGCCCACCACTATAATGTTTCAGAAAATATTTGAATTAAATCCATTCAAGCAATGAGAGAAAGCAGTGTTTGAAAGTAAAATACTGACCAACTTTCCCTTTTGGGACTCAATGCCTAATGATGTTTCAGACAAAATTTGTATGAAATCCATTGAAGCATTAAGGGAAAGTAGTGTTTTGAAGAAACTGCTAAATCAGCCTTCGGCCATCAGGGCTCTTGGGCTGATACGAGGTGTGATATCCAAATAGTCATATAATTATCTCTCAATATGACACCACCAAATGCATCAGCTTCGGTTTCAAAATGGTCTGATAAATGACACAAACACAGTTATACACATCAAATCTTCTGATGATATGCACTTACCTCTGTCAGGTTACATGTATTTTCTGCATCTGAAATTATAATATATACATGTTACATTTGGTTTTCAGTAAAGTACCGCTTACATCATGAATATTCAGTTTTACACAAGTCCCATTTTTCCAGCCATAGGAACTCGTGGAAATACTGGTAAAACCTAGAATACAGCACATTTTACAACATCTTGGAATGAAGAAATGAAAACAAAAACTTATTAATCACCAAAATATCTTGAATACTAAAGTCTTAAAGGACATGAGGGCCAAGCGGCCTGCATCACCCATCTTTCTAATTCCACTATTTAACAAAGAATTTCAAATATGACAAACATATTCTGAAACAATTTCCCTATTGGCTCCCAGCCTTGTGGTCAAACAGAAGTCATATTCACTATTCATAAAAAAAATCATTCTGACCAAATCTGAACAACATCCTTGTACAAAAGAAGAATTTCTAAGAACTCACATTTCCCCAATTTGGCCCCAAATGGCCTGTATCCTTCATTTACACAGAACTGATTCCTCTGCACCAAATACTTCAGACCAAATTTGGGCAAAATCATTCCTACAGAAGGAGTAGGATTTTAAAGAATTTCTGCTATTTCTCGTATTGGGCCCCATTCCTACAATCCAGGTTGGCTAAAATTCCCAGCTCCATATTTTCAGGATTATAAAACATAACTGTTTTTCACAAATACTTGCCCATCGTGTGTTTGTGACTGAAACAGATCACATAGATCTGTCACTTGTAACCATATATAGGAAGATTTGAAAAGTGCAATTAAAATAACTTTCTTGTGGGTTTAATTACTCGTACCTTTAAATAAAAATCACAACCATAACATCTTCACAGCAATTACCAGACAGCATGGCAGAATATGCAATAGCCTAGATTGATAAGTCTTTGCATGATAGTTCACATTTTAGAAAGATCACCATGCTTGTTTATCACAGAACGGCTTAGTGTAAACACGGGCACCTGTATCTGGAACGTAAACAATACAAGCAAAAATCCAGTCAGCTATGCATCACACGAAAAACCCTTGAAGACTGATTCCCCTTCACTGAACAATGCTTTGGACAAAAATTTGGCAAAAGACAAACATTCCAAAAGGAAGAGTAGGATTTTAAAGAATTCGCTCTCTTTCCCCTATCTGGCCCCACAACTCTGGCCCCAATGGACCAAGACCCATGGTTTATTCAAAAGTGATTTCTCTTCACCCAACAATGCTCCAGACAAAATTTGGGCAAAATACTATCATTCCTACAAGAGTAGTAGGATTTTTAGAAATATACTCTCTTCACCTATTTGGCCCTGCCTTTCTGTCTCCAGAGGGCCGGGACCCTGTCCAAAATTTGCTCCTCTTACCCTAAGGATGCTTCAGACCAAACTGTGTCAAAATCTTCAAAGTCCTTCATGACTTGTTGACTAATGTATGGACGGTGAGCTGAACATTACAGTGCTTCAAACTTGCAACGAGACAAAATTTCTGTAAATCCTTGGATTTTGAATTTTTTTTAGCAGGATTTACAACCTCATGGACATCAAGGGACATTTTGAAGTAGGGTCTTTTTCAAGTAGCCTATGGAACAACATAAGGGAGACAAATAACATGCCATCAAGAAAATGTCCTTCAAAATCCAAGTCAAAACAATGACAACACAACCTGTCCCATTCCACAGCTTTCTGAGAAACATAAAAAAAATAACAGCAAATTAACAGAAAAGAACCACACACCTCAGATCTTCACAGGAGTTTAAACAGACCAATCCTACAACAAACTATGCTATCTCAGCCCCTTAAAAATTGTGCTTTCTGGAGGCTCTGCCAACCCTCTCATTGCTGAGGCAAGTTTCTATTTCAGGACTTCCCATCTAGATCCCATCCTAGTACAGAAGAACTGTTACTGAAAAACACTAGATTGTGGAAGCTTTTCAAAGATTAAAAAAAATCAATACCATTCTTGGTATTCAAGCTTTTCTGTAACTGGTACAGGGCAAAAATATCTTTGCTGAACAAAACATCAATATCAAATTTTTCCAGACTGACAGGTTTCAAGTAGCTCATTGAAGCTATTCACCAACATGACATATATGAATTTTGACCTCTCCCACTGAACTAGTACAGCCATGAAAGCTGATCATTTTCAGAGTTTATAATTCCATGAACAGCTGGAAACAATGGAAACCACTTAATGCCACGATGGTTAGTATATTTTCTGGGCAAATAAACAAACCACACCCAAGTATAAGCCAACTTTTTCAATTTTATCAATATATAAACTGTACCCTTTCTGAGGATATGGTTACCGTAATGTTGACCAAAGTTTGTTGATATAAGAGAAAATGGAGGGCAATTTATCAAGATGTCAGTGAAACATTTGATATCAGTTTGCAAATGAAATATACACAGATAGTCTTTTATTTTATTGACGTGTTTGAAAAATGTAAAACAGCAATTATTGAACTTGTTTGGCTTTGGAGCTTTCAAAGATTGTCTACGCACAGATATTGGGTCTGAAGTTACGTACTGTTTACTTAACAATATCTCCATCAATGTCTGTACTGTTAGATATCGGCGAAGGCCCTTACATGCTAACAAATTCTTAAAGTTCAACATTTTTTCTGATAAGTTACACAAAGCCATTCTTATGGTTAACAAGCATGACGGTCATTCTTGAATTGAACTCGATGACCTATTGATCCCAGGATGCAACAGGCTATTGTAAACTTCCGCTTTGGCATCCGAAGCAACCACGAAAATTCAGAAGATATTACTGTGATTTATACTAAAATGTATGATTAATTAAATCCATGAGAATATCATTTTTATTTCAATCATCCTGTATACCATTACGAATGACAGTTCTAGATGATCTGTTTCAGTCACAAACATGTGATGGACAGGTACCCACTCCTAAATACTTGGTACCGACATCATTTACTGATGTACTGGTATCTTTGGTTTAAATCTCTTTTTTTTTTAATTCTTTCTGAAAGTGTGACTTGCTACAACAACCAAAATTATCAGGGTGCAAGGTCACGCAGGTCATAAGTGCATGTGATAAGCCTCAACAAAATTCCATTCCGAAAAACATAACGATCCAGAATTGATCTCCAGATGATACACTTCATTTTTTTTGTTTTTTCATTTTGCCATTTTTTTCGTCCACTTATAAGCCGCACCAGTATATAAGCCGCATGCCTGACTGCAAAGGAAAAAAGCAGCCCAGCAAATACAGTAATATCTTTGAAACATTAAAAATATTCCATGTAATCTAACATCTAAGGTCACTTATTTTTTGCATGAGCAATGCTTATTTATAAACATCACTTCACATAGTCACATATTCATTTAGTTTTTTCTGATCTCTCCAAAATTAAAATGGGCACAACTAGGGAAAAGGGAAAGGGAAATCTATATACGAAATCTAAGAGAGATTCATTGAGTCCTTCTCAAGAAATAGCAATAACAAACTTTGTCGAAATCCAAGATGGCCACCTGCCATTTTTGTTTTTAGGATCAGTCCAAAAATCAAACAAGCAAACCAAAGAACAAAGGGAACCTATTATGAAATTTGAGAGAGATCCATTCAATTCTTCTTCAGAAATAGGGATAGCAAACTTTTACTCAACAAAATCCAAGATTGCTGCCGATTTTTTAAAATTTTTGATCAGTGTAAACGTTAAACAGGCACAACTAGGGACATAGAAAAACCTTTACATGAAATTTAAGAAAGATCTATGCATTTTTTCTAAAGAAATAGCGATAACGAACTTTCAAAGTCATAATCCAAGATGGCCACCTGTCGGCCAATTTTTTTTCCTGATCAGTCCAAACATTAGATGGACACAACTAGAGATCAATGTGAACTTATACATGAAATTTCAGATAGATCCATCCTGGACTTCTCAAGAAATAGCAATAACGAACTTGCATGGTCAAAATCCAAGATGGCCACCCTGTTGGCCATTTTGTTATTCTAATCAGTCCCAAAATCAAATGGGCGCAACTAGAGACCAAGGGGAACATAGAAATTAAATTTAAGAAAGATTCATCAAGTGCTTTTTAAGAAATAGCCACAACAATCTTCTAAAGTCAAAACCAAGATGGCCACCTTTCGGCCATTTTGTTTTTCTGATCAGTCCCAAAATTACATGGCCACAACTTAAGACTAAGAGGAACCTACACATGAAATTGGAGAAAAATTGTTTACAAGCAGAGGGACGACAGACCATGGATGTAGAGTGATTTGAAAAGCTCACCATCTGATGATATGGTTTATCCTGGTGCGGCTATTAGCCGATGTCTTATTTCCCAGAATTTTAATTATTAATGATCCCGAATATCTCTTCAGACCTGCACCTTTCTGCCATATCTTACATGTTATCAAATATGCATAAACAATTAAGTACATCAGTAACATCTGCTTACTTCTGACATTTTATTTTGAAAGATACAAACATCTGAAACACATCCCCTGTAACAATAGTAAGAACATGCCTGGCTAACTGAAAGCTGTCCGTCTGTTAGCCCTTCATCCCAACATTAAGTATGTATTATTGCGAATAAACTGCAGTATGTGTTATAGAGAGAGAAAATAAAGAAATAGGTGTGTTAGAGAGCAAGAAAGTTAGGGAATCAGGTGTGTTATAGAGAGAGAAAGTTAAGGAATGAAGTGTGTTACATAGAGTGAAATTTAAGGAATGAGGTGTGTTATAGAGAGAAAGTTAAGGAATGCGGTGTGTTATAGAGAGAGAAAGTTAAGGAATGAGGTGTGTTATAGAGAGAGAAAGTTAAGGAATGAGGTGTGTTATAGAGAGAGAAAGTTAAGGAATGTGGTGTGTTAGAGAGAGAGAAAGTTAAGGAATGAGGTGTGTTATAGAGAGAGAAAGAGAAAGTTAAGGAATGAGGTGTGTTATACAGAGAGAGAGAGAAAGTTAAGGAATGAGGTGTGTTAAGAGAGAGAATGAGTGTTATAGAGAGAGAAAGTTAAGGAATGAGGTGTGTTATAGAGAGAAAGTTAAGGAATGAGGTGTGTTATAGTGAAAGTTAAGGAATGATGTGTGTTATAGAGAGAGAAAGTTAAGGAATGAGGTGTGTTATAGAGAGAAAGTTAAGGAATGTAGTTAATGGAGAGAGAAAGTTATAAAGAGAGAAAGTTAAGGAATGAAGTGTGTTATAGAGAGAGAAAGTTAAGGAATGAGATGTGTTATAGGGAGAGAAAATGTTGTGTTATAGAGAGAGAGGAATGAGGTGTGTTATAGAGAGAAATGAGTTAAGGAATGAGGTGTGTTATAGAGAGAGAAAGTTAAGGAATGAGGTGTGTTATAGAGAAAATGAGTTGTTAAGGAATGAGGTGTGTTATAGAGAAAGAATGAGGTGTGTTATAGAGAGAGAAGTTAAGGAATGAGGTGTGTTATAGAGAGAAAGTTAAGGAATGAGGTGTGTTAGGAGAGAAAGTTAAGGAATGAGGTGTGTTATAGAGAGAGAAAGTTAAGGAATGATGTGTGTTATAGAGAGAGAAAGTTAAGGAATGAGGTGTGTTATAGAGAGAGAAAGTTAAGGAATGAGGTGTGTTATAGAGAAAGAAAGTTAAGGAATGAGGTGTGTTACAGAGAGAGAAAGTTAAGGGATGAGGTGTGTTAAAGAGAGAGAAAGTTAAGGGATGAGGTGTGTTATAGAGAGAGAGTTAAGGAATGAGGTGTGTTATAGAGAAAGTTAGGGAATGAGGTGTGTTATAGAGAGAGAAAGTTAAGGAATGAGGTGTGTTATAGACAGAAAATTAGGGAATGAGGTGTGTTATAGAGAGAGAACATTAAGGAATGTGGTGTGTTATAGAGAGAGAAAGTTAAGGAATGGGGTGTGTTATAGAGAGAGAAAGTTAAGGAATGAGGTGTGTTAAAGAGAGAGAAAGTTAAGGAATGAGGTGTGTTATGGAAAGAGAAAGTTAAGGAATGTGGTTAATGGAGAGAGAAAGTTAAGGAATGAAGTGTGTTATAGAGAGAGAAAGTTAAGGAATGAGATGTGTTATAGAGAGAGGAATGAGTGTGTTAATGTTATAGAGAGAGTGTTATGAGAGAGAGTTAAGGAATGAGGTGTGTTAAGGAATGAGGTGTGTTATAGAGAGAGAAAGTTAAGGAATGAGGTGTGTTATAGAGAAAGTTAAGGAATGAGGTGTGTTATAGAGAGAGAAAGTTAAGGAATGGGGTGTGTTATAGGGAGAGAAAGTTAAGGAATGAGGTGTGTTATAGAGAGAGAAAGTTAAGGAATGAGGTGTGTTATAGAGAGAAAGTTAAGGAATGAGGTGTGTTATAGAGAGAGAAAATTAAGGAATGAGGTGTGTTATAGAGAGAAAGTTAAGGAATGCGGTGTGTTATAGAGAGAGAAAGTTAAGGAATGAGGTGTGTTATAGAGAGAAAGTTAAGGAATGTGGTGTGTTATGGAGAGAGGAAATGTGTTATAGAGAGAGAAAGTTAAGGAATGAGGTGTGTTAAGGAGAGAAAGTTAAGGAATGTGTGTGTTATAGAGAGAGAAAGTGTAAGGAATGAATGTGTGTTTTATAGAGAGAAAGTTAAGGAATGCGGTGTGTTATAGAGAGAGAAAGTTAAGGAATGAGGTGTGTTATAGAGAGAAAGTTAAGGAATGAGGTGTGTTATAGAGAGAGAAAATTAAGGAATGAGGTGTGTTATAGAGAAGGTGGCATGTTACAGAGAGAGTTAACGTTAAGGAATGAGATGTTATAGAGAGAGAAAGTTAAAGAATGTGGTGTGTTATAGAGAGAGAAAGTTAAGGAATGAAGTGTGTTACATAGAGTGAAATTTAAGGAATGAGGTGTGTTATAGAGAGAAAGTTAGGGAATGAGGTGTGTTATAGAGTGTGTGTTATAGAGAGAGAAAGTTGTTAAGGAGATGAGAGTGTGTGTGTTAGAGAGAAAGTTAAGGAATGAGGTGTGTTATAGAGAGAGAGAGTTAAGGAATGAGGTGTGTTATAGAGAAAGTTAAGGAATGAGGTGTTATAGAGAGAGAAAGTTAAGGAATGAGGTGTGTTATAGAGAAAGAAAGTTAAGGAAAGAGGTGTGCTATAGAGAGAGAAAGTTAAGGAATGAGATGTGTTATAGAGAGAAAGTTAAGGAATGAGGTGTGTTATAGAGAGAGAAAGAAAGTTGTTATAGAGAAGGAATGAGGTGTGTTAGAGAGAGAAAGTTAAGGAATGAGGTGTGTTAGAGAGAGAAAGAGAGAAAGTTAAGGAATGAGGTGTGTTATAGAGAGAGAAAGTTAAGGAATGTGGTGTGTTATAGAGAAAGAAAGTTAAGGAATGAGGTGTGTTACAGAGAGAGAAAGTTAAGGGATGAGGTGTGTTATAGAGAGAGAAAGTTAAGGGATGAGGTGTGTTATAAAGAGAGAAAGTTAAGGAATGAAGTGTGTTATGGAGAGAGAAAGTTAAGGAATATGGTGTGTTATAGATAGAGAAAGTTAGGGAATGAGGTGTGTTATAGAGAGAGAAAGTTAAGGAATGTGGTGTGTTATAGAGAGAAAGTTAGGGAATGAGGTGTGTTATAGAGAGAGAAAGTTAGGGAAGGAGGTGTGTTATAGATAGAGAAAGTTAAGGAATGAGGTGTGTTATAGAGAGAGAAAGTTAAGGAATGAGGTGTGTTATAAAGAGAGAAAATTAAGGAATGTTATGAAGTCATTTTTTATATTTTGGTGGTGTTAAGCTATAAGGCCCAATGTCTTCTGTTGATGTCAAACTATTTTACTTTGAAGTAAGAAAGTTCCATTAGAGTTTGAAATTAAGTTCTGTAGCAATTAAGACAGTATGAGGTAGGAATCTTCAGAAATATATGTTTTCTTAAAAAGAACTCTGTTATTTGGTAAATTCATTTAATTAAATTCAACAAAGTGTGCATATCTTTTCAATCATTATTCAGGTCTTAAATTCACACACCTGGCAATTTTCAAAGTGGGGGGGGGGGGGGTCACCTTGAGATCAGTGTACTGCTAATGACATGTAGTAAGGAAGATGTCACATAACCATATATTATACTGATTTCTTATGAAGGAGGTTAAAGAACTAAGATTTATTGAATGGAGGAAAGCTCACGATATGGAGCATCCTTTTATTTTGTATTAGAAATCAGAAATACAGGTGATAAAGGCTGGTGATTATCTCTCCAGTAATACAAGATTGTGACATCCTGATCAATATGACAGAAACAGGTCAATGATACCTCATTATCTGCCAGTGTTGTGCCTACAGGTGATCTCACACTTACCTTGAGGGTAAGTACCATAGAGTTTTACTTCCAGGTATGATTATTCCAGTTCCCTAACAGATGTTTTGTTCCCGTTAAATTGATGGATCTTTTCTGTCGGTTATTGAGTGAGATTTCCATTTTAATATTTGTACAAAAATTTTCAAAATATGAAACATTATATTTCTGATAATTACAAATAACCAAGCAATTTTCTTTCATTGAAAGAGTGAAAAATTTCATTTGTGTATGTTTTTATCATCATATTTCTACAATAATTTTTATATGTACATAAAAAATACTGGCTGACTAATTAAATAAAGCAATATTTTGTACAGCAAGGCACACAGATTTTTTCTTCTTGCACCATTATGTTACACCACAGACTGTCTCTTTGTCTACATCCTAGGAAATTATAACCATGTAATGATTCTCAAACTTTTTAGAGTCAGCCGGCCATAACTTTGATGATTATCTTTTGTGAAGTTATGTACAAGTGTGATTCTGTGTCTATTGGCCTAGGAGGCAGCCGGCACGCGACCAGTCAATTGTCTGTTTACTCTGGGTTTGTCTAACACCTGCTTGTATTAACTCTCTCTACCTGCCCGACATCTGCCCTTACAGTTATATTACTACACAGCTACACACCTAAGTGTGTGTGTGACACACAGCTTTAGTCAGGTATCCTCACAGCTGACAATGAAAAATCAATAGATTGTATCTAAGTCACAAAAGAAGTTCACTTTTCTTTCCACTGGTATAGTAAACGAAAATATTTCATTTAATGAAATCCAGTCAATATACACAGAGTTGGTTCCTATATCAAATATCAGTCCTAACAACAGGAAATTCAACCACTAATTCTGTTTATTTTTTTCCCTGTTAAATTTTTAAGGAGTTTAACTGATAACTTTTTGTTGATTATATGAGAAAAAACATTTTAGAGGAAATTTCACAGATTAAGTACAAATTTAAAAAATACAACTGAAATAATTTATTTGTCATTAAAAGATATTATATAATCTACTGATAATGAATAAGGGTTCCAGATATACATATGTACCTAGATGTCTGTAAACATTCCATATAAAATTCAATCATGTCTCAAAATTATTTAAATCTGATATTGCACACACTTCAATTTTTAAAAAAGGACATTCACCAAACAAAGTTAGAAGAAAATCAATAAGGTAACTTCCTAAAGAAGTGCTGGTTTTCCAGTAACATTCTGACTAGTTATCCTGTATCAAATCTCATCTGGCCCCAAAGTATATATAACCAAGATTATTTGTTTACCAAGTTATATTATCATAAATTTTGTTCAAGATTACTTACTTGCTACTGAAATAGGTGTTGTTTTTCTTGATCTATTTGTCGCTTCAGTGGTGTTGACGATTACTTTCTGCTCCACTGTCTGATTCTGTCAAAAATCAATAGGTAAATCCATAAACCTCACCTTATAAACACATAGGAGAGAGTTTAAACCACATTTTCATCCACAGCAAAACTATTGTTGTATATGACATCAACAAGTTTCTCTGGAATCAGCCATATTGGATCAAACTAGCACAACTTGACTCGTGTCATTAACATAAATTTCAGCGGGACTAAGTTGCAGAGCTTGGAGATTGTCACCACTAGTTCCTGAATGATCACCTGTGACAATCAATCCCTTGGTCACTTTATCTACATGTTAAACACTGTCTAAGGAAGTTGATTACCACTTTACAGGTGTGACAAAAGTTCCACAAACAACCACCAACACTTTCAGGCTCATTAATAATTAATCACTTTCATGCACAACTCTGTAGAAATGTCTGAGACTTGGACGACTTTACTTAACTGTCAAAACACACCACAATCCTGATTCTGTTCCATCCAAATTCCTCCAAAGTATCACAAACATGTGCAACATCTGTCCACAAATGATCTTACCTGAATACTCCCACTTTTCACAGGTAGTTTTGAACAATTAATATGCTGGAACAAAGTGGCAGGGTAGTTAGTGATGGCCTACAAGTATCGCAAGTGAGGCTCCTTCATTAACATGAAGCCTATTGGAGCACTATGCCTGCTTTGTGTATGCCGTGTACCCAGCTCCCTCTGAGCTGCTGTGCTTGCTTCTCTGAGAGCTGCCACACACGCCTTTGTCCTATGAGTCGAGGGCTCTGATTGGCTACCAGAGTTTTAGCTATGAATGGTAATGAATCTCTATTATCAACTACTTGAATTATTGAATACGTTGAACAGATGTTGGACAATAACACCCTGAGGAGAGGCACAAACTTATTTGTCTTTTTTCTGTAGTAGCCAGTCAGTGATCTGCTTTGTACCCCTGGCCATGTGCCATCCAAAAAAATTCCATAAAAAGTATAGTGCCTATACCAGTTCATTCTTAAACAACTTGGTACAGAGTGAAAATAAACTTGTCCTTTATCCAAGGACAAAGTCATTGTCCACTTGATTATCTATAAACTACAGTATACTGGTAGGTACTGACACTAAGGCACTGGTGGATACTCCTGTCAGTTTAATTATTATAATTGACCAGCCAACAAAATCTAGGGCACTTTGAACAGTTATCAAGTATTGATCTGAGGGAATATACAGGCAGATTCTACATTGTCATCGTGCAGATGTTTTTCTCTGAGGTACAATGAAGTGGACAAAGTACACTCAACTCCTCACTACAGTAATTAGTGAAGTTGTTTGACTTTGATTAGAGTTCTCAGAGAAACAGTAACTGCAGGAAATTCTCTATGCATGTCAAGTACTGCCTCCAGAAATCAATAGAGCTGAACCTACTTTGTTCACAGTTTCTTCCAAGGAACATAATATTTACAAAAACTTTACCCATTCTAGTCACAAAAAGTACTCATGCTGCCTCATAAATTCATTCTGATATCCTAATTGTTAACTATTGTAAATACATACAGTAGTATATCATGTATTTTTTGCATGTATCTAATTTTTGTGAATTTAGTAATCTTATTAAATCCTTAAATTTGTATTTATCTACAGTCTGTTGATTTATAAACACATATAAGACAGTTTTTACATTGTCTCAATTACAGTATACATCAAGTGTTGTGGTATTCAAACAACCCCTTGGTGTCGAGTGTTACCTGGGTGTAGATAGTGTTACCTGGGTGTAGAGAGTGGTACCTGGGTGTAGAGTGGTACCTGGGTGTAGAGTGTTACCTGGGTGTAGAGTGTTACCTGGGTGTAGAGAGTGTTACCTGGGTGTAGAGTGGTACCTGGGTGTAGAGTGTTACCTGGGTGTCGAGTGTTACCTGGGTGTAGATAGTGTTACCTGGGTGTAGAGAGTGGTACCTGGGTGTAGAGTGTTACCTGGGTGTAGGGGATTAAGTATGGCCCGTGTTTCCACCTGGGTGTTTTATCCACCCCACACCAGAAAGACAAGTGTAGGAGATTATAATTACACAACAGGTATAAAAGTTTACAGCTAAATGTCATAGTGATGCCTTGTCGTTTTGTACTTCTACAATTTAGGTAATACAAGTTGACAAGATACAGTATGTGTTGTACCAGAAACCACTTCAACTTCTGATGAAGGCTTGTTTACTTTTCAGATGTTGTAGCTGATCAAAAATCAATGTTTTCCAGCTAATTAATCTTTAAATATGAAGAAAACAGTATTTGACTTGTGTTGTTTTACTTAATTAGAAATGCAATGAGTCGCTGTCTGTTACTTAACCAAAACTACTACGTCTGTATACCATGAATATGACAACAACAAAAGCTTCATAGAAAAATATATATGATTGAAACAAAATCATGACAAAGTTCAGATGTGCACCAGAATTAAAACTTATTTGTAATTAAGGCAAATGTTACAGACAAAATGTTTAAAACTGGTCATGTTTACCACTAAGGCAAAGTCACTACATAATGTTACACAGACAAAATGTTTAAAACTGGTCAAGTTTACCACTAAGGCAAAGTCACAACATGATGTTACAGACAAAATGTTTAAAACTGGTCCAGTTTCCATTAAGGCAAAGTCACCATATAATGCTACAGACAAAATATTTAAAACTGGTCCAGTTTACCACTACCTTTACCACTAATATTTATATATCTATGTGATAATACAATTTTTACTGTAATTGACAATGAGTCCATTTCGTCAATTCCCAGAAGAAATACTGATTATGACATTAACTTGTAGTGCATCTGATCAAAACACACCCACAAGTAACTGTTTCAGTATGTCAGTCACTGCATCATTCACAATCCCAAAACACCTGTGTTCAGGAAAACTTTTGAACCTTTTCTTCTTGTACGGTACACTGAACTTAAAACCAGTGCACTCGTATTAGTATCCACTAGCCGACATATAGAAATGTTACTAAAACGTATTTAGTTTATCATCATGTCAACAATACCTACACCTCCAACAGGTAGACAGGAAGGAGGTAGAGACATCTGATACACCAGTGTGTAAATTCTGGTTAGCCGCAGAGCAGTGAGTCTCACTGCTCGCAGATTCTGGAATTATTTATTCACCTGATATACAATTCACTTTCTTTGAAGTGTACATGATGAAAACATCTGTATCTGTCTTGCATTATATAGATATCTATTGTACACCCAATTAAAATTCTCTCATTTCCCAACACATGATTTAATGCCATGTTGTTTATAGACAAAGTGTGAATAATGTTTGTTTACCATGTAATCATCCTAATATCACTTTGTTGTAAATTAACTTACTGCTTATATGTATATAAACACATTAAAAAAGGCTCAAAGGTGTTAACAGTCACCCGAGTTACTATGCTGTCATTAATCGTGTAATATATGTAATATATAATAATCTTGTTAACAAAACAAGATAACTTGAACTACATTGTACATGTAAAGCAAATGTAAACAAGAGGCCTATACGCCTTAACGGTCACCTGATTACAAAAAGTTTCAGGAGGGAGTAAAGTTATTTTTCTACTTTGAATGAAATCCGTTTCCCATTCTGATGATGGTAGTTTTGTTTAGGAGTAGGAAACTGTGACAAGTGTTACCTATTTCTTAACAGTAAAGTTGGAGCTCAATCCAACTGGTGAAACTTGAGAAGTTTGAATTAGATGTTGCACAGGAAAACCATGATTGTGCAACCATGTTACAAAATGCCCTCCCTGGCTGCTGTATCAAAGTTTTTGCCATCTTATTCTATCAATTTTAATCAAGTTTGAACTATTTTCAACAGAAAAAAAATGTGTCATAAGTTAATGGTGTGAAGTTTTTTTTAAACTTTACCCCTTCCCTTGGGGGTCATGAAATTTACATTTTGGGTAAAGACTATTTTTTAATTTTCAACCAATTTTTACCCTTTTTGGTCCTGCCCCTAAGGCTCCTAGGAAGGGGGGACGGGGGATGGCAAATGATTTACAATTTTTTTTATTAACCTTTGACCATGGAAGGTTTCTGCCAAGTCTCATACAAATCAGTTCTGGGGTGTGAAAAGTTTACAGACACCACAGACAATGGATGACTGACGATGCCTGACAATAGAGTATTGCAATAAGTCACCATGAGACTTGTCAGGTGACCTGAAAACTTCACATCATTCACTTATAGAACAATATTCTATAACAATCAGAGTAATTACTTACTCAACATTCCAAACAAAAATAACTTCATTTATCTCCAGTGTTTTCATCCAAACAAGGAAATTTTACAAGAGGCATTAAGGGCATGTATCACCTACCTCGCTTTGTTTGGCTAAAGCTGTGGAAAGGTTTATGTCTATTTTTCATTACTTCCTCATCCACTACCCAAAGGAGGTCAGTCAAACCACTAATACAAACTCCTTCACCCAAGCATGCTTAAAATCAAATTTGTACAGAATCCTGTCATTCCTACTAAAGAAAAACTGAAAAATGTATTTCAGATATAAATGCTTCCACTACCAAGGTCATGAACTTGTCAACTGTGACATAAGTTACAGTATACATAACCATTCAGCTGTGACATAAGTTACAGTATACATAACCACTCAGCTGTGATATAAGTTACAGTATACATAACCATTCAGCTGTGACATAAGTTACAGTATACAAAACCATTCAGCTGTGACATAAGTTACAGTATACAAAACCATTCAGCTGTGACCTCAGTTAAAGTACACAAAACCATTACGCTGTGACATAAGTTATAGTATACATAACCATTCAGCTGTGACCTCAGTTACAGTACACAAAATCATTCAGCTGTGGCCTCAGTTACAGTATACATAACCATTCAGCTGTGACCTCAGTTACAGTACACAAAATCATTCAGCTGTGACCTCAGTTACAGTACACAAAATCATTCAGCTGTGACCTCAGTTACAGTACACACAACTATTCAGCTGTGACATCAGTTACAGTAAAAATAATATTTGTTAAACTGTTTAATACT